AAACTTTCTAATGCATCAGCCGCCAATAGGCCAGAGTTGCAGTTGCAGCTGCTGTGGCAGCTAACGGATGTGGATCGCAGCAGCAGCAGCAGCAGCAGCAGCATTATGTGTGCCAAATGCAACAGCAGCAGCAGCAACAACAACAACAACAGCAACTGCAACAAAAGGTAGAGCAACAAAAACAAATTTCTCTAATGCAAAAACTGCAGGCCGCTTTTCACTGCAAATTACTTAACTATTTTCCCAGTTTCGCTTTGCCGCTCAATTTATTGTTATTGTTGTTGCTGTTGCTTTTGTTGCATATTAGCCATGCAAGCAGGCGGCAAACGGGAAGGGGAAAAATGGAAAATGGCAAATGGCAACAGCGCTAAGTTGGTCATGACCATCAAAATGGCTAACAGAGGCGAATGGTTTTTCTTTCTTTCTGCGCTTTTTATTATACCCTGAACCAGTTGAAAATGTAAAAGGTAAATGGAGTATACTGAAGAAGAAAGCATTCCCGATCCAACAATTTATATATATTCCTGATCAGCACAATCGATACAGCCAATATTTTTGTCTTTCTATCTTAATTAATCCCTCATTTCTTTCAAGTCTGTCTTTATGTTTTAGGCGTAAATGAAATATATACTAGAATCAGAATTTAAATATAAAGTTTTGATTTTGGACATACCAATTTCGAAAGTTTTGTAAACATATAAATATAGATACATAAAAAAATAAATATAAATATAATAAGGTCACTTATAGCTCTTAAACTGTTTATAATAGAGACTTTTGCGATTATCGAGGGGCGGCAATGGGTGTGGCCTAGAAATTTGTTTACCAATCTTAGGAAGAGTGTAGTAGCAATCTACCTTCCAACTTTGGTAAATATAGTCCATCTTTGAAGGCAATTTAACCTTCACATTTTGGTGACTCTAGCCTGAAATTTAGGGAGTTGTTTGGTTTTATCGATTTGTATTTGGCGGTATTATCGATATCCTAATATAGGCGTAGCCTCCTCCCCCCAATTTTAAAACTTTGTCTGACATAGATGAATGTATATTCCAAGTTTCAAGTCTCTAAAGTTGTAAATGGGAGTTTCTCGCAGTGTATACAAATTCTTTCAATCTGAACTCTTTAAACTAACCAAAAAACATTGTTTGCTAACAAAAAACTTGTTTCCTTTTTATTAGATTTTAAAAAATAAATAAATAAATAATCAAATATTCCATTTTATATGTTCTTAATGAATTTCGCGGAGTGTATATATATTAAATCTTTCCATCTCAGCTCTTTAAGAGCTTAAAATCATTTTGTTCCAATTGCCTAAGAAATTTTCTTACAAATTTTATTGTTGTTTAGCTTTCTTAACTAATGTGGAAAAAAAATAGAATGTTTATATTCTACAATTGTCTAAAATGACTTTACTTGAATGTTGCTGAGTATATATATATTTCTATATCAATCTTTAGCTGCTTAAACTTATCTGCACGATTTTTTTATAAATGGATTAAAAACGTTTTATTCAATGTTAAAAGTTTGACTCGTATTTTTTGCAACTCATTTTTTATTTAATATTAAATTTATTTAATATAAAACAAAAAACTGATTTTTCTTAATGTTAATTTAAATATTTTATGATATTAATTACATTTTGTGTAGTGTATAAATAATTGTTCAATCTCAACTCTAATTTTGGCCAATCGATTGCGATCGTCTTTGATTGCGTAGGATTATTTAAAATTGCTATTATCAATAATATATATACGCATATATATAAATATATATGTATATATAAATGGCACCATGCAACATAATTTGTGACTGAAACGCGCAATGTGAATTCGTTAACGTGCCACAAAGTGGGACACATTCATTAGATCAATGCATGCAACAGCAATCTGCAGCAAAATGCCAAATGCACACACACATGTGTGTGTGTGTGTGTGTTGCAGTTGCAATCTCAAAGTTGACGTCGCAGCCGACACACAAAAAATAGAAAGTTTTCATGTTGCATTATTTTGCTGGATGCAGCTTTGCTGCCCCGTTGCAGCTGCAATTGCAGTTTGCTGCTGCAATTTTCTCTTTGCAATTTGATTCAATAAAATATTGTGTAAAAGCCGACGTTGACGTTGACGTCAGCATCAGCATCAGCGTCAGCGCTGTTGTTGTGGCAACTTTCCCAACGCGCAACTCGCAACTGAACTGCAATCGAGGCTTCTAACTCGGTTACGGTTACTAGAAGCAAATAATAATTACATTTGTCCCACTTTACTTTCACTTGGCGAGAGTCAAATGCGAAATGCGAAATCCGAAATGCAATTGCAATCGGCAACTGCAACAACAACCACAACTGCAACAACAACCACAACTGCAACGACGACGATGGCTACAACAATAGAGGCAGCAACGTCAGCTTTGACTTTGACTTTGTATTTGTGTTTGTGTGTTGCATGAAAAGTTGCAACTTTTTCCAGTCGCTCGTTCGTTCGCTGTGTGGAAATTGTTTACCGTTGTTTTGTGCCTGCCTGTTGGCAAAAAGGAAAAGTGGGTCAAGCGCAGCATTGTTGTTGCTGTTTTTGCTGTTACTTGTTGCATGCTGCACATGCGGCACACGGGCCCACTTTGTGGCACTTACCACTTGACAATTGCCAAGCGACGCGACTCCAAAGAAATTTCCAATTTTTCGTTTGTTTTGCCATTTTGCATTTCATTTGCACGAGAAAATGGGTTACGGCGATGATTTTCTCTTTTTCTTTATGCGCATCGTGAAGAAAATGGGTGAAGAGGGTATAATGAAGTTGTGCAACAGTATGTAACCGAACAACAGCAACAACAACAACATGCGGCAGGAAGCATCCATCGATATTTATATATATATTCTTGATCAACTGTCCAGTCTGCTTGTTTGTCTTACTCAGCGACTCAAATTTGGTATGTAAATTCTCACAAACCCTAAGCAGCTCAAATTTATCGATAACTTATCGATATAAATCGGTTTATGATTGCAATAAAAGCCAGAATCTCAAAGATATAAGTTCTTTCTTGGCAAAGATAAAACTTTGACGTAACTTTAGCTACTATCAAAATTTCATCATCCAATTTTTCGACCAAAACTTATTTTCATGTTGAACAAACTTCGATCAAGAGTAACTTTTTGTGAAGAGAGCAGCAAGATAAGCCAAGTGAGCACAAAAATATGAGTATGTTTGTATTCTGCAGAAAAAGTAGCACCTAAATGTATAAGTCAATCTTTGTAAGAGGATTTAATTCCAATAATCGAATTAATACCGCTGCTGAGCATGAAAATTCATAAAATAAAACCCTAAACAGTTTTTAACAAAAAGAATTTCAAAAAACTATGATTGAGACAATAAAAATTAGCACTCTATCTAGAAAAATTCATGAAAATTCGCAGTTTTTGATAAATGATACTGAAATGTGATTTTCTTAATGAAAGTTCAAAGTAGGTTAATGCTGACTTTGTCATTTTTGTTGTCAATAAAAGCAGCCAACGGCATACGCGGGTAAGATCAAGGAGGAACGGAGTGGGAGGGGCAGTTGTCCCCTCCATTTCAATTTTACATAGCCAAAAGTTGGTTTATGTATAAAAAATTAGAATTAGACCTTTAAGAAAAGCTCGAATCTAAAAAATCAAATCTTGCTTTTTTGGAATTACTTCATTATTTTTCTTGATTGGGTTTACATGCAGGACATTCTACGAAAATCATACTGAAACTAAGACCTCTCAAATAGTTTCCCGATTTTTATTAGGTTGAAATTATTATTATTATCTCCGTTGGGCAACATCACATTTTCCAATATTTCCACTTTAAGATCTTGATTCATAGCTGTTTTCACTCAAGCCCAACTAGAAAATGAAGCGATTTCCTTTAACTTCAAAACAACTCAGAGTGAAGTAATTCTTTAAACTTTCTCTGCCTTAGATTTTGTTTTCAGTCCGCCATCAAAATTGAGAACACTTGCATAATTACCTGTTCAAATTTTACTGTGCAAAACTGGAAGCCATCTTTTAATCGATTCAATATATATTCAAGAGCTGACTTCAGCGCACCTCACAGTCGAGCTCTCTCGACTGGAGAATTCTTAATTGTTTTTAGTATTTGTTATTTTGTTTTTTTTTTTTGTACTTTTCGTTTAACATTTCTTCACTTTATTTTCTAGCATTTTCAAGTTCTTTATATATTACTCAATAGTAGTACATGAAGCTTAAAATAGTTGTTTATTTTCTTTCTTTACTTTACATTGCGTTAGACACTTAATTTGTTGTTGATGTTGTATTTGCTGTTGTCTCTCTATGCTGTACATTAAAAAATTATAATTATTATTACTCATTATTCTCCATTTAATGTTATTTGCACAAATTCTGAGATTGTGCTTAGATTTTTATTTACATGTACTTAAGTATTTTATTTTTTGTTTTTTAATATGTAGTCGAATAGAAATAAAATGTTCATCATTTTTTTTTTGGTGGTGGTCCGTTGTGAGTGGTTTTATCAAATAGAAAATTCAGATTTGACTGTGTCAACAATACTCAAATAATTGTCGGTTTTCGCATTTGCTGATACAAATCAGATTTGAATTATATATGATGTAACGCAAGAAACCTGACTTCAAGTAGCAAATCAAAATTAATGTAGGCAATGTTTACAATGTCAAATAATTTAGGAACAATTTTATAAATAGTATAGATTAAATTATATACATATTAATGTGCTCTTGTATTTTGCAATATTTTGTGGAAAATTGTCAAAATCAAAAAATCGGTTCTATACATACAGTTTAATCAATAATTTTTTGGTGTTCGGAAAACTTGTTTTTCAATTTCGTTTGTGATTTGTTTTTATTTACAAAGAGCCATTGCTTAATGTGTGTGTGTGTTATAAATAATAAAAATAACGCTTATTTGGTTACATTTATATATGTTGTCCTCGCTTGTGCAAGAAAACTAAAAAGTTCTTCAATTTGAAAAAGAAATTAAAAACATGTTAATTGAATTATTGGTATTTTGGGTAACAAATTTGTTACTTTTTTTCCTCAAAAATTACTTGGATACTTTTTCGATTGAATGGAATACCAAAAGCATTTCAAATAAACACAAAAAATGCATCAAGTTTTTGGTACATTTGTACCAAATTGAATATGGACAGTTTTTTTTTTTTTTTTTTAAATACAACTGCAAATAATAGAAGCTTGGGTACAATGATTGAATGATTGATGATTGGTGATGAGTGAATGATGTTAAAGTGGCGCATTTGGGTTATCGCCGATGCAGAATGTTGGATAAGGTGCGTATTTGTTTCTGCAGTTCCGAGTCCATGCGATAGCATTCCTCATCGAACACTTTGCGCATCTGCTGCAGCTGGGGCAGCTTGTCCGCCTGCATGTTGAGCAGATCGCTGAAGAACTTCGACCACACATGCTTCTTCAAATAGCGCGGCAACTTCTGGCGTATATCCCAGCCGTTGGGTCGCTTCTGCGGCTGCATATACTCGCCAAAGAGCATCACATGCACCGTGCTGGCAATGCAGAAGAGATCCGTTTCATATGACCACGGTCGGCCCTCCTGCATTTCGATGCAGGTGAAACCATCCGTTTGCACAACCTTGCGAAATTTGGTCGATTCCGCATCGGGGAAGAGCGACATATCGATGGCGCAGCCAAAATCAATTAGACGCAACGATGGCTCATCACTGTCCACGCTGGGCACACGCATCAGCAGAAAGTTATCCGGCTTGATGTCCGCATGAATGATGCGCTGTCGATGCAAATGATCCACGATGTTGCAGATCTGTGCCGAGAAATGCATCACTAGAGACTCGTGCATCACTTTTGTTGTCGCCTGCCGTATCTTATTATTGATGTCCAGCAGCGAGCCAAATGGTGAGAATTCGGTGGCAATCAGACTGGCATTTGGCGCTATTATCGCCGTCGATATATCCATCAATCCCGGCAGCACCTCCGGATCTCGAATCCGTTTCAATACCTATACGCAAAAAGACATATAACATTTTAGTATGATTTAGTTAAGATTTTGTTCTTGATAATTACGCACCTGATCGCATATGTAGATCTCCCAGGAATTTGGTGGCTTCTGGTATTTAAGTGCGACAACGTTGCCGGTGCGTGTATCAGTTGCCTTATACACAGACCCATAGGATCCACGTCCCACCTCCTTGTCAATGTTGAACTGAACGCCCTCGAGCACGTTCAGCGTGCGGGTATTCGATATTTTTGGCAGTGGCGTTTGAACAACCTTATAGCTGGCATGGGCATCATCATCGCCGGGAAAATTCAGTTTGGCCAGAAATGCACGACACAGCTCACTGTTAAACGGATCGATCGCCTCTCTGTCCAGATGGCGAGCAATCGTTTCCAGTGCCTTCGACAGGCGACGCTCTTGCGCCTCCGCATCATGCTGCGTTGCAAAATAGGAGTTCTCTTGAAATGTTGAAAAGTCTGCCAATGTTGTGCTTTGTACGCTTACAGTTGACATGTTGTTATTATTATTGTTAATATTGTTATTATTGTTGTTGTTGTTGTGCGTTCGATTGTTGTTGACATGAAGTCGATCGACAGCCAGCGCCAGTGAACTATTGGAATTATCCAGGCCGCCGGCACTAGAGAACGAGAAGTTGGCGTTGTCATTAAAGGTAGCATTGTGTATGGGTCCAGCAGAAGAAGCAGCAGCAGCAGCAGCAGCAGCTGCAGCAGAAGCAACAGCATCAGAGATTATTGTTGCATCCGTTGCGGCTGTGGTCTCCACACCATTTGCCACCGAACACGATGAGTTGCTGTTGCTGCCCAACAATTCTGGCTGGAATTTGCCGTGTTTCGCTTTGGCACGCGCTCGCCGGCTCTCGTTCACGGTGCTCTTCGGCGTCGATGTCTGACCCAGCAGATACGGATGGAAATGATGATTGCCATTGCGCTGACGCTGCACACCACTCCAGTCCTGTACGTTGCTTCTTACGTTTTCTGGCGGCTTGACTGGCGTCGCTGGCGACTCTTGCTGCTGATGGTAAATGCTCTCAATGGTATAGGCACTGTAGGTGCTGCTCTCAAGCGTGCGCTCCTTCTTGAACTTCATCTTGATGGAGCGATTCTGTTGCTCAAAACTGGTCGTTGTCTGTGCCCGAAAGTGCATATCCACGCCATTGGTGTAGACGGTTGGTTTGGTTGCCTGATCCGTTTGATCGGATCCTTCGCCGTCTGACTCTTCATCGGATTGATCCGAATGCAGTTCGTCTTCCGCTTCCTCCTCCCCATTATCATCGGCGTTGTCGTCATCGTCGTCGCCGTCACCGACTTCGTCATCATCATCATCGTCGTCGTCGACTTCCGATTGGCCTTCTTCCGCCTCGTCATCGTTGGTCGTCGCATACAGTTCACCGTCCATGGCCGTCATATAAAATGATGATGATTGATAGGAATCCGACAACTGTTGCTGCTGCTGGAGCTGATGCTGCTGCAGTTGGTGTCCAGCTGCGTAAGTTGCATGTTCTTTTTTCAACTGTTCCACGTGTTGCTTCTGCTCATTGAGATGCGTCGTTTGCGCCTGCGCCTTTTGTTGCTGTTGTTGTTTCCGCTGCTCCAGCAGTTGGGCATATTTGCGACCCAGCAGCTCTTCCGGACTGTACTCGATGCCGGCACCGGCTGGATAGACCAGCTGCTTGGCATAGTGACAGACGCGTGAGGGATCATCGGGCTCCTCGAGTGTCAGTGCTGGCTTCCAGGTCTCGTGATTATTGCGTCCATATGCATGAAAATTGCGTGGCAACCGCACACCTTCCACTTGCGACAAGGACAACGATTCAACAGCTGCAACATGCTCCTCTTCCTCCTCCTGTTCCTGCTGATGTGCTGCTTGCGTCTCGCTGACTATTTCAGCTTCAGCTGGCAGCATCTGTTGCATTTGTGCCTGCATCTGTGGCTCATAGTGGTCACTTATGGCCGGCTAAAAGTTGTTTGAATTGGATTTAGTTAGTTCAGTTGAATTTGCAATTGCTGGTTATGCTTACCCGATTTGGAAGGAAGACGGGAGAATAGTGCGGGTGTGGCAGCGTTTGGCTCTGGTTCACAGCTACAGATGTCGATGGCGGGAACTGTGGCTCAAAGGGCGCCGGTGCCGGAGGTGGATGCGGCTACAATGGATTATTTAAGTGGTAAATTAAATGTGTCTAGCAATTCAAAAAGGTTTGCAATTTATGTAGGAGATCCTCTGAAGAAATACCTGTGTCTGATGCTGATAATGCGTCTGTTGGGCATGTGGATGATATGGTAGCTCCGGCGGATGATGCTGATGCGGCTGCGGATGCTGATATTGATGAAAGTTATCTGGAGACTGATGATGATGCGATCTCGAAGGTGTCGATGGGGCAGGATGATACGCTTGCTGTTGCTGTTGTTGTTGGTGATGCGCTTGGGTATACGTAGTCAGATGCTGCAGTGCGTCTTGAGGTGGATGAGGCTGGTGCTGATGTAGTTGTTGCTGCTGCTGCTGCTGATAAAACATGGAGCGAACGTATGCAAATTTGGCATGGGCATTCTGCAGCTCGGCATTGCTGTGCGCCTTTTCCTGGAAGGCGAGATTGAATACTGCTTCGGCATCCTTAAACTGATCCCGGGCCTCATAGTAGCTGGCCCAGCCAATATAGAAGGCGGCCACCTGACGCCCCGTGCCACGCTGGAAGAGTACCTGATAGAAGCGCAGCTGATCCGTTTGCATGGCAATGTATTTCAGCCAGAGACGAACTAAACGCACATCCTGACGATAATATTCATTGTGCTCGTAAACAGTGAGGCAGCGTTCGAGAGTTTCCCGAAATTTGCGCTCGGGATCGCTGTGTGCGTGATTCTCATACCAGCATATATAATTGTACCAGTGATCGAGCGGATCGGGTCCCTGGTAGTGCACTATGGCATGCTCCCACGCCTGTTTGTCCTTTTGAAAGCTGTGCATTTCATCCGGACTCAGATTGACACTGACACTGTTTGTTTGGTTTTGATTGGGGTTCGGGTTGGCTCGCATATATGGATGCATGGCCATCCCAAGTCAAACTACTCCACCTGGCTCCCGTCGGCGTCGTTTGTTAATGCATTTGCATTCGTATTCCCCCAAAGTTTCGTAATAAATATAAAATTATTTATACTGCTCTTTGATCAAGACCGTGGCGGAGTTTGGGGGGGAGAGGTGGTCAGAGTGTACTTCGGTAATCAGAATATGTTAAACGTTAGCACAACTGTGTCTGACGTTGACAGCTATTGCAATTCTTAGGACATTGCTATTGCTTTTTCACAGGTTAACTATTAAGAATTCAAAAAAATTGAGTCTTATTTTAATGTTTTTCTATGTCGCTGTGGTGCTGCAAATCTATCGCTACTACTTTTGTGGTGGCAAGCCGATAACACAGGAAGCAACACTGTTTTGTCAGAAGTAAAACAAATAGAGGTGTTCCGGAAGCATATTATTTTGAGACAAAAACATTTATGCATCGAGAATACATCTCTTTTCATGTATTAGTTCAGCATACCAGATTGTTATATATGTATATACATATATATAAATTTCGGCTCTCCATTTAAGCAGCTTATATGCACAAACACCGACGACATTATCGAAATTACTGCGGTATCGATAGACAAGCCACATAGTTATTTTTGTTCCTAAAATTATATGCCTAAATGAGTCAAAGCACTTTCAAATTATAAAAAGCGGAAAACCTACTACAATATAAATAATAACAAAATATATAAATCACGAAATCGTGAAACATTCACTGAGTATACTCGATAAATATTTTTAAAGCAGAAACTATCAAACTATCGATAAGACGCATTAACCCTCTTCTGCGCCACTGTTCTACTGTCTATTGTTGTATTATATTATGTTTTTAACAATTCACAAAATTTTACGCATCTAATACTGCTTAAAAATTCAATGATTCGTTGTGCAATTTACCGTTTATGTGTTTATGTTTTTGTGTGCTTATAACTGTGTTAAAAACCCCAACTATAACCAACGTTACGACGACCCCCTGGCGAGAATTTACAACTACTACATTTGTAGTGGCCTTTTATCGATTTCACCTAAACAGTGTATAAATCCAAACTTAATACATATTAAAAATATTTGTAATTTGCTTTTATCCCCATGCAGTGTTTAGCCAAAATGTATTACACAACAAAGGACTAACTTCCTACCTGATACGTTGTGCCCACCTGAGTTGTATATGTAACACACATACATAAATGTATATATTTATACATAAATGTATATATTTACGTATGTGTGTTTATTTATTCATTCATTTGTTTTTTACATATTTATTTTCTGATTTGTATAGACAACAGATCTGTCTGATTTGTTTTAAGATAAATATTTAGTTTTGAGACTTTTGTAAAACGATTTCTCCAATAAGCGGAAATTCCGGTGTTCATCTTAGAATTTTTCTAAACTCCACCGAAACTAATCCCTTTTTTGGGTACTTTATATTTTGTAATTTAACCAGTTTTAATGTGCTTACGTCCAGTTCCAGAGTCATCCGAAAAAAATTCGATTTTCCGGTGCAGACATTTTGTAAATCACATCTGTTCTTTATAAACTTTAATGGGTTTTATTTCTAGAAATAAAATTGAACACTTTGGGGATAACAGTGACGATCGGAGATTCGATTAGTTTAATCACATAGAACTCGTTGTATTATTAGTATTTTTATCAATTAAATATATATATTTTATAAAACACTCAAGGCAAACGGCTAGAAACTGTATTCGCGGCTAGAAAAAGAACAGTGCGTAGATAATGGAAGTGTCGGCCGATCCGTATGAGCAGAAACTATATCAGATGTTCCAAAGTTGTGAAACATCGCAGCAACGCAACAATGGCCTGCTCGACGAGGCATCGCTGACCCGCCTGTGTCAGCTGCTCCAGTTACGTGACCAGGGATCGGCGCTAATCTCCAGTCTAACCGCCAGTGGTAGTCCCAAACTAGGTGTTTCCTTTGGCCAGTTCAAGGAGGCATTGCTTAACTTCTTGGGCACCGAATTCGATGGCTCAGCAGCTCAAACGCGATCGGGATTGGTGACACCATCTGGACTGAAAGGTAAAAAACGATTACCTATTATGACCGAATCTCAAACGTCAGCTGGCAATCATAAAACACGCATCATAATCACTAGCTTTTATGAGGGTTGGTTGAAACGGGTGTCAGCTACCTGATCCTAATGCCCAGATCGTCAGGTAAACAAGGACACTAATTATATAGGTATATAAATATCGGATGCTACGTGCTTGCAGCTTCAGTCATCAATCAGATGCCAAAAGAGACACAATGGGCACACGACTATATTACAAACAGAGCAAGGATTGCAGCGATCCGATTATTGAAAAGCTCGCTGCACGTTTTGGTATACAAATTGGGCAACAGCAACAACATAAATTGTATTTCACATATTTAAAATACAAATCTTGTTTATTTTGCAGAACGATCGCTGGTTATCAGCGACGAGCCAGCTAGCAACACATATGTTGAGAGTCCGCCGGAGGGTGAGGCATCCGATCGCGAGGTTTCACCCAAGCTAATAGTAGGCACCAAGAAGTACGGACGCCGTTCACGGCCGCACCACAACCAGGGTCTTAACGAGATAGCCGTCACGGATTCGGACAACACGGATGAGGATCAGCACAAGAGCCTCAACGGCTGCAGCGATCACACAGTCCAAGTAAGTCAAAATGCTACCCTCGTTTTTTCCATATTCTAATTTGCCGTTCATTCTTGCAGGTGCAACGGTCATCGTCGCAAAGCGATCTCCCAGGCAGCCGGCGCCTGCGCTCCGTCCACTACAGCGGGAGCAAACTGAAACGCTGTGCCTCGCTGCCGGCACGCAAGAATTTGCAATCGAAAATGATCAATTCGACGGCGCTGGCGACGACATCATCAACAGTCGCCACACAAGTGGGCAGTGGCCACGGTCGAAGTAATCTGCGCGAGGCACAACAGGAATGCAGCAGCGTGGAATCGTTGGGTAAGTAAGCCAGGCGAGCATTGACTATATTCAAAATGTGGTCGATGATGTGTTTAGACGGCAACATCTAACACTCGTTAGTCGTTAGCGAATAATATTATATATATAATTAACACCTGTTGGTTGTACACACTGCAGGCCATCATTTGCCAGCACGGCCAGAGCACTGCAGCCACGGATGCGACCTGGGTGGCCGTTTCAGTTGCAAAGGTTTGTCCGTTTCACGGAAACACAGCATAAGTGCCACATAAGCCAATCCCTTCTTCACTAAACCACTTAAATCACCTAATCGTTTGTATCTGCACTCTGTCCTGCACTGTTTGAAATCTGTTTCCATTCATGAGCCACGTGTTGTGTTGCATTCCATTTGTTATGTAATTAAATGGAGCTTATGAAAGGATTTGCTAGACTCTTATAAAAATGAAAGCCAGATTGTTATCTATTCAAATGTTGTGAGTTGTATTTGCCAAAGAAAAAAGGGAGTTAGAAGATAATGCTCAAAAAATGAATTCAATTCACATACATTCATACATTCCCATTATATCATGCCAGAACAAATGTATATAGATAAAATGGGTTGTAAACTTCCAGATAGGCAACAATTGAAAGCTTTATATAAAAATCAACTTATTGATAAAGAACTTTCAGGTTATACAATCTTTATATAGAGCTCTTTAATTAGTCGTAATTTATATACAGTAAACAGTCGGATTTAGTCTTGAAATTCACCTTCCCATCTGGTATCTTGGGCTATAATTCCTTGTGTGCATAATATGTATAAAATGGAATATGATTGAATGTATTTAACTCTCTTAGCTAATCATGGACATAACTTGCAGATATTGTGACACCGCAGCAACTGGAGACGATAAGTGCGCATAGCATCATTGAGACGTGGGAAATGGCAAGTATCACTAATAGTGGTGGTCTGCTGCACGCACTGGGCTTCGATGAGGAGGAGGTGAACCTTGGCCAGTTGACCAAAGTGCTGGAGGAGGAGTTACGTGGCCTGGAACAGGATCCACAGTCGAATGTGTTGCGTGCCTTGGTCGCGCTCCAATCTGTGGAGCTGGGCACGTTGCGACAGGCATACCGACAGCAGCACGAGGAGAACCTCAAGCTGCGTGCCGACAATAAGGCGGCCAATCAGCGAGTGGCGATGCTTGCCGCCGAGGTTGATGAGCGGCATGCAAGCCTGGAGGATAATTGCAAACAGCAGGTGCTACAACTGGAGCAGCGGCATGCGAGTGTTGTCCGTGAACTGACGCAGCGTATAACAAACGATCGTGATCATTGGACGGGCATTACGTCGCGGCTGGAAACACAGATTAAGAGTCTCGAACAGGAGGAGATTAAGCTGCGCACTGATCTGGAGCTGGTGCGCACTGAAAACACTGAGCTGGAGGCGGAACAGCAAAAGGCGCACCAGCAAATGACTGAGTTATTGGAGCAGAATATTAAGCTCAACCAGGAGTTGGCCAGATGTGAACCCCTGCGTTCGACTGGTAAATCGGAGAGCAGCATTGACACCGCTGTCGGCAGAGATAATAAGGCATCCGATGATGATGAGATGCTGCTCGTGATGGAGAAAATGACCGCGCTACAAATGGAGAATGCACAGTTGCGTGACAAAACCGATGAGTTGACCATGGAAATTGAGAACTTGTGCCTCGACTTGGCGCGCACAAAATCACGCAAGAAGAAGCAGACAGCTCAGACGACTTCGACTCCTGCTGCTGCCGTTGTAATTGCCACCGAGTCGGCGGATAGCGAAGAACTGGATGCATTCAGCAGCGGATTGGCAACGAAGCGACGTGGTGACTCGCCCAGCAAGACGCACATAACGGAGGAGAGTCCACGGCTGGGCAAGCAGCGCAAGTGCTCAGAGGGTGGTGGCGAGGTCAGTGACAATAGCGGCGATTGGTTGGCACTGAACTCGGAGCTTCATCGTTGCAAGAGCCACGAGGAGGAGCTCTCGTCCCTTCGCCAAACTGTGGCGCAATTGGAACAGGAGTTGCAGGCAGCAAAAACGGGTAGCAGTAGTCGAGCCACCACGCCGGAGACACGCTGCAAGGAGCTGGAGAATAGTCTGGAGCAGATGCAGCGTGCATACGAGGATTGCGAGGATTACTGGCAGTCCAAGCTGAGCGAGGAGCGACAAATCTTTGAGAAGGAGCGACACATCTATGAGGATGAGCAAATGGAGAGTGACAAAAAGTTTACCGAGCTGATGGAAAAGGTGCGCGAATATGAGGAGCAATTCAGCAAAGATGGTCGCCTCTCGCCCATCGATGAACGCGACATGCTGGAGCAGCAGTATCTCGAGCTCGAGGTGGAGACCACAAATCTGCGCAATAACTCCATACGCATGTTGGAGGAAAAGTCACAGCAAATCAGCGAGTTGCACTGCGAAATCGAAGATCTGCGCACACGTCTTGGCGAGAGCGTTGAAATACTAACCGGGGCAAGTGAGATCAATCCGGAGGCACTGCATCAATTAAACGTGCAGGCGGGCCAAAGTCCAGCCAGTTCTCCAATTAGCTACCTGTGGCACCAGAGCACAATCCAGGAACCACTCAAAACCTTTAACGGCATCGCCGCCAGCGAGAGCACCCCCAAAGCCTTGGCGCTGCTCGGTGAATCACCCACACACAAGGCCACCAGTCGGTAAGTACAATTATCCCAATGCATATGATTCTATTTGTCTGATTTTCGCAGCTCCCAAGTGACCCATAATTCTGAGTAATTTTGAAACAATGTTTCTTAATCTTATAAATTTAATGTCTTAATTCAATACTCCTCTGATTACCTGACTGAGTTCTATCTCCTTAAATAAATAAATAATAATAAATATATAAAATAATAATAAACAAATAAAATAGCAATAAATATATAAAATAATAAATAAATAAAATATTAGATATTACGTTTAATGCAACGCTTTTAATTAATAGCAAAAAACATTTCTAAATATATGTTAAGTAAATAAATAAAATAAATTAAAACCACTTTCTTCGGAGGGCCGATGATTAATTACCATTTCAAACCGTAGCAGATACTATTACATTCATATTAGTGAGTCTTGTACTCAACAGCAACATCAGATTGCTATATATACTCTATATAGATAAAGTATTTCCTGTAAATTTATAGTCGGCAATCTGACATCTATAAAATATAGTTATCTGATAGTAAGGAAAATGTGGGCAAGTTAATCAAGCCTTGAACGCTATAAAGACTTTTGATTCACTCTTCTTTCTTTATTTAACACAAAATTAAATTAACCAAGCCCAGCGAACATATACAATTGGATTTTATACTGTGTTGCAATTAAAAATAAATAATTAAGCACAATAAAGCTGCGTATATTTATGTGATTGGCGGCACGAAACATTTTTGACCCACCAAAATATATATGTATATCATCAGCAGAGTCTGTCCGTGTATCACTATCAATCTTTCTATATGAAAGATTTTTATTCTTTGGAAAAAATATGACTGCAGGTCAAAATTTCATATTTATTGCTTAGCAATGGAAATTCTTCAATAGTCAACTTGAAATTATACAAACGAAATTGTATTTTATAGAAACAAACTGACTACATCGGAGACATCGATCTTTAGTACTACTCCGCTGGGATCATCAATATCGGGTCCATCGCCCACACACAGTGATACAACAAACTATGCCTTGCCAGCCGGCACTTGTCCGCCGGCGCCTATTTGCAAGCCCAAACAGGCGCCGTCAGAGGGTGAAATTGCTGATTGTGAGACATCATCAACTGCATCAAATAAGAGCTTCGATTCGCACAGCGTAATATCAACAAGTAAGGCATCTTGCTTCAGTCACGAGAAGTGCAGTAGTCCGAATCTTTTAAAGGAAGAACTGAAGCGCCTCAAATTCTTTGAGCTCTCACTCAGAGAGCAGATCAAGGATTTGAGCCTGCAACGTGATGGTTTAGTAATGGAACTGCAACAGTTGCAGGAAGCGCGTCCAGTTCTCGAGAAGGCCTATGCGGTAAGACCATAATTAATCACTCATCTTGTGATCTTTCATTCATTTTGATTTTTATGACAGCGAACAACACATCCGACGCTACAGCAGCGACTCAATCAACTGGAGTTGCGCAATCGTCACTTACAAAATGTGATCAAACAGCAGCAAAAATATACCGAGTCCCTGATGCAGCGTAATTATAATTAACATTCTTTCCATTTGTATATGTTTTGTTTTATGTTTTGAACTGTGATTGTTTTGTCCATAGAATCATGGCGTCAGCATCAAGTGGATCTCAACGATTTGCATGGCCGTATTGAAGCACAGACCGTCTTGCTTGCCGATCAGACACAGCGTCTGCAGAACGCCGATATTCTTGTGAAAGATCTGTATGTGGAGAATTCGCATTTGACCGCCACTGTGCAGCGATTGGAGCAGCAGCGGGCACGGGTCAACCTCATTCATCAGCATCAGCAGCAACATCAGCTGGTTGGGGGCACCATCAGTGGCCTATCTGGAATACCTTAAAAGGAATCAAAACAATGAATGCACAACGAAGTCTACAATGTGTTATGGAATCATGTATCAATATACTCGGCACCATTTGCTGGAGTGATATTCTTTTAATATTATATACAATTTATTTTTACATACTATTTACTCGTTTGTGTGCGTCTCTAGTGAATTATGTGTTCTCGATATGACTAATTTTTTTTCAACACGAGACCATCGGAAAACGCATCCATGCAAAGGAAGGAACAATCGACATGTACTGATTTGTAATACAATAATCCACTAACTGAATTTCATATTTGGTGTATACAATGTTGACCTTATAAATTAATAATTGATATAGTTAACAAACATAAATAAATATATATATATATATATACACTTATATATATGTATATTATATATTATATAATATAGCTAACAGTATTTGGTTATGCGTCTGAAAAGAAAAAGAAAGAAAGACAATGCACATTTATCAGAGTTTATCAAGTGCATAGACATCGTTGTTGATTTTATTGGTAGTCAAGTAGTAAACAAACAAAAATCAAATGTAACTAAAAAGACCTGTAAAGCTATTACCTTACATACAATATGTATTTATTTTGCAAATTAAGTTAGTCAATAATCTTCAATCGTTCTGTCAACATATTTTTGTATCTACATACATAATTAGACACTACTTTATTTGTGAAATCTCTCGATATAATAACTTGAACTCATAATAGTATGTTATGGTGTGTATGTGCTTGTTAATGTACGAACAAAATATAAAATTACTTTTTAAAAGTATAAAGATATTGAAAAAATAAAACCAAAAATAAAGTTTATTAAAAATACAAAAAAAAATAAAATAAAATTCTTATACTAAATATATTTTTATTTTCTTTTTACATTATTACATTATTATTACATTTGAAATTGTAAATTAAATAATTTTTTTTATATACATGTGCATTTAACGTACGTTGAATGACTGAATTATATATGGAAATCCTCGTTAAAACTGGCTCGACTGTATAAGGCTGCATCAGTCCTCTTATGCCTGCGACAACCTCCACGTTTATATAGAACAAATCCAGCCACGCCCAAGGGTACTGCAAGAAGAGCGCAAACTATAATGAAAATCCAGGCGAGACTGCCACCAGGTGAAGCATTTGCCAAGTCAGCTTTTGCCAGCGTCAAAAGTTCGACACCTTTCATCTCCTTTGGCAGAGCACATCGAACATTCGATGCCAAAATTGGGGTGGTGTTATTCACTCTTTGAATCAAGTGCTTTATCAGGTATTCATTGGAGTTATCGCACGTCCATGGGTTAAAGCGAAAATCTAACGTGCTCAACTTATCCCAGCGGACAATAAGACTTCTGGGTATTCTCGTAAGATTGCAGTTATTCAAATATAGCTGTTTAAAAAAAAAAAAAATATATATATATATATATATATATATACATATCTATATGATTAACTATATTGTAATTAAACAAACATTATATATTAGATTACCTTTTCAAGCGGGGGATAATCCAAAACGTCTCCAGTAATATTCTTTGCCATAGCAAGTTCATCGATTTCACTTAGCATTTTGTTGTCGCTCAAAACTAGGACTGTTAGATCTATAAAATATAATAAAAATATTGAAAGTTACGCCAGCTTTAATAAAAGTGAAGTTGGAATCTTACTCTGTAGCTCTTTCAGTGCACCGGGTCCAATTTTGCGAAGGTCAAGCATATAAGACATGCTCAGATATTGCAAGTAAGCCATTGCGGGAAAAACACTAAGACAAAAAGTTATTATATTATATTTTAGATTTCGTTTTGTGCAGCACATACTTTGCTCCCTCCAAATTTTTAATGGGATTGTCGTCTAAGTTAAGATGCTTTAAGTTCTTTGCGTACGACAATGCGTTGGGCAATTCGAAAAATAAATTTCCCGATACAATAAGAGTTTCCAGATCTCGCGGACCATGAAAAATTGTTTCCGGCAATGTTTTCAGCTCCATATATGATATATCCAAAACCTATAGTTAGAAAATTGTTGATTTTTATTTTTTGCATTGCTAGTAGTGTTTAAATAGTCAATAACATACCTTCAATGCAGACAATCCCGAGAGTGCCGTTTCCGTTAGTTTATCGATGATTTGAAAAGTATTGGAACACAAAACAAGCTCTTCCAGATTTGGAAGATGTTCAAACAAATCATCGTTCAGGGAATGCAAGAGATTATATCCCAAGTTTAGTTGTTTTAGGTTTTTCATTGGTTCAAAATCATTTTTTGAATATATTCCTTGAAAAACATCGGGGTCCAATGCCTTTGAGGACAATTGGTTATATGATAAATCAAGTGTGGTAAGCTTTGTTAAATTTCGAAAAGCTCCCAACGTAATCGATGTAATTTGATTATGACCCAAATACAAATGCTGCACATCGTATGTGGGTAATGCAGGTATTGCCGTTAAATTATTATGTTCCATATTGATGATCTCAAAAACAATATCTCCATTTTGTAGGACTCCCCATTCGGTGTCCGAAAACCATTCGGTGAGTTTATTTGAGCAATCAATTTGTTTAACATCGGCATCGCAAACACACTTTTTGCATAATTCACTCTTCAATATGTCCACCTTTGTCTGTAAGAATAGCAAGGAATTTATATATTTTATGTTTTATACTTTATTCTATGAATGATAGTGATTATTTATTTATTTACTTATCAATGCATTATAAAATAATCATTTAACTATATGCTTTTAACTATTGAGTTTTATCACGAAATTATTATCACACATGTCACTTATCGTGGTCAATAATTTTGTAGATTTGTTATTTTTAAGTGGAATTTTTTAATGAATCAGCAACATGGTTCACTTAATGACGCATTTTCAGAAAATTCATGTAACTTTCGGATGCATATTCTCAATATATACATACATATATGATTTCAAATACATTTACATTTGGCGTTAACTATCAGGAACTCTTCTGTAGTATATAATATAGTGCTTACATATATTAGCATTGTGCATATATATAAACATATAAGTACATATAATACAAACGCACTGATAAGTTTTTGATTATCGTAAAATTGTACCTGTGCATGTTTGGTTTCGTTCTTGGATGCGTCATTTTCATCTGCATAGCCCAAGGGTAATAATACAGCAAAGAGCGTTATACCGATGAAAGTTGTATATAAAACTCCTTTCATTATAATATTATTTAACTATTTATATTTCTAAATTCTACAATTCTTAAGCACAATCGTGTTCACACTGAATACTAACTGACTAACAACTAAAGTTTTCATTTTTAGGCTTAGCCAACATATTTCCCAACAATTATCTAATCTTATCAGCTTTTGGCCATAAAAACCACAATCATATTGTCAGTATCAATTGTGACCGATGAAACGCTATCAGCATTCAATAGATATTTTTTAAGACCTACAATCCTACTTTGTTAGATTTTGAGCTTCATAAATATAATATTCGTTTTATTTCATAATGCTCAAAAAAATTATGAATTAATAAAGGTCTAATTTGGTAGACTCAATTAATTCAATCAATTTAATCTTAAACAATAAAATAAAAATAATAATAATGTATATTAATTGAATTTATCTTTTTTTTAAATATTAAATTGTTTTTTTTTTTAATCTAGCATTTGATAAGTTATCGGTGTAAGCAATCGATACTTTGTAATATCATACCTGGTCCAAGTCTAAGAAAACTATCGCACTACAATTAAATATATCGACAGTATCGACACAATATCAACAATCTTCTCATCTTATTTCTTATTAGAAATAAAAAGTATTCATTTAAATTGATAGATATAAAACATGAGTGAAGAAAACAATGAAAATATAATCTGGACCATTAAAAATGGAGAACTTGATGCCGTACAAGCAACTTTCAGCAATGATGTGCGCAAGACAGCCTAATTAAAATTGCATTGTCTAACTTATTTCATTTGCAGACTCAAAAAGTTAACACAGAGATCAAGGGAAGATATCCAATGCATTATGCCGCCGATTTTGGCCAGCTCAATGTGCTCAAATTTCTCGTTAAGGTGGGAGCTGATGTAAATGTAAGCATGTCATCATTATCTTGCATATCTATGAAAGTATTTACCTGTATACGTACAAAGATTTATAGGTGTATGTATCTATATACATACATACATATTCAGACACCGAAAATCATACATGAAAAGAAATGTTTACATATTTTTGCCGTCACTGGGATAATTATAATTACTGAAGAGGGTAATCTAGGTGCAAAGTTCCATTATTATAGTGTGCATTCGTGTGGAATGCCTAAAACTTAACATGCAATATGTACAAATAATTAATTAACATATATATAAGCGTGATTCATATTCTATTACTAGAGGCTACTACCCGGCTTTGCCTGGTTCCGTTGTTTTTTTATGTTTTTGTTAATCATAAGCATTTGTACATTTAACAGAAAAAAGACAAACATGGGATCACTCCACTTCTGGCTGCTGTCTGGGAAGGACACACAAAATGCGTCGAGTATCTATTGCAAGAGGTGAGCTTAATAAAAAAAACTTAAAGAGAAATTTATAACATACTTTTTATTTCACAGGGTGCAGACAAAAATGGGACCACTCCAGACGGCCAGAGTTATGCTGATGTAGCAGAAAAGGACGAAATAAAGAAACTGCTTACAAGTGTATAAAAATTATTATAATAAAATTTTAAAAGTACATTCCCTATGAACTATTACCCCTCATTTAAGAATATATACAAAAAAAAGTATATTACCCAATATATATCAAAATATCCATATTACGCAAAAGACTTAGGCAACTAATGAAAATATAATCTAGATATCGAACCATCACCGAGAATGTCTTTTTGAAAACTAGCTTAGTTTCAGAATAGATCTTTTTGGGATGAGAATTCCAGATACAAATTATGTTTCTAATTTTTAATTCAGTATTGATCTTGATACCAAAGCATGAAATTTTGTTGAAGAGTAGATCTTTTTTGGAAAGAATTCCAGATAAGAATCGTGTTTCAAATTTTAAATGCTTTTGAAAATCAATTCAGTTTTAATAAAGTTATAGCAGTTTAAAGTGGATTTTTATTGGATAGCTTGGCATGAATACCTGCTAAAATTCGTGTTTGTAACTTAACATGCAGTGGGGTTTCAGACACCTGGAAACTGTGGATTTCATAATCTGGATCCCTATTAACCTGAACTTCTATTAATCGGAATACTGTGGGTTTTATGTGTACCTCAATTAAGCCCAATTGAAAGATCGAGCAAAAATGTCGCGATCGAAATTCGCCATATATTTCGTTTGTGGAACCTAAAAACAAAGATGCCTGATGAGAGGCAATAATTAAATGGATTAATTTTCACGCTTCTTCTTTTTTCTAGAAGATAAAAATCATTTTTCTTTCATTTCCATTGTGATGCAGTTTCCGCTTCTATGGTTGCCGATAACTGCCGTCAAAATATGTCAACGTTCATTATATTCACCCCGTTGAACAGAATCCACGCAGGTAACAGTGAGTTTACATTCTGTATTTTAGCTTTGCGGATTTTAGTTGACCAGCAGTCGAAATTCCGCTGCGAAATATTTCGCGACCTGTTTGACATCGTTTGTTTTTTTTTAAAGATTTTCATTATCGGTAGCTTTTTTATTTGTAAAGTGGGCTTAACTGAGATCTGTAAAGTGGGCTTAACCGAGTTCGGTAGCGAGAATCCCGCATTATCGAGGTTAAATTGTATTAAAGTTCGCTGACCCGTATGCTATTTCAGGAGAACAAAATTATAAATTTTTGTTCCATTCCACTGGACCAATTAGTTTGAGTTATTTATATCGATGGTTATTTAAGTTAATCGCAGTGCAACCGTGTATTGTCGTCAAGCCATTTCCTGTGAGCGCCGCGTGTATTGGGCTCTTTCCTATCGTACTTTTGGCAGACTAAGGTGGGTGAATATTTTTCGTATTTATTAATTAACATTTAATTGATATATTTGTGATATTTTCAATCGAAAATCACAAATACAAATGTGACATAGTTTACAATACAACAATTATAACTTACAAATAGAAGTTATAAGATGTAAATGCAAACTTGCAACCTTTTGCTGCATGTGTGCACCACATTTATGTATGTACATACATATGCAGGAAGAACTAGTATTCGTATCTACATACATGTGACTGCTATATGTTTGCGTGTATTTAATCTATTTCGAGTGTGTGGAAAATCTGCAAGCAAAAAAAAAACGAAAGTATTATGTATGTGTGATGTATGCATTTGTACGTTCATCATAAATGCATAATGCATATTTGCATATGAAAAAAATTAAAAAGTGAAAAAATAAAAGGTGAGTTTGGAGTATGGCCAATATGTGACTTGTGGATTGTCAGAAAAGAAACTATTATGTATGCAGAACATATAACGGCATATAAATATATTAGGACATACATGTATTTACTTTTGAGAATTCACAGTGCGCACATATACATTGCCCTGTTATTTAATGTTTGCTAATCAATTTAATGTTGCAGGTCTGCAGACAAAAGTCAAACAACACAATGCCGCAAAATGAGTACATGGACCGCCACCGTAAATTGTACGGTCGGCGACTCGATTACGAGGAACGCAAACGCAAGAAGGAAGCACGTCTTCCTAAAGATCGGGCACGCAAAGCGCGCAAATTGCGTGGTATTAAGGCAAAATTGTTTAATAAGGAGCGTCGCAATGAAAAGATACAAATCAAAAAGAAGATTCAAGCTCACGAAGAGAAGAAGGTGAAGAAGCAAGAGGAAAAGGTGGAGGATGGAGCCCTGCCGCATTATCTGCTTGATCGTGGCATCCAGTCGAGTGCCAAGGTTCTTTCAAATATGATCAAACAGAAGCGAAAGGAGAAGGCAGGCAAATGGGATGTACCAATACCCAAGGTGCGTGCGCAATCTGATGCCGAGGTGTTCAAAGTCCTGCGAACGGGAAAAACGAAGAGGAAGGCCTGGAAACGCATGGTGACAAAAGTGACATTTGTTGGCGAAAATTTCACCCGTAAACCGCCAAAGTTCGAACGCTTCATCCGACCGATGGCATTGCGTATGAAAAAGGCGCATGTGACACATCCAGAATTAAAAGCAACTTTCCACTTGCCAATCATTGGCGTTAAAAAGAATCCCAGCTCCCCAATGTTCACATCGTTGGGTGTGATGACAAAGGGCACAGTGATCGAAGTAAACATCTCCGAGTTAGGCTTGGTGACGCAAACGGGCAAAGTTGTCTGGGGTAAATACGCACAGGTCACAAACAATCCCGAAAACGATGGAGTTGTGAACGCTGTACTACTTGTATAATTCTATTTTAAGTGTAAAATTTGTATCCGAGTTGCATCAATAAAACAAATTATTAAACAATATACAAATTTGTTTATAAATACTTTCAGATATTAAGATTTAAGAGTGAACTTTGTATATTCTCCCTCGATTGACATTAACTGATAATTTGTTTTTTCTTGGAATTTTTCAGTTGGCCACGGCTGCGTACGATGCAAATCTTCGTTAAAACCCTCACGGGTAAGACCATCACTCTTGAGGTCGAACCGTCGGATACCATCGAAAATGTCAAAGCCAAGATCCAGGACAAAGAAGGAATTCCTCCAGATCAGCAGCGTTTAATCTTTGCTGGCAAGCAATTGGAAGATGGTCGCACTCTTTCTGATTACAACATTCAGAAAGAGTCAACATTGCACTTGGTGCTCCGCCTTCGTGGTGGTGCCAAGAAGCGCAAGAAGAAGAACTACTCGACCCCCAAGAAAATTAAGCACAAGAGGAAGAAGGTCAAGCTAGCTGTCTTGAAATACTACAAGGTACTACCTCCACATCCTTCAATAAACTAGAGAACAGAACAATTAATTCGATCTGTTCTTGGAATTCTTGAGTCTTGGTGTCTTGAGCTTATTGACTTGCTTGTTGAGTTTGGTTTGCAATTCAATATGAGATTCATATATATATATATAAATTTTTCTGTCACTATTTTTAATTTTTGTAAAAATTCATTTCAGGTTGACGAGAATGGAAAGATCCATCGCCTGAGGCGTGAGTGTCCTGGAGAGAACTGTGGTGCTGGAGTCTTTATGGCTGCCCACGAAGATCGTCATTACTGTGGCAAATGTAACTTGACTTTTGTGTTCAGCAAACCAGAAGAAAAGTAGTGCGCCGGCGCTTTTTTAATCAGGCGTTCATTTCAACCTGTCTTTAAATGAATAAATAAATCAACAACCAATTTAAGCCTGAATTATTGTTCTCATTGTTTAGCTTATGCTATTTTTTGTAGTTTGACAAAAACTGAGCTATTGGGGGAGATAGAAATTTGTTCTTCGTTCCACATAGAAAGGAATGGAATTTTATATAGATTTGTCTTAGACGCTATCGTTACCAGCGAATTATGCGGTTAGGTAGATAACGATTAAAAGTGAGACCAGAAATATATATAAATCAAGGTTAAGAGCGTCATACAGTAATACCCTTTTGAAAGTTCAGCCTCACTACCAATAGTAAATATAGAGTTGTATTTTTCAGTAAGCTTTTTATTGAATTTTTCTGATTTATACATAATAAATGCCAACATCTATTGAATGTGCTAAACGGTTTTTACATTGAAGCATACAATAAATGAAATTAACTCATAAACTGTTGTAAATAAGCAACATTCAAATGTAGATATACATATGGATACAGATTATAGACTAGTGGCATCCATTTTAAGGCTCAGATACATGAATGTTAGAATATCGGTGGCCTCCTCAATCCGCTTAGATGTTGGCTTGCCAGCACCATGGCCAGCTTTCTTGTAGACGCGCAACAACAACGGATTTTGCTGGTGCTTGGAATCGCGTACAGCTTCTTGCAATGCGGCAGCAAACTTCAAGGAGTGCAAAGGACTGACGCGGTCATCGTGATCGGCGGTCAGAATCAGCGTGGACGGATATTCTTTATTTTCATTTTGGGGCGTGTGGACATTGTGCAACGGCGAAAACTTGTACAGATTATCAAAATGTTCCTTTTCGGAGGGATTGCCATAGTCCGAGCACCAGGCGTGACCGATGGTGAATTTATGAAACCGCAACATGTCCATGACGCTGTTTGACAAAACACACAAACATTATTGAAATCAACAAACATTTGAGTAGAACTTGAACTAACCCAACTTGAGCAACAGCTGCTCCAAATAAATCAGGCCGTTGATTAATGCAAGCACCGACCAGCAGACCGCCATTGGATCCACCTTGAATTGCCAAGCGGTCTTTTGTGGTATATTTGTTGTTAATCAAATATTCGGCAGCACATTGAAAATCGTCGAAGACGTTTTGCTTGTTCAGCAAGCGTCCGCCATTATGCCATTTCTCGCCGTACTCGCCGCCACCACGTATATTGGGATAAGCCAGGACGCCATCAAAAGTGTCGACAAACATTAGACTGTAGAAATAATTATGTAATTGAAATCGAAGAAATATAAATGTATATATGAATATATATATATGTATATATATGAACACTCACCCCGTAATTCCGAATGTTGGCAGCATGCTAATATTGAATCCGCCATAGCCGTATAGCAAACAGGGTCGTGGCTCGAGGACATTTTTGTTTTTCCGTATTATAAACATCGGCACCTTGGTACCATCTTTGCTGGAATAAAAGATTTGTTCGACGGCATAGTCTTCACGTCGGAATCCGTCCAAATTGAGTTTGATTTCCCGAAACACTTTTGGTGGCTCATCTGGATGCTTAAAGTCATAATGATAAATTGTGCCGGGGTTCAAGAACGACGAGAAATTGTAGAAAATTTCGGAATATTTCTTTTTCCCAGACGTGCCAACAATGGTGCCAATATCCAAATCAAATTGTCGAATCAGTTTTCCAGTTTCTAACGAATTTGCTTGCAATATAGTCTAAAATACCCGATTCATTTGGTCAGTTATTAATATAATCTATATAAAATGCAACTTACTTTAACATCTCTTATATAACAAAGAAGAAGTTTATCTTCATTTACGCATTTAACCCACTCCAAGACATCTTTTTCATGTTCCTTAAATAAGAGAACATTATAGTTATTATATTTGATATATGCCTATAGATATTTTTCTTACCGGTATTAGGGTTTCCCAATTTGCCTCGCCTGGATTTTCAAAGTCGATTATAATGATACGATAATTTTGAGCATTTTTATTCGTACGGAAGTACACTTTTGAGCCAACATTGGTCACATACTGCATAAGGCGAAATAAATTATTTGTTTATCACTAATTCGACCGTCTGAAAAAATTATGTACTTACGTCGTAATCCGATTCAAATTTATCAACAATAATTTTAACATCCAGCTCTGAGACTATCTCCTCTCCCGGCTTTAAATCGGCATAGTATATAATATTGTCACGGCAGTCCTTAACAATAGCCAGTATCAAATATTTTCCACAATCGGATACCTTAGATTGGCTAAAAAGAGAAACGAAATAATGTCGATTATATTACAAATTCAACAATATGAATATGAAAAATATATAATCATACATGCGCCACGACGGTTCTTTGGGAAACTGAACAACTAATACATCCTTTGCCTGACTTTGTCCCAGGAGATGATAGTAAAGCTTTTGGTGTTCATTTTGTTTGGTCTCCGAGCCATCAGTTTTGCCATCTTGGTCGGGATATCTCTGTTGAATTGATATTTTTATTATTAGTAATCAGTTTAGTAGTCTGTTGTCACACATTGTCTACGCACTCCATAAAAGAATCCCTTATTGTCCTTTGTCCATGAAATTTCCGAAAATTTCACCTTTTCAAGCACTTCATCAAAATCTTTACCGGTTTCAGCATCACGTATCCGAATTTTAATCCAATCCGATCCACTTTCACTCAGACCATAAGCCATAAACTTGCCATCGTCGGAGAACGATTTCTGGGAGAGGGCAACTGTACCGTCTTCGGAGAGACCATTTGGGTCGAGAAACACTTTGCTCTCGCCATGCAAAGAGTCTTGCTGATACATAACACTGTAATAATAGACCACATACATTTACACACACGTACATATATATATGTATACATACATACATATGTATATAGATAGCGGTTTATTGGCTGAGCAATGAGTGACTAGTTTAATTACCTTTGATTTTGCAGACCGGTATTCATGAAGAAATAATAATATTTGCCATATTGCATCGGGCAACCATATTTCGGATAGTTCCATAATTTTGTTAGTTTACTATTAATTTTTTTCCACTGTTCACAGTTTTCGAGGAATGGCTGGCTTATATTATTTTGGCTATTGACATATTCCTGAGTTTCGGCGGCATCGGGATCCTCGAGCCAACGGTAAACGTCCTTTATCTTCGACCCATGAAAGTCATCCTCAATTGTCTGATCCTTGCGTGCAACAGGATATACAAATTTTTCCTTCATTGCTTTTACAGATTTTTCAGCGAGATCAGACATGCCGGCGGTCGGAATAATTGACGTATCTATAAAGCAAAAGGCACAAACCGTGTGAAAATAATGTTAGAAAATACGCAACTTGTAAATTATATGCTCCAAACTTGCATTTACTTGCCGTCCCAAGATATAATGCGCGAACAACGATTTTGCACTGGCGTTGATGAGACAACAAATATCGCATTGTAATAACTAGGACCAGAGAGGAGCTCTTTTTGCTTAGATAAATAAAATATAAATGACAAAATTATCGATGCATGTCATCGAATTCAGTATTTTCTTTAATCAGGTTTTCTATTACTACGTTTACACGAGCAAAAATAAAATTTATTTATTATTATTTATAATTAATTAGTTCTGTGATTTTCTTCATAATAAATAAATAACTTTTTTTATATAAATAAAATACCGTTTGCTTGTTATCGAATTTCGCGCACTACCAAAACAAATAAACAAAAATAAATAATTCTGTTATCGTGATTTTACGCAATTTTAACATTTATTTTTGACCTCCTTCAATAAATGAGACAATATATAAAACATAATTGCTATATCTTAAGTATTTCTTAATGCAATGTAGTGTGAGATCTCTGAAGTTCAACCGAATTGGACTGAGAAGTTAAACCGTCAGGACGCCCTTGGCCTGGTGCAATCATTGTCTCCATTCGTTGTGTTGTGTCCCGCATAACTCCACTAAAGTCAGGCAAGTCCGGAAGATCTAGTGCAAGGTGGGCTGAGAACCTTTTATACACCGAGTTTTTCACACTCTCTTTTTTTGTCTTCTTTCGACTTTCTTCATACTTTAGTTGTTGTTTCAGAAAAATTGAAGTCTTCATCATTTCTTGTATGTTGTGGAAAGTATTTTCAGATTTTTCTATAGACTTCAGTGCTTGAACTCCATATTCCATATCATAGCAATGCCCTTGCAAACTGCTCTGTAAGCTGAGAACTTCAGTTCGTTTCTCTAGAATGGCTGGAAGTACCTTACGAATATGTTCCTAGAATGCATAATACATACAATTAGATATACCATTTGCAGGTATTTGTATTGGATTATTAAAACAAACCTGAATTCGAAAAAAGGCTAAAGATGGATCGTTGGCGAATATATGTATATTTTCAGATATTTTTTCTGAGGCTGAAACGACAAAAACATTTTGAAAAACATGAATTTATAAAACTACATCTACACGTTCGGATGCCTGCATTATATGCATATTTATTTAACAATTACTTTTCTTCCCCTTAAAGTTCAGTTCACTTCCTTGTGCCATTATGTTTGTCCCTATTTCTTTTGCCTTTCTCTATGGTCAAGCTGTCCGACAGAGAAGCAACAATAAAAAAAAGCGGATAAGCAATGTGTTAAGACTGCAGAATAATTTTATTGTCCACTATTTATATGTCGCAGTCTATTATTGATTTGTTTACTTTAAAACATCGATTTGAAAGTATCGAAACATTACTATCGTACAGTGTCATTGTTTCGATACATTTTTCGTGTGACTGCTTCTTGTAATTGTTTTAAATTTAAAGTGACATCAATGTGTGGATAACTTTTACTTAAAATATAAAGCGAATACAACAATTTATATTGTAATGTTGGCCACCAATCCAATAAATTTCACATTCATTCGATTAATTCAAACGCAGCTTGGGGAAAATTTCTAATTATCTCATCGCTAATGACATCAGCTGCTATCAGCTGTTAAATGTTTACACATATATCTAAGCGTGTATAAATTCATAAATGTCTGAAAAGTTGGTGTTAATACATATGTGAACATTAAAACTGCGAAGTCATATACTTTTCTTGATTGGTAAGTCACATTCACATAATATACAATTGAATATATATATGTAAAATTTGAAGTTTGGCTTAGTATGCATATTGAAGCAGCAGGTGTCAAATATTATTAATCAGGTTGTATACGCTTGTATGCAACTCTCATTTGTATATATATACAACACACATATATATGTATATAAATATATGAATATGAGTACATGTTGGAAGTGGTTATATCCATTTAATCGGATCTCAAGCATATGCCTACAACAAAATACGCTCAAATTCGTTGACATGCTAAAATGCTCGAGACGAAAATTCTTGAATAGGAACGAGTTTTAAATTATTTATAATTTCACAAATATTCGAATTAACTGCGCACCCTTGCAGAGATGACTTAATCGAATAATACTACAATTCACACATGAAGGCTATAAGGTTAAATATATGGATATGTGGTACATATGTATACACCAAACTTGGCATGTCTATATCTTGTTGCCTCTGAGATCAAGGTTTTGCTCACAAACAAAATGGAAATATTTTATAAGTTGATAATTACTAACATATTTGTAATGTTTATTTTTAGTGTGCTATCATCATCCATCATGGCTGCCGAACTTGATGCTATTGAGAAGGATTGCTTAGTTCGAGTGGCCGTAAGGTAAGAGAAATGCGTCATGTTCGAGGCCAGGTGACGGACTAGGAAATACTCCATGCCTAGGAGGAACAAATATTTTCTGCCAGTCGAAAACTTCATGAAGAGCACTCTAACTATTATCAAAATTTGGTTGTTGTCTTAGAGATTCATACATTTGAATTAGAAACTGATCCCCGACAATATATTTTCGGTTTCTATAGAATTCGTCCTCAAAATTCACGAGAGATAATTGACATGTGTAGAATCTGCACTACGGTTACGCCTGGCGAGCAGCATATTGTTATTGGATCTGACAAGGCATTTACCTTTGATTATGTATACGATGTGGACTCAAATCAGGTAAGCATATTAACATAAATATCCAGAATCAATTCACTTAGCGTATCCTCTTTTGTAGTGCGATATATATACCGAATGTGTGGAGCGGTTGGTGGAAGGAACCTTGCGCGGCTACAACGCTACTGTACTTGCATACGGTCAAACGGGCTCCGGGAAAACATACACAATGGGTACAGGATTTGATAACGCATCTGGCGATTATCAACTGGGCATAATACCCCGGGCGATTCGTCATATATTTGCCGGTATCGAAAGAATGCAGATGAAAGAAAATGAAGAAGTCTCCGTCACAAAATCACAGTTTAGCGTGGCTGTTCAGTTTATTGAGCTATACAACGAGGACATTATCGATCTGTTGAATCCATTCAATAAGCACTCAGCTTTTAAAATACACGAAAGTGCAAATGGACAAATTTCTGTAGCAGGCGCCACAATTAAACCAATAAGCGAATCACAGGAAGCTCTCAAGTGAGTATAAAATTGATAAAAATCATTTATATTAAAACTGTACAGCTCTGAGTGGTATATAAAAATAGAGTTTATTGATATTTATATTCCAATTTATTGATCCTATTGCGTGCAGATTGCTACAGGAAGGCGCTTTAGCTCGTACCACTGCCTCGACTAAAATGAATGATCTATCGTCTCGATCGCATGCAGTATTTACGTTATTTGTGCGCAGACAACATTTGATCGAGCCACAAAATGATTTTACCGATAATGACTTTGAAACGCTGACATCGAAGTTCCATTTTGTTGATTTGGCTGGTTCGGAACGATTGAAACGTACATTAGCCACTGGAGAGCGAGCTCGCGAGGGTATCTCCATAAATTGTGGCCTTCTGGCCCTTGGAAATTGTATATCAGCATTGGGAGATAAGTCAAAGAGGGTATCGCATGTGCCATACCGTGACTCGAAGTTAACACGTCTCCTTCAAGATTCGTTAGGTGGCAACAGTCAAACTTTAATGATTGCTTGCATATCGCCAAGTGATCGGGATTTTATGGAAACACTAAATACTTTAAAGTACGCTAATCGAGCCCGCAACATTAAAAACAAAGTTCAAATTAACCAAGATCAAAGCTCTCGAACAATTTCGCTGTTGCGTAGGGAAATTGCAGCTTTGCAATTGGAGCTTTTGGAATATAAACAGGTATAAATTTAATGTTTATGTTACCACTATAAAGATATTTATATTCAATATCTCTTTCAGGGGAAACGTGTATTGGACTCCCAAGGAAATACATTAATCTCAGACCAATTTTATGAAAATTCCATGCTTTCGGCTGATAATAAACGCTTACAACAACGACTTAAATCAATGCAAGAGACTATTAACATCTTAACAGAACGAAATGCGCAGCTTAAGCTTGAAAAACAAATTCATGAATGGTCAACAGACAACCGCTCCGATTCAGAAGTCACCAGTTTAGTTGGGAATTATATCGGCGAGATTGAACAATTGCAAGCTAAACTGATCGAATCGGAAGATATGTGTCAGCAATTAAAAAAATTGGGTTCGTCAGCGAACTCGCCACGCGGTAATAAGCCGTCTTATAATGGTAAGATTGCTGACATGCCATATTTAATAATATACAAATATGTACTTATATGTACCTTTACAGATCCAAGTCTTCTCATAGACATTGCTAAGAGAGGCTTAGAGAAAGATCGAGAGCTCTTAATGTCTCGCTCATTGCCTGGAATATCGAATGAAAGCAGTCAGCTAGTAGAACTCGAGTCTTCTGACAGCGATAGTGATTCGAATGGTAATATAAATTGGGATCACCATCAATCTATGTGTTAATGCTTTAAATTTTTGTTTTGCAGAAATCGAAATGGAGGAAAATTTAAATGAAATTAATTCAGATATCGAAATAAAAACTAAATTAATTGAACAATTGGAGTTATCCCAAGAGAGAATACAACTTATGCGACAGCATTATGAAGAAAAACTAACTATCCTAACATCTAAAATTTTTAACACTCAAAAAGAGAGGGATGAGATGTTAGCAAATATGGGTAAGTAAAAGCAATTGGCAATCGCATTTGTTGGATCATCAATTTATCTTCTTTGTAGCTTCTGCTGTGTCAAATCAACCAAAAGACAACTCAAAATCAGTGAAAATAGAATACGAACGTAAACTGAATGAGATGAATCGTGAACTAAAAAGATTACAGCAGTCTCAACGCGAACATATTCGCCAACAAAAAGAGATTAAGACCCAGGAAATAAAATTACATAGCTTGCGTATGGAACTTAGTGAATTGAAGTGCAGTAAGGTAATTGTCAATGTTCTGTAATTATTATAGAATTTTCCTTAAATAATTTAAATAAATGTCTCTAATATTTTAGGTAAAGCTGATGAAGAAGATATCCGAACAGACCAGCCGACACAAAGAGGAAAATTCAAGGAAGACTCGAGAAATTGCGCAATTGCGTAAAGAGCAGAGACGGCAAAAGAATGCAGTTTTGTCCTTACAGGCTAAAATGAATGCAAAAGAGCAAATTTTGAAAAGGAAATCTGAGGAAGTTTCCGCACTACGCAAGAGCCAACGTAGTCGAAATTCTGGTCCGAAAACACTTCGACAGTCACAATCAAAAATTGAACAGACACGTTCCCTACATCATCGCTGGGAGACCTTATCTCGTACTATATTGCACGCAGCGAGAAACAAACAGTTCATTACTCAGTTGGAAACAGAGTTAGAACGCCACGTTAAAGAGAGGGAAGATCTGTGTCGTGAGTTGGAGTTAATTCAAGATCCCCAGCATATTGAAAAGGGATCCGAATACTCAAACGAAGAAGATAATTTAAAAACCAACATTGGTTATGTACAAGAGAATATTGAACATGTCCAAAAAGCTATTATGGAATTCGAGGATGTAAAAGATCCGGCAAGCACTGATGCATACAAAATGCAGGGCATCTTAGACAATATTAGCACAATTGACGAGGCAAAATACTTGCTTCAAAAATTAACAGACAATAATATTTATATGACGTGCAATTCCTCCATGATTGAGAGTCGTTTGCAAGAACATGAAGCATTACTCAAAGAGGCTCAACGCGAAAGTGTCACACAGCAACAATTATTTCAATATTGCCTGTTAAACAACAAAAATTTGAAAATTGCTGACTTATTTGAATCGATGAATCTTGATGACAAGTTAAACTTAAGTCACTTAAGCCGCACCTTTTCGCAAAAATCTTTGAACAGCAACGGAACTTATGATATACCGCGTGGAGAAGCACTCGAATACACTTCTTTTGCCGAAGACGATGTGGCCAAAAGTCGAGGATCATCGCCCAATCCAACCAATGAAACGTAAGAACTTGTTTTTATTTAATTTTATATCCCTATACCAAGACAGAGAGCAATGTTTTTGATTAAAAATGAAATTTTCATGCCCTCCAATTTAAAAAATATTAACGTATTTTGAATTTTGTGTCTAATTTCTGATTATTGCTTTACTTGCATGGCTTTGTAAGGTGAGTTTAATATTAAATAGTTTTTTATTTCTAACTTTGTACAAAATCAAGTAAAGCGATAAAACTTAAATTATACACACTATATTTTCAACTAGTCGAACAATATTCGTTTTAAAACAGAAAGAATTTTCTATATTTTTTTACACGATTCAAGAAATTGTGAAGAAGTCACGATTCTGTTAAGTAATAATGAAGCTTACTCTACAATCAACCAATTATTTGAAACAGTATGCAAGATCGATGGATAATCCAAAATATATGCGAATACATTGGGAATCAAGAACTTTTTATCATTTATTATTTTTGTATTATGTTCAAATACTAGATCTTCCGACAAGAGTCCAAAGGTGCGCAGGCGTACAGCTCGACGTCAAGATCTTCTTTTTGGAGACACAGGATTTCCGAATCAAGTATGTATTATATCTTTTTGTCTACCACATAAAAGACTTTAAATTTTCAATCTTGCACAGGCACTCAAACCACATGAACTATGATCAATCGGAGTTCGAGTTTGCCAAGAGCTCCAAAATTCTCAAAGTAAGTTCATATGTTACAGAAATACATATAATTTTAATGAAACATATTTGTATTTATATATATATATATATATATATATATATCTGGGAATGTAAATTAAGCGATTACCACCTTGTATAATAAAATAACAAAATTGTTAAAAAGCTTTGTGTTTCTTTTTGGGGAATGTGGGGAATGCGGGCTCTTCGTTTATTCACAATTATAGCACTTAACTCCTTTAACCCAACCGCTCATTCGCTTAAAGCATAAATAAATAAAGGGTTTTTTTTACATCTTTTATTAGCGGTGTATACTTACATATGTACATAAAATATTGATTAAAATTTATCACACCTTAGCCAGTTTACATACACATAATGTTTTCTAAAGAAATTAACTAAACAATTCAATAGTGTTGTACATAAACATCTAAAAAAAAGAAAATAGTATAGAATACTTCGCCAAGATTGAACAACAAAAATAATATAATAATACAATTTTAGGACATAAATAGAATGTTTTAACAGTTGACAATTTTGTGTCATTCGAGATTTCTTTGATTTCGTTTCTGACATTGTACAATATGCTTAATATATAAATGAAAAATTATCTAGCCCCCGATAACGAAGTTTCCTGTTCAGCGTTTTCATGGCTTTGCGATTCTAGCCTTGCACTATTTGGCGGTGCACCTGGAAATAAATGAGATAAATATTTAAAGTTAAGTTCTACTTGGAAGTAATATTATAAAATGAACTTACCAATATAGCTAAGCAGAACTGGCAAAAAGATTAAGCCATGTGTTGCTCCGATAACTACAATTCCGAGGTACATACGGAAATAAAATACTTGGAAAATTTGACTTTTAGCAAAAGCTAAAACTAATATTCCGGCAAACTTTGTAAGAGTTATACCTGAAAATATTGAGCTACCCATTTTTGTTAAACTATCTGTAGCTCTATCTATTTGATTCAACTCTTTTGAGACGGAAAAACTATGCACTAGATGCGAACAAAACTCTACCGAGATTCCAACAGCCATAACAAGATTGACCAATGACACAGCATTGAGTGATATATTCCAATAATACATAAGGCCCCCAAGGTTAACAACAATCATTGTTATAGTGATGACTACAACAAGCGCGGAATGTATATCAAAGCCCATCAAAATGAATGTAACTATAAAAATGGAAAGTATAGAGATTCCCATGCTTTGTAACGTATCTGACCACATCGTTAAATATTGTTCATAGAAAACATAAAATACTGAATACGGAAAAACTTCGACCTGTAAAGCTGAGTCCATTGGTAGTCCGTTTATGATTAGATTGGTTTGCAACATTTGCGTTATGTTAGCTGATATCTTTCGGGCTGATTCTAAAGCTAAGTAATAGTCCTTCGATGTCTTTAGTATTGAAATGATAAGCCATAAAATATGAAGCGTCCACACTGAGTGTTTCATTTTTGTCATAGGAATACCGCACTGCTCCGCTATAGGCAGCATGACCTGCTTTGGCACATAACTCATCTGGATTATCATGCAGGAAACCCGGTAGATATTTTCCAAACTCATGTTCATCTGGCCGTTTCAAATCGTTTTTCGGGATTTTGCAGTTCGAACATGAATAATCTACAATGAAACAACAGATAACAGATTGAGTGAGTTTATAACAAAGGGAACGCAATAAGTAACTTACCTTGATGTGGACAGAAGCTGCCATTCTTCGGATTGTATTTGCAACAATCAGACGAAGCGGCCCAATCAAAGTAATCGTCGACCCAACTTGAAGCTGGGCGTGCAATATATGAAATGTTTGATCGTCGGCTCGCCATGTAAATTTGTGTTAACACGCTGTCATCATTGCAATATTGGCCCGAGCAAACCAAATTCTGATTAGTACTATTTGCATAATTGATATCGCCCTTGAGAACAAAATACATTGGGGGCCCAATATTGAGATGTTTGTTCAGCGATTTGAAATAATGCAAAACAAAACTATCCTCAGGCATTGCCAACTCTTGGTCAAGTCCAATATCAATTTTGGGCACAGAAGCAATGCTAGCACAAAGTAAACCAAAGAATATGATCATAACAATTGCTCTGACAACCTTCTTCATCAAAAATGGCACATAGACGCTCTTAAAAAACTTATACAGCAGTCCCTCACTATTGTGCACAACATCGGACTTTTTACATTTGATAAAGCAACAGATATCTAAACGATTCTCGTCCCTACGTTTTGTGTCCAAAGTGAACAATCCGACAAAGCATGTGATTTGTAATATAAAATCGATTAGTAAAGCGACGCCTGCATACAAAGCAAATGCTTTCACCGCCGGCATATCGGATAAGCCACCGAGGAAGAAACAACAACTTTCACTCACCGATGTCAATAGCATACTTGGGCCAACATGTCCGAGAACGCGACCCACCTGCTGTTCGGTTGTCTCATCGGTTCTACGCTGATCCCTTTGATAAGTCTGCACTAGAATGAAGATATTATCGACACCCACTGCCAGTACCAAAAACGGTATTACCTCGACAATGATTAATGTGGCAGGTAGGCCAATATATCCGAACAGACCCACCGAAGAGACCACAGAGGCCAAGACTATAATAACACCGCCAATGCCCAATGTGATTTTACTATCAATTAGTGATCGTTTAAGCTCTTGTACATGTCCTAAGGATATCGCTATGTATATAAACATAATAATGTATGAAACTAGAATCGTTAAGACATCCGACTGTGATTCCCTATTCAATTCATCTTCAATTGACCTCTCCGATGTGAACGCTATATCCATTGAATCACTCTTATTATTCTTTATATAGCTAACCATAAACTCAACAAAGCTCTTCTCCCATTCTAGTGCACGCTTTAGATCCTTTTTATCATGATGATTTTTAACCAAAAATGTGAGAATCAAAGCATCTGCTTGCTGATATTGTGTACTGGCCGAAAGTTGTTCACCCGGCTTTAGAAATCCGCCTAAGGCAACAGCTGGATCTACAGGTCCGCCGTAGTTAGCTAAACACAAATATGGATTACTGATGCAGTCGTACAAATCATCTAAGTAGGTAACCTAAATATAAAAATACAAAATGATTTCTGTCAAAAAAGAACATTCGGGTCTTTTTATACGTACATTAAATCCATTGTCTTCACTATTGTCATCAAGTCGTTCTATGTCGTCTTGAAAATAGCCCCAAATTGTTTGGACAACACAATCAGAAGTTGCAACATCTGTGTTGTCATCCTTCAGGGGTGCATAGCATATGTTTTTTAAAAACGTTCCGTTTGCGTTGATATTTTGGATTTGCTCCTGCAGATTCAAAGTTTCGGCTAGGAAATTCTTGTCAAATACGGGCCCGAATGTAATTGGCCCGTTCGAAGTTTTATGTACAATGTTTGGCAAGTTTACCGCTTTGATTATAACCTAAGCATAATAAAAAAGTTTTTTCCTGATTAATTATATCTTTGGGCACAGATTGCAGATGAGAGTTTTGTTTTAAACTTACCTGTTCGATTCTAAAGAAGGGTTCAAATTTGGAATCAAAGAATTCTCTTTCCGTTCTAGATTTTGAGGTAGGCGATGCCCAAAGTTCAACTGGATCTGTAGTAATCTGTACATAGGTTACGCCATATCCCAAAACAACAACAATGGTTGCGCCTGCAAGTAAAGTCATCCATGGATGACTTGCAAAAAATGTGCCCCATCTGGTGAATAGGTTTTCCAAAAAAAACTCTGTACGCGCACCAAGCTTTTCAAAATATCTTGGCTCCTGTCTATACATCGAATCATCTGTCACTCCATCATTTTCAATGTGAAAGTCTGCATCTAAAAGAGAAGTAAATAGTTAGTTATACATTTTACTTCTGAAAATTCGATTGCTAACCATTTATTGAGTCTTTTGTAAATAGGAACGATCCCATAAGAAAGACAATTACGCCAACCGAAAATACGACTGTCATAATAACTGTGAATGCATCGAATCCAGCAATTTTAAGAGGATCGGGTATTATTGGTTCATCTGGAGCTAGAGGGCATGACAAATCACAATCTGTACACGAGCACGCTGGAAGTTTACTCTAAAAGAGAAGATCAACAATTAATTATGTGTTTAAAAAGTGTATGCATTAAATGCTCACATTTACTGCCTGTTGGCAAGGGGTAATTGGTGGATTAAGTGGAGTAAATCCGTTCTCTGTTGCGTTTGTGGCATGTTGCATATATGTGATTTGAAAGGGAACAAATGGACTAGATGAATCGCCCATGAATGTAAACCATTTTGTCGCACTGCATCGTGATGCTGGATAGGCCCCGCACATCAGATCTAATGCCAATTTACCGGTTTGCGGCACAGACACCTGCAAATAATAAACATTTACAACTTGTAATAAATCTGCAATGTGAAAATGTCTTTTTAACGCGAAATGATAATTATTAAAGTTTTATATTTTAGCAAACAACCGAATAGAGAATTTGTTGTTGTTAGATGACAATTCGTCGTGATTATTGCATTTGATTGGGATGATCTTGTTATTTATAACAATTATTTTGACATTGTTGACCCCTACTCGTTTCTGTATTGTCCAGTTCGTCATCTGGATGCTGATCAGCATCCAAAACAAGCGTTTTGTCAAATCTTGCTTCGAACTCAAATTGAATAAAATCACACAATCAATTCATTGGCATCATGCGCAATTCGATTGAATTAATTATTACAGTAGGAATTCGCCCATTCACACCAATTTACTACAATTTGCAGCCAAATGGACTTGGCATTTGAACTACAAACATTATTTAATGATATGCAAGAGTGTACCCAGTTTTTCACTGAATTCCATTTTGTTTTTGTAATTTTTAATATTAAGCACATTGCCTGCAATATAATCAAATATGTACTTTATAGTCTCCTAAGGTATTTGATATACACTGCCATATGCCAGGGGCATTAAATTTGGACAAATTAAAAGTAAACAATTTGTTTGCCTCAATTACAAAGACCATATGCCCATTTAGGAATTTTGAATATGTTTTGGAAGCAATAATCCACATCAACTGCAGTTTCTAAAACTTTTTATAATATATATACGTTCAAATGGGTGTATCCAGATTTCGTAAAATGAGCGGGCTGATATTTTTCCATATATACGAGAACAAAGGCATTGTTTTCATTTGTTGTGTTAAATTTAGCACCTTGATAAGAGAAATCGCAATACAGTATATATAACTCACCTGAGAACATGACTTATAAGTCTGGTTGATATACTCCTCTGTTATGTGTATGTCAATAGAAGTTATATAGGTACCTAGAAATAAAAACATACATAATATATATACATATCATGAGAATAGTATGTACTCGAATTTATGAAATTACCATTTTTATTATTTTCGGTAGCAACAACTTTCATGAACTTAGTTTGATTCGGAGAGCAAGTCAACTGGCAAATATGTCGGGACAAGTTTATGAAACACGATGGACAACGCTCGAGAATATTAGCAGCAAGTTTTATGTTGTTATTTAATAGTTTTATCTAGGAAATATTAATATTTATTGTATGCGAATAGTTTTAGTTTTACAATCCGTCTTACCTGGTCAACGTCACAGCAAAAGTTCTTCTGTTCGCCTTCAAGCAAGGAACTGCATCTTTCCGCTAACAATTTGAGACCCTCTTCGGGCATTGGCTTTGCTGTGCCATTGTAGGAACAATATTGGTTGCGTAAAAAAGCATCTTGATTACAAACTCCATACCAGATGCAATCCTGGAAAAACCGGTAAACGGTAAATCATTAATTAAATGATTCCAATTATTGATCGATGGAAAGTGAATTATTGCTTTCATTAGTCATTCACCAAAGCGGTTTTTTTTTTCTTCTCATATTTATATTAAAGCTCACCTGCTTTGATGCTCCAAATAAGGAGACAATTATGCCAAATATGAAGAATTTAACGCCAGTTGAGGTACCGTGTAGTACAATCATTATGCAGTCGATTATAACGTCTTAGCTGGCAAGGGCATAATAGAGAGTAAAGGCTAGAAGTTAACTGATCAATTTAGCTATGTACAAATGCACGCATGCACATCCACAATTAAATTAAGCAACTTATACATCGTATATGTACATATGTGGGTCTAAGTTTAAATGCTTCTAAAAGGGGAAATATGGGAAAATGAGAACCATATAGTTTTTATTAGTTGTGTTTTTAATCGTTTTCTATGAACTTTGTTTTGATGTTTACTGACGTGTGTCTAGCTTCGAATTGCCTATTTTCAAATCGGATTAGTCACATTTAAATGTTTTCTTCAGTTCTTCCCCCTTTCCCCTTCATAGCCGTAAAGTCCTGTGGTTGTGTCATTGCTCCTTTTCTTTTGTCTCTACTCCGCATATTCCGATTTAACATATATGCAGAGCGTGATTGGAATAATATGTACATATATCTATGTCCTCTTTTCGAATACAACTGTTAATTCGTACATTCGTATTTATTTTAAACTTGTAAATAACTTGCAGATTTGAGCAGGAAATATGTACATTAATTTGTATATAAATTGGATAGAGGCTAATAAATAAACGGACATATATATATATATAAATATTTAATGTGTCGTAGTTGACTTAAAGCGTTACACACACACACATACATTCATAGTTCACATACATATTTGGAGCTGTGGAACGTTATCATTTTAAACAAAGATCTGTATACTATATATATATGAATGTGTAGCCTATGTTCGTTATTATTGTTGTTATTACACTCATCTTATTATGATGTGTTTTTGTATACATGCACATCTACAAACATAAACATAAATTAAATACATGACACCTACCAACACAATTAATTAAACACAATTTATTGTTCATACTACGAATCTGTGCACACTTGTAGTATTAAAACGAGGCACCTAATGGTATTGAATCAACGTCTTCAAAGACTTTCTGTCTTCTTAATTTTACTGCAATAAAATTTTTGCTAGGGGTGAACAATACATTCGTCATTCGTAAATAAGTAAGTATTTTTACGTATCGAGTTACCAAGACGCATTCGATAACATTTGAACCTAGGAATATATAAATACTCTTCCTAAGCTCTTTGTTTGCAACTTGTCAATCTATTATTTTAATATATATTTCTAAAAATAAAGAGGCTTGAAGCGCATCGTTCTAATCCCTTTGTGCTTAATGTTTTTTCTGTTATGTTTTTTTTTGTTTTCAAAAGTATAATAGGAAACCCTAAATAAGAATAAGCGAAATTGCTGGATGGCAATCCCAAAAATGTATCCGTAATCGAAATGATTTTTAGCGTTCCGATAGTTTTCGTTGGTATCTAAAAAAAAGTAGCAGTTACCGCTGTAACGGTGACATCATAAAACATTTATTTCTAGACTTTGCAGTCGGCCTCTTGTTTTTGTTTAGAACAGCAGCTTCAGTATTGCGAATCTCTAAAAACTGAATTGAAGTTCTCTTAGGTTAAATTAAATTAATCTTAACTTGAACGGCGAATAAAAACGTATTATCTAACAAAGAACTGACAGCGATACGGCGATGGAAGGAGCATCAAAGTTTTTAAAAGGAGTGCTTGGCGATATAAGCACCCGTTCAGCTTACTCGCAGCTGCTGATAGGTGTATCATCAGGATGGTATGTGTATAACAAAATCTACACAATTTGAATACACTCAATATTTATGCATTTGATAATGCGTATATTATTTTTTACCTATTGTCTTGTTAAGGCAACAATGTATGCTCACATACACACACACACACATATGTACGTGCGATGCAAACCAAAATTGTAAGAAAAATGTGTAATAACAGACAATGCAACTCAAAAATGCGTAATTCTGATCATTTTTATTATTTTGCTTCAGTTTTTGTTATGCAACACTTAAATATACGCATTACGTATGAGCGCTTCTTTTAAACACCCATAGAATTGAGAAAAAAAAAGATTCTTATGATTCACTCGTTATGTTTTGCACTGGTTTTATTTTACGTCACATTTTACTACGCATCGGTAGAGGGTAACATCACTCTATTACGACATGTAACGCGTAAAACATTTGAGGATAGCTAACTCCGACCCCCAAAATTAAGACATACATATTTACAAGTTTTCGATAAGTTGAGTTGAAGTAGTCTGTTGTTGTTGGCCTCCGCCTGTTTCTATGTACCCTTGGAACATGTCTATTTATATGTCTATCGTCATCGGCATCCCGAAGACAATTAATTCAAATTGAATATTGAATGTTTCGGTTTTCCGATTATGTTTTTGAAAACATTTATATTTTTGACTATTTACTTATATTGTATTTTTCATAGGGCGACTGGGTACACAACAATGAAATTTGGAAAGTTCGCGGCCTTTGCTATTGGCGGAAGTATTATCTTAATAGAAATTGCACACCAGGAAGGATTCATTAAAGTCGACTGGCCGAAGTTAACTAAAGGTGTTGACAAACTAGCTGATAAGGTTGAGGAATCAATATCAGGCAGAGATCAAAATTGGTTAGATAAGGTAATTTTGAAATAATTTTGCTTAAATACATCAATTCTGAGTAACATTAAATATGTACATCTTCAGACGGAAAGATATGTGGATCGCAAACTGGACCGAGTTGAGAATACACTCAAAGGCAAATCAAATAAAGTGAAGAAATGGTACGCCAAATATATTGGAGACGAAGATGGGCCAAAAATCAATGATCTTCATATATTTTTAACCGCATTCGTTGGAGGAATTGCCTTGGGCATTGCATCTGGATAATTAAATATTTAAATAATGTATTATGTGTTAACTAAGGCAAATGCAAATTCGTTTCGGTTCTCATAAAGCAAATAAATCATATGCTTAAACCGATTTCATATTATACATGTACCGCAACATTCTATCGTCGGCAGCTTATTTTTGATTAGCAATTGATGTTACTACAATCGGTAAACAAGCCTGCATTTTTGCTACGCCTGATATATTTTACATCGAGAATGTTTTACAAAAAATATATCTATATCTAATGTGTAAGTTTAAGAAGCCAAAGTTTTTTGTTGTCTTGGCATACCGTATCTTTCTAATCGAGAATGCGATTCTCCCAAGCACGTTAAAAATCGTAATTGAATATTTAGCAAATTACACAGCGTAAGCATTTTTCTGTAAAGACTTCGGTTCAGGGTATCTCCTAGTCGAGCTCTCTCGACTAGAGCATTCTTTCCTGTTATTTTTTAATCGAGATCTGTTTAACAAGGTATTTAATCTTCGGCGTCGAATATAATTTTCGTATAATCATTTTATGCTCAGAATTTGCCAACGTTTACAAATTGTAATACTGATGGTAATCGCACATTTTACCTGCATTGTACCATGGATATATATGTGCATAGATAATGTATGTGTATATGTTTGTCAACGTTGCCTTCTGTTTTGCCACTGCATTTCTTTGGGTTCTTTTTGTCATTTTCGACAAGAGTGCAATTGAATTTACTGTGCTGGCGAGTTAAACACAAATAGTTAAATATTAGATAAAATGACATCAGTGATAAACATTCTATTTATTTTTAAGCTTTGTGCTCAAGTGACGTCAACTTCGGTTATTAAAGTAGGTGGGTATCTACTTATAAATAATTTTACTAGTAAATACATATATGTAATAAATGCCTGTAACTGTAACTGGAAGGCGCACTTTTTCCAAGGGCATCTGAACAGCAGAGCAACCCGGAAGTTGCCTTTCAATATGCCGTTCATCGACTGAATCAAGACAAAAGTCTTTTACCCGATGCAGACCTGGTTCACCACATCAAATATATGGACAGCGATTCTTTTCAGGCGGTCCAAAAAGGTAGGTGTGTATCGTCAATAGAAATTACTTGAGATGTTTATAAATGTTTATTTTTAATATATATATATGGAATAGTGTGCAGTCTAATCGAAGGCGGTGCTCAGGCAATATTTAGTCCAACCGACTCGGTTTTGGCCACCCACATTAATTCCATATGCGATGATCTCGATATACCAGATATAGGAATCGGTCGATCCACTCAAGAATTCTCAATAAATGTTCACCCATCGCAGCAGTACATAAATCGTGCATTCATCGATGTTATACAATATCTAAACTGGACAAGGTTTGGCATTCTATATGAAAAAGATCATGGTATGTATCCGATTTGTATATAATAAGATAGTGTTACAGGAAAGCTTAAATTCGTTTATTGCAGGCATATTGACATTGAATCAATTTTCACGCTCAATTCAGGCTGAAGTGCATATACGACAAGTAGCGCCATTATCCTACCTATCCGTACTAAATGAGTTTAAAAATAAAGAAATTCACAATATCTTAATTGACACGAACTCGGCTGGAATTTCAGTTCTACTAAAAAATGTGAGCTCGATTTAAATTCACCAAATATAAAACCTAAAAATTGTAAAATAATTTAATATCAGACACAGGTTATCTTTCAGTTAATATTATGAGTATGTTTTTCTTTGCGTTCATACAGATTCTTCAGCAACAAATGAATGAGTATAAATACCATTATTTGTTCACCAGCTTCGATTTGGAAACATTCGATCTGGAAGATTTTAAATACAACTTTGTGAATATAACATCATTCCGTCTTGTGGATTTGGGCGATGTAGCCGTTAAGGAAATTCTAAAGGATATTGAATCCTATGATCGTCTGATTTTGAACCGAAACCAATCCATATATAGCTTAAAGAAATCCGTTAGCATTGAGGTAAATAGCAAGTCATTCTTATTATTGTACTCGTATTTTTTTTAAATGTTTTCCCCTATAAACCCATTATTAGACAGAGGCCGCTTTGATGTTTGACTCGGTATATGTATTTGCCATTGGTCTGCAATCAATATATCCCTTGATTCATCTAACCAACTTGACCTGCAACGATGAAATCCCATGGAATGGCGGCCTGAGTCTGATCAACTATATAAATGCGGTATTTTTAGAAATTTTTTAGTATTTATACATCATTGCAAACCCTTGCTGAAGGCATTATAATATAGTTCTGAAAATTACTAAATCTCTTATTTGATTGCCTAAATTAGGTTGAATGGAAAGGATTAACTGGACCTATACAATTTAAAGAAGGGCAAAGAGTTCAATTTAAGCTCGACTTGATCAAACTAAAACAACACTCGATTGTCAAAGTCGGAGAATGGACACCTCAAGATCATCTGAATATAACGGAGCCATCATTATTCTTTGATTCTGGTTCCATGAATGTGACTTTAGTTGTAATCACAATACTGGTCTGTCTTTTATATGTCAACATATTGCGATTATGTTTTTATTTGAAGTAACTCTTGAATTTTAGGAAACTCCATACGTAATGATGCGTTATGGCAAAAATTATACGGGAAATGAACGCTTTTATGGCTTCTGTGTGGATATATTGGAAACCATATCGCATGAGGTGGGATTCGACTATATATTGGATTTAGTGCCAGATAGAAAGTATGGTGCCAAAGATCCAGAAACAGGTCAATGGAATGGAATGGTTGCTCAGCTAATGAAATATGTTTGTATCATTAAAAGTATCTTTGAAATTTTCCAGTCTGATCTGAACACTCATCTCATTATTATTATTGTGATAAATTGCAGAAAGCAGACTTGGCCGTTGGATCTATGACAATAACCTATGCGAGAGAGAGTGTTATAGATTTCACTAAACCATTCATGAATCTGGGCATTAGCATATTATTTAAGGTGTGTTTGGCATTAAGCTGTTTCTGCCAAACAATTTTCAAGTATATTTAAATTGATTTTTCAGGTGCCAACAACGGAACCAACTCGACTATTTTCATTCATGAATCCACTGGCGATTGAAATATGGATTTACGTACTAGCGGCATATTTACTCGTATCGATTACCATATATATAGTGGCCAAATTATCGCCGATCGAATGGAGGAGTATTCATCCGTGTGATGTGGAGCACGTGACGATAAGCAATCAATTCACAATATCGGACAGTTTTTGGTTTACTCTTGCGACGCTAATGCAACAAGGATCGGATATATATCCAAGGGCTGTGTCCACACGAATTATTAGCAGTATTTGGGGATTTTTTTCTCTCATTATTGTTGCATCGTATACGGCGAATTTGGCCGCATTTTTAACTGTCGAACGCATGATTAATCCCATTGAAAATGCTGAAGATTTGGCCAGCCAAACGGAAATCTCTTATGGCACCTTGGATAGTGGATCGACAATGACCTTCTTTCGGGTATATATATATATATTTTTGATGTTTACCAGATTTTATATTTGATTTTTGTTTTGTTGTATTGTGATTAGGACTCCATGATAGAAACTTACAAGAAAATGTGGAGAATTATGGACAATAAGAGACCGCAGTCATTTACATCGACCTATGAGGATGGCATTAGACGTGTCAACCAGGGAAACTATGCCTTCCTAATGGAGTCAACAATGCTTGACTATACTGTTCAACGTGATTGCAATTTAACACAAATTGGCGGCTTATTAGATACTAAAGGTATTACTAGGATCAGAAGTATAATATATATTATTGTTTACTTCATTTAAAATGCAATTTTAAGGATATGGCATTGCCACGCCAAAGGGTTCGCCATGGCGGGACAAGATATCGTTGGCCATATTGGAGCTGCAGGAGAAGGGCGATATTCAAATGTTATACGATAAATGGTGGAAGAATACGGATGAAACCTGTACACGGATCAGCAGCAATAAGCACTCGAAAGCAAATGCCTTGGGTCTGGAAAGTATAGGTAAAGTATTACATATAGATATATATATATATAGTCGATAATTATATGTGCGTGTGCTATTGCAGGTGGCGTATTTGTTGTGTTAATAACGGGTATTTTGGTTGCCTTCATTGTGGCCTTCTTCGAGTTTTTGTTCAACTTTCGGCAACAGGCGAAGACAATGCGTATCAATCACTGCGATTGCAGAAATCCAAATCATTTGATTAATACTCAAGCCGACAAGGATGTATCGTATTTGCCACCGGCACGCTCATTCTGGGTGGAAATGTTTGAGGAGCTGCGGTTTGCATTGTGGTGCACCAATGAACGACAACGTCCGGAGCTAAGCAGATGTTGCAGCGAGTGCCAAGAGAATTGAGAATTGTATTGCGACAATAAAGGATTAAAAGCTATCGTTTGATATATATTTTATTCATGTGTTTTAGTGTTAACTTCTATGACTAATTCGCCTTGGCCTGCCAACGTCGAAACACATCCGCCTACTACATACATACATTTATATATAATACAATCAGGTTTGTTCCGAATTCATATAATGATTTCGAATCTGTAATCTTTTCATTTCGAATGCAAAACCGAGTTAAGAAAGAGTCGTTGTGTGTTGAGAATGTAAAAAAGAATATATTGTATATTCAATACATTATTTCTCTATAAGTTAAAGACTATTGCAAAAATGTGTTTATGAATATTTTATTTGATTCTTTCTGTTTAATTTGGCAACTTTTAAAAAATGTTCAGAACAGCAATCAATTCCATTTGGGCAAATCTCAGACGGAGTCCGAATTCGAAACAAACCTGAATATGTCTAGTTGAAATATAATAAGCTATTGTTTATTTTAGTTTTTAATTAATTCGTTAATACTAAAAGTTAGGTTTCCTTAAAGAGCATTCGACAAAGCTCGCCGCCACCCAACGTGCCCTTGGTGCACAATAATAGTTGTCGGGAGCGTTCGGCACTCTTCTTTTCGTTGGCAATGATGCGTCTGGTTCGGATCTGATTCGTTTTCCAAAATGGTGATACTATCTGCCTCTGCCACTTGGCACCGTTCTCCGGCAATGTGGGTAGAGTGGGCAGCCTGCTTAGCTGTAAGGATGGATATGGCGTTGGTAGTTTTACCGGTCGATTGCTGGTTGCTTCTTCATATTTTCGAATTTTCATTTGATATTTTTTTCTTAGAACATTTTGCCTGGCCCGTGAAATGGTGTTATTGGATTTCTTAGACAGCCATTTGCGACTGATGCGCTTTATGAACTCTTGAGTCTCCGAATCCAGGACATCGTTCCCATTGTTGTTGTTGTTGTCTTTGTTGTATGCATCGAATTGTGAAGATCCTTCGCCACTGCCACTGGCAAAATTATCATTTTGTTGCAACGATTTATTTTCATCGCTATCATCATCAAAATGTACTCTAGTTGGTTTCTTAACAAAATAATCAAAGTTCCACTCGTTGGCTCGGTCAACTTTTTGAGCCCTTTGCCGATTCACATTAGTTTGAGTCAATTGCTTTTCAATAGCAGGAGGAAAATCGGATTTATCCTCACTCTCTTTGGCATTAGCACTGCTAGAGTCTGATGAACCATATATGGGCTTTGGCTTTGAATTCGGAGTATAAAAATCATCAATATAAATATGCTGCTGTTGATCCAATTCATCGGTGACTGAATTATTTAGCAAGTAGTTTTTGGTTGGTACAATGGGTATTTTAGTACCATTGTGAATATGTTCGGGGTACTTGTGATATTTCCAGTTTGGTGCATTATTTAAATGCTTACTCGCCATATCGGTTTTGAAGAGAAATGTGATTTCATTGCCATTTATTGGGAATATCATAAAAATTGCACCCACAACTGCCAATATTAACAGCATATAGAGAGCCATAAGCGCAATCAGCCTGTAAGATAGTCGTGGATATATCATGATGCTAATGAGAAGCTACGTCATTCAATCTGTGAATGAATAATATATATATATATATATTTATTTAGTTGTATTTAATATTACCAGTATGCAAATGTGAGAATACTTAGTTCAAATCAAATAAGATAGAACGACTATCTTGGGCACGCCGAAGATTATATTCCCCTGCTTTTTAATAAAGATTTTAAAATATGTATGTATGTAAAACAGACAGACGGACATGGCCATATCGACTCGGCAGCGATGCAGATCAAGAACAAATATATTTTATGGGTTCAATGCGTTGCACATCCTACGACTAAGTAATAATACTCCCTGCATAGGTATAAAAAGTGTATACATGGCGCTGAGAAAGCACTCATACTTCATACTTTGGTTAGAAAATGTTATAATTGTAGAGCAACAGTTATACATTGTTAGTTTTTTATATCTATAATTAATGCATATAGATACATACGCAAATATCTATTATCTATATATTATTTCATATTCACACTTACATATATTGTTGAACACTCAACTTAGAGCTGATAAACTTTTTCGGTTTGTGCACATTGAATTTGTGCAAATACTTATGTACACATCAATATCCTTGAAGGCGTTATTTAATTGAATTCGCTCAGCTCTTATTCAATTTGATATTTATTCAATATTCTGCATAGCTTAGTTATGCATTTAATATTTAAATTGTTTTTTTTTTTTGATAATTATTTGTTAATGCAATTCAAGTTTCTTTCGTCTATTACTTTTACTACACACATCCCCTTTTCTATTCCTGTTTTTAATACCCTTGTTTTCTTTACATCAGTATTGGTGCTGGATCATGCGCAGTAGTACTTGGAAAATCGGATACACCTTTAGCCGTATGTACGTATGTATATACGGCATGTACACATATATGAAAATCATCGCATCACTTTTCATAGTTTTGGACTGTTGTTATTCCTTGAGAAAGTATAACGTATCGGGAATAATATCCCAAAAATTGTGTGTTTCAGGAACGCTGATCGAAAATGTTCTTTCAAAATTTTAATACAGAAATACATCAGATATCAAGTGAAGAAGAATAATGTTTCAGGAATTTTTATCAAAAATTATCTATCTTATTTTCAATACAGAAATAAATCAGAGAAATTCAATAATATTGATCGAACTTTGTGGTTCACAATTTAACTAAAGAAATAAATCAGAGACCAAATCAAGGGGAACATAGCTTTTGAGCATTGTCAAAAATGTTGTTTCGAAATTTAAATACAGAAATAAGTCAAGATCATGGCCATAAAGAATTGATTTTTTTCATGACAATTTGTACTAATCCCCACGATATATAACATGATGTGCTACCAAAAATCGTGCTTCTAATTTTGTAGCCTAGATACCTGCTTTTGAAAAATGATTTAGATTTATTGAAAATTTTACCATGAAGTATGATAGACCATTGATCACAGATTCCCAATTTTATTATGTCCTAGGCCATTACAAATAACTAGTAAATTTTTGAAAAAGCATGTAACAGGTAGAAGAAAGCATCTACTACGTCATAAGGTATATATACATAATTCTCAGACTATCTATCTGTGTGAATAGATCTGAGAGCTCGAGACAACATTTGGTTTGTAAATCCATTGCAATAAAAACTAGAAAATTAAAGATATGACGTGACACAGTACTAATCAACTGCAAAACTTACATCAAGATCATTTGGGTCGCAAGTGAAACAATTATATTGTCATATTTACCAAATTATACAACAGCAAGCAGTCATTTTAAGCTAAAAATTGCTTGGTGCTATTAACCCATTTTGATTGAATTATTTTGAAATGAATTATTGTCGTCCAAGTTTTATCATACAGGAACTCATCCTTTTTGTACAAATATAAGAGACAGAAGAACACGTATAAGTAGTTTGGTCAGGATTATTGTGGTAAACGAAGTATTTCATAAAAGAACTAACTAAACGATTGTCACAGATTTATTTGTCCAAATATGACATTGAAGTAACTATATTTTTGGAATTTATGCCAAATATATTTCGATGTGATCCAGTGTGCGTGGGTTATACAAATAAAAATATACAAAAATAACTAAATTCACTATAAAATGTACTGCAATATTAGATTTCGTTTATTGTTTCCATTGTTTTAGATGATAATTCAAAACTTATTACTTTTTTTAAAATCAATTTGTAATTTTCTATTTACTAACATTGCCTTCTTCATTTGTTGAATTATTAAGATCACTATTGTTGCATGTGTCGCCTGAGGAGCCACTAACATTTGCCACATACAGTGCTGGATCAATTACTTTCGGTATGGGTTTAATTTCCGTTCCCAATTCCTTTTCAATGCGATGCAGATCAAACCGATCCTCGTAGGTTATTAAATTTATAGCAATACCTGAAAAATGGTATATATAGTTTTTTTTGAACACAAAGTGGAAATTGTAAACTGAAATACAGATGTTAGAGCAGATTGACTTACCTAAGTGTCCAAATCGACCAGAACGACCGATTCGATGTAAATATGTTTCAGCCATTCGAGGGAAATCAAAATTGATGACGACATTCACAGCTTGTACATCGATGCCACGGGTAAACAAATCGGAGCAGACCAAATTTCGGCAGAGGCCTTGCCGAAAATCGTGAAACACTCGATTCCTGTGCGCCTGGGCCATTTTAGCGTGAATATAATAACAGCAATAGCCCAGCTCCGTTATCTTTTTCGCAAGGAGTTCGACACGTTGCGTCGAATTGCAAAATATGATTGATTGATTTATTTGCAATTTGGAAAATAATGTATTTAAGCAGTGAACTTTCTGGCGTTCTTGTACAAATGCATAGTATTGGGTGACACCTTTCAGTGTTAGCTCTTCCATCAGATTGATCTCGTAGGGTTCACGCAAATGCTTCTCCATAAAGTTTTTAACCGTTAATGGAAATGTGGCCGAAAACAGCAATATCTGTGGATCTTTGGGCAATTTTAATATAACATGATCCAGCATGCCTTGAAAATCTAACGAGAGCAGCTTATCGGCTTCATCCAAAACTAATATTTTGCAATGCGACATATCAGCAACTTTCTTATCCATTAAATCCAAAATTCGACCCGGAGTCGCAATAATTAATTGTACTGAAATCAAACACATTACAAATATCAAACAATGCAATTCGAGAACAGTAGCAGTTAAATGTGTAAGCAAAACAAATATGATAAATACCTTTTTGATATATACGAAGAATGTCATCCTTTAGAATTGTACCGCCTGTCGTAACCATAACTCGGATATCCAGATGCTTGGCCAGTTCGATGCATATCTGTGAGGTTTGCAGTGCCAATTCTCGAGTGGGGACCATCACCAAGGCTTGGATATAGTCTTTAGTTGGGTCAATTTGCTCCAAAACTGGAATGCAATATGCTCCGGTTTTGCCTGTGCCATTTTTTGCACGGGCCAATACATCTTTTCCACTTAAGGCAATTGGAATAGCAGCTTCTTGGATCGGCGATGGTCGTTCCCAACCCTTCTCGAAAATACCCATGAGCAGTTCACGCTTCAGACAAAACTCTTCAAATTCGTTGCCACGCGTATCAGTCACATCCTAAAATAACAAACATATACATATATATATATATATATGTATGTACAATTTAATAATGAACTCACTTAGATTTCCCATACTTTTTAATATATAAAAACATTATCGTAAATGGTAAAAAATTAATGGAAATTTGAACTTACTGTCGTTTTGAATCGATTGTCCTTTGGGGGAAGCTTCAGTTTGGATTTCCATCCCATATCATCACTTAAGTTATTGGCAATTTGATGATCATTCAAAATTCTGAAAATACGAAGTGAGAAATTCCCTAATTTATTACACTTACTTGTATACACTTAAATAAATATACACGTGTTAATTTGTAGTTAAATTATAAATTTTGTGAGACATTTGTTTGATGTATCTGTTTTTTTTTTTATATAAATCGGCTGATTTAGTGTTATCTTTTTAATTAACAAATGAAAACTCAACAAAACGTGCTTAACATTCCCTTAAAGCCTACAGGGCAACATTTTCGATTTTCATTTTTTTTTTTGGCAAAAGCCGCCAAACGAGACCTTTACACACACATATAAATAAGAGGTATATTTACATATAAGTGCATGTACATACATACACAAGTATGTACATTTGATGAAGCCAAATTTCTTTTGGATTATAAAACGTATGTAAATGAATAAATATATTGAAAGTACAAACCCCTTGTTGACCAGACTTGAATGACCGGGTACAATTTTCTCTGTCATCATCCTGGCGGTTTAATTTATATATATGAATTTGTGTGTATGTGTCACGATCTGAAAATGCGAGATTGATTTATTTTATAACGATAATCGGTGTGTGTGTATTTAAATGTCTTACTTTTGTTATGCTAAAAAATATATGTATTACTTCTTGATTTTCACTTTTACAATTTCAGGCTACTCCGAATAGATCAAGGAGCGTATCAAAATGAGTTTATCTTAACGGCTTATTAATATCACAAATACAACCTAACGAGCGATAGAAACCTTTACAGCCTTACAACTTGGTATCAATAGTACCAATCACACGAAAACAATCACTCGGAAAAAAAGTGCACACTCACTAGTGATGGGAGCACTATTGAATGCATTCGATATATTTTCTATATACAATGCAAACAAAAATTTTAATTAAAATTAAATTTGAATTCAAATAATATAATTGTTTGCTATTATAGGTAAATTAAGAGCTTAATTCGTATACTTTAATTGTTTGCCGATATTTGCTTGCCGTTTTTAGTACTTTTTACTGACAAACGCGTCTCCATGCTATACGATAGTGGAACGTTTTGGGAAATTGAACCAAACGAAACCTTCGCTCGCATATTCGAAATGTTTGTGTTAATTCTCTCAGTACTAATTTTGTTTATATTATACAATTTTTCTGAATATTTAGATATATAATCTAAAATGTATATTATTAACATAACAGTGTAACTTGTAATGGTTAAGAACAATTAATAAAGTCTTCAAGCTATAAATATAAATTTAAGTCAAATATAAAAAACGTTGAACACAAATCGTACCAATTACTCACTGTTTGTTATATCCCAAAATTATAATTAGATGTTTGAGCTTTCAGCTACCTTTACAATGCAATTGAACAACGAACATTGCAAAAAAGTTCATCAGCACTTATGTTTCTTTAAATTTTTATTGCTACATAATGTTTGCTGTTCGACGTACAAATCTGGAATAAGAAGCGAGCTGCCAACTTATCGCCGCAGAGTTGTTACAATTGAAAGTTGCAATTTGCAGATTTTTGTTGGCAGGAACATGTGGAACCAAAACAAAATATTCGCATGAAGCTATCGCTATCGTCAAGAGCAATAGATTTTATTTAGCTGCCCAATAAATGTGAGATATTTCAGACTGAAATTGTATTTACGCATTTCGCTTAGTTTATTTTGATTTTACACAAAAACGGTTTTTCTAAATAAACATAACATAATAACAATTTGATTAAATGTTACAATATTAGGAGAGAGAAACAATCTGTTAGAGCTTTCATCTGAGAGAAAATCAACATTTTATGCTGAGGTTAGCTTCGGAGAGCAAATTTCTATTCTAACTATAAAATCCTTTAAAGTTAACGAACTGTTCATCTGACGATTCTACACAAATGATATGAATGCATTAAACCTAGTTAATTTATAGTCATAGTAATTACATATTAAACTTAAAAAAATAGTAGTTGAACAACAGCGAAGACAATAATAAAGTAAATAGTTATAAAGGACCAAAGAGATTAACCGCTGGATGGTTATCAGCTGTATTTCCCAAAAATTGGCCATAGAGCTCTTTATAGCGATCAAGCGAAAGTCCACCACGCTTTTTATCGTCATCCTGCAAATAGTGCGAAAAACCATATATAATTTGCACAGTGCTTCAGGTTAATTCATCATTTACATTCAATAAAGTCTCAAACGCTTTGTCCAGTGGAGTAATGTCATCAATGGCAATACGGGAAATGCAGTTGTAACGGTATTCGTTAATTCCCACAACGCCATCATTATCAATATCAAGCAGCTTAAAGTTGGATTCAATGAATGCACGCATGGCCTTAAAATATAAAAACAATGCATAGTTATTAACAATTCTCTAAAGCTTGGAGCTAAAAGTCAAAAGAATTCAATGCACAATTAAAAATATAGTTAAAGTACTGATTTATTTACACTTAGCATAGCCGAGGAGTATTTGAGAAATTTATTAATCTATCATTTTAAATTTTGCAAAGAGATCGTTGCAAAAGAAAATTGCAAAAAAAAACATAAAAAGTGTTTGTCAATGTTATATTTTTAAACCCTAAATAATTTTAATAATTCAAAATTGGTTCTATCAGTGAATGTCGTTGATTCGAACTTAATTTTAATTTAAATATTTAATAGTTTAATTGCCCAAAATAATGTATAATGAAATATTTTACTTTGAATGAAAATTTAAATTTTCCCTTTGTATGTATGTTAGAATTCTTGTAGAATATATTTATGTATACAAATCCGGTGGTCTTTTGGTTGCTAGGCAACAAGGAAAAGAGAAAGCGAGAGAGAGAGAGAGAGGGAGAGAAACATAGAGTCTTTCAATTTTCTCATGAAAAGAAATACAATATATTACAAATTTAAGCACAAACTACTAAATTATGCTCTTTGATTTACATTTTTTTCTGCATTTTAGAAGATCTGCTTTTATACTATACTTAAATCAGTCTGAACAATGGAAATCATTATTCGATACTACTTTTGAAATCCTTTACTGGTCACTTTAATGCTATATTATTTTCTGTTAATTTTCCATATATGGCTTAAATTGTTTTTGAATGTTGTATTTTAATCTCTTACCTGGGGAAAATCATCGTATTTCTTTCCTACGCATGTTTTTTTAACAGCATCCTTGAATTCCTGATTTGAAATCTTTCCGTCCTAAAATAATAAATAAATTGGATTAGAAAAACGCAAAAGGTACGCATATTAAGTGTGTTGGGTAAAAAATAAATTTAAAACGATGACAGCTGCTTGAGAGCAGTCTAAATTCGACATCCTTTTCATTATCTTTTTTATAAAAAAAAAATAAGAAACAAAACAGACTTATGTCCCATATAGCAATAGGAAGAGTATGTTATTTATACATTGCCCAAATTTTTGTTATATTGAATTATGTTTGCATTAATTATTGTACTTCACCTTATCATCATCAGCAATTGCGGAAATTTCTTCCCACAAATTCTTCATCAGTTTCTTATACTCATCCAAACGGGCGGGACTGCAATCTCCCTTTCCCTCAACGACACAAGCTCGTACTGCCATGCATAGGAAATCATTTTGGTCCAAGAATCCATTGTTGTCGATATCTGAAAATGAATACAAGAAGTTGGATTTCAAATCAATATATATTGACTTTAGTATAAAACAGTAATAAGAAAGCATAGCAGATATCCTATGCCTGGCCCTATGCTCTAGCCCTGTTAAAATGTTCTTAAAAAAAAATGTATTATAAATAATTGTTTCAAGTATTACATCTGGGGTTCTGGCTTACTATAAAAGACTTAACAATTATTTATTAGCCTTTAATTTACTTGTAGATCATTTTTGTTTGGTCTTTGCTTTCAAAGGCGTAAGCCGAAAAATATTCCTAAGGACTCAAGAAAAAATCTCAATAAGTACCACTCAGTGCTAGGTCCTTTCAGATTTTAGAGGCATAGTGGTCTAAACTGGTATTTAATTTCTATTCCATCGATCGATTTATTTAAATAAACTCATTGCTATTGTCTGTATAATTAAAACACATTTATTCCTTCATCCAGTTGAATCCTTATGAGAACCTGAAGTTTCCTTTTGCCTTACAGGCGATCACCTTTTTCTATTTTGCTTGAAAGCTGTACTAATTTTATTTATTTCACGACCCGTTTCATTTTGCAAACCCCAAAAAAATCTATTTTTAATCATTTAGCTCGTAGCTACTAATGTTTGTTTAAATATGTCTATTTATAGTTTAATTAAACGTATTATAATGTTTTAATTAACAAGAGATTCTTCAAAGAGATTGAGTGCACCTGCCACTAAAATTTGGTAATTGACATGTTTATTTGTTTTTAGGTATAGTCACTAGATATAGAATAAACAGGAACATGTTTACACAATAAAAAAAAAAAAACATAACATTAATACATATATTAAATACATTTACATTATTTCAAAAATTTTTTTATGAATTATTAATCACCAAAAAAAAAAATTTATATTTATGAATCCATTTTGTATTACTAGTTACTAATATCTGTATATGTAGTAATAGTTTAGTAATAGGGAGAAGGACACATTTATATGTAGTGCATTTGTTTTTGGTTTAAGTTACTTACCATACATATATCGCACAACGAAGTCAACTCGATTATCCCAAGAGTAAGCCATTATAATATCACTGTTCGTTTATTATGCATAAAATTTCTTGAACGAAAACAATAACAAATGTTGTCCTTTAGTGACAGGTCTTATGAACTAATATATGACTTTCATTCAAGCACCTTATAGCAATATTCTAAACTACCTTAAGATTCGCTTAATTCAAACTAACTAAAGTTTTTATTGACGAGAGCATTTCCTTTGCAACATTCAATTGAATTTATAAGTGCATCTAAACATTATCTATAAATAAATGTATACACAATTTATATATGCATCTATACATATATATATTTATATGCAAATAGATATATAATATATATTATATATACACTTACTTTTATGTAAATACTAAATTATAAATGAAATGAAATAAAATAAGGTAAGAATATGTCCGCGAAAATATATTTTTAGTGCACGCATAACCTATTGTAAAAGAGCATTTCACAAAATGTTCATTTACATTCTTCTTATTTGTATTGCAGGCAACCGAAATTTCATCTTTCACCTTTTAAGACCGACAGCATCAAAGAATGCTGTAACGAAATGGCCCGGCTACCAAATACCCTGCATCCACAAATCATAAGAGGTCGTTACGATTTTGAGTTCAGCTGTTGTTTGACTATATTAAATAGCTTAATCAAATATAGAACATGTTTTAAATGGAGTTACGTTTCCATAAGCATATTCTGAAGCTGATCAGCATTTAAACAGTATATAAATTTATTTACTGATATCAATAATAATACAGACTATATTTAATTTAAAATCAATAATAATACATATACCAACATAAATTTCAAACAAATATCAAATGCCAACTAAGAGTGATAGAGTATTGATAGTATAGAGTAGAGAGTGTATCTGTTGACTTTATATATGTATATATACATTTATACATTTCGCTATTCCCTCTGTACCCATTTTGAGAGATTGGGTATTAAATGTGCAAGGGTTCGAGTTGTGGGTGACCAATTAAAACATACCCTGTAACCTGCCGCTTCAATTTATCTATAAAATAATAAACATAAAAATATAAAAAAGCTAAAATAAAATATATCTCTTATTGAACTACACTTGCTATGCTCTATATTTATTTATTCATAGCATTAATGAGTTTAATATTAATTGCAAATTATAAAGATGGAAATATATATTAATGCAAATATTAATAAATAACTAATTTACTGTCATAGTTACGAGTGCCCTAAATTGTAAACTTTACCTCCACTCCACTCGATGATAATTAATAAAACAAATGTTTAATATTTTACCACACCCTCCGGACTCGTTGAGCGTCTTACAACCAATCAGACAAACTGGCTCAAGTCTAAAAAGTTCCGACTCAAAAAATATGTTGGGTTATGGTTTATTATGGCTTGGAGGGTATAATAATTTTGTCGTAGAGTTTGCAACTCATTGAAGGAGACTTCTTTGAACCCATAAAGAATACATATTCTTGATCAGCATCACAAGTAGAATGAATATTAAGAAGTCCGTTCATTTCTCAATTTCTATAAGAACTAGTCCGTCAGCTATAAAGTTATTTTGATGAAACTTTAAATTAATCTGTATTTTGGCTGTAAACAATACATATTTCGGATCTAGCTGAATCGGGTTTCTATACTACTTAGCTTTATATCAACAATCGGCTGAAGGATAAGTTCTTGTATGAAAAATAATTTGTTTTCGAGTTATTGCTTTTAGCAGTTGGACAAAATATATTCAACATCGGAGCCAGTTTTTACGTCCTGCAAGGGTATAAAATCTTCGGCGAGCGAAAGATATTTGTTTTTTTTTTTTGTAATAATGATGTGACTTATATAATGATAAGCCTCTTTAGCCTGTTACAACTATTGTTGTACCGATCCATAAGTATAGGTCTGGTAGTAGTCTATTAAAGTTGTCTGAAAGTTACTTCTGCTTCAAATCGATGCATAACAATTCAGCTTTGAGAGAGAAGCTTAGATCGGTTAAAGAGGTCGAAGTAATCTTTGAACATGAGGAATTTTTATTTTTATATAATTTATTTTATCAAATGCCGACTAAGAACAGCATACAAAAAATTAACTAAAGGTTTTTTTAATATCTTGAATATAATTTAAAATAAAGTTTACAAATTAAAATATACAAATGATAAAATTCAAAATTAATACTTAAAGTAAAATAAAAACATAAATAAATATTTAAATAAGTAAAGAAATAATTTCATCTCAAGCTGTTAAGCCAGTCCGGTTGCACCACCCGCTGATGCGCAAGATAAAACTGACGTTTCAAACTGCTTGAGTCTTATCTTTGCCACAGATTATTTGCACCTGACTATACAATAAATTCCTCAACACCGAAGGGTAGTCTGCTTGGTTCCTCAATCCTCAACCCTCAATGTGCTGTATACTAACATATAATGGGCTAACAACAACAACTCCTGCCAGCAACAGCAACAACACTGCACACTGCAATCCGTGGTCGATTAAAATATTCGCAACAAGCTACTGTGCAACTTTTAGCTTACAAGTCCTTAATAAGGGGCGGTGAAGAAATTGATTGCACTTTGCTGGCGAATACTAAGTAAAGAACAAAAAGGAAGAACGGCTTTTTAGGCACGCCGAAGTTTGTATACCCTTGCAGAGCGTAGACAACCAGCCGATATTTAAATTATACTATAATTTAAAATAACAAACGATGGTTTCTAATGGACTATCTGATATAGGAGCAAAATGTTGATTATTTATTAGTAATACAAAAACTCGTACTTGAAGTGATAGGATAACTTGATAGCAGAATAAGCTGTTATAGTCAAGGTAATTTGAAATCTGAGGGACTACGTATTAAAGAAACAGAAAAAAGGACGAACATGACTATATCCACTCGACTTGGATTGCTGATCAAAAATATATATATATATAAGAGTTGGAGATTTCTCTTTCAATGCCTTCCAAACTTCACTATAAAATTATAATATCCTCTGAAAGTGTATTCAAATGCATAAATATATAAGAATTCAAAAAAAGATACTTTTCTTATAAAAGCTCAAGAGTTAAAAAGTTGTTTGATCTCTAATACGGGTAAGCATTATTATTATTCTGATTATAATTAGGGTTCGATTTAAGCTGAGTTGTAAATATTAATATATTCAACACAAATTGCCCCTTTCTGAATGTGCAAATTACGAAAAGACTACTTTGTAGTTGCACTTTTTACATTACTCTGTGATTTATTGGTTTTCATATTAAGATAGGAAATAATAAAATAAATATATGAACAAACATTAATTTAATAATTACAAAATGTAACTTTAAGATGAAGCTATATTCTCAATTGAGAAAACGTCAACTGAAGTAACTAAATAAAATATTCTGGTCAAGTTGAAAAACTTTTTGTTGATTTAAGATAAAGATACGTTTCTCATGCATATATTCATATTCAAATGATGTACATTCAATTATTATGTACACATATTTGCAGGCCTTTTCATTACAGGGTATAGGAAGGGGCGTGTCTAAGACGTTCACCGTTCACCTTAAGAAATGAAAGAGACGCCGATAGCATTGACCAGTCAAGAAAAGAATCTTATAGCACATTTTCACTCAAGCTCAAGAAACCGGATCTTTCGACTAGACACACACTCTGAGCGCAATTTAAGCGTCGCCAGTAGTTATGAATGGGAGTAGTAGTAGTTGTAGGTAGGCCAAGTGGCTGGTGTACCCGGGTGCCTGGTGCCTGCACCTGTTCCATCCAGAAATGGAAACATATTCGCTTTGAGTGTAACTCAGTAGGCAGCTTGCTTGTCAGCGAGCGCGCGCAAAAGACAGGGAGATGAAGTTGCAGATGAACCAAGAGCGAGAGAGATAGAGAGAGCGAGAGAGATAGAGATGGAGAGGGAGAGGGAGAGTGAGAGAACGAGCGAGACTAAGAAATTAAAGCGAGTTCTGTCAATGATCCTCTGAGTAAAAGCAGCTCACCTCGAATATTTCATTCAAATATAACACACACGTAAACACATAATGGCCATGTTAACTCAAAGAAAAATAAGAAAAAGAGTATAAGCAAAATAATAACAACAACAATAACAACAACAACAACAGCAGCAGCAACAGCAACAACTAAGGAAGCTGAAGGCATACTGAAAAAATAACGATAACAAGCCGCTCGCCTCACCTAAACAATGCAACAGGTGATGGACGGCAAAGCGCGCGGTCTTCGTCTTGGGGAAAAGTCAAGTTGCTACCTGTAAAAAATACATACATACATAGGGGTATGTACGTATGTACATCAAACGAAGCCTACAACTAGCACAACCATACATGCATACATACATCTGTGTGTGTGTGTGTGTGTGTGTGTGTGTGTGTATGAGTGTGTGAGTGCCCAAACGTGCACAGGTGCTCTTGCTCGTGCCAGAGCGTTCAAGACGAGTTTGTTTGAGATCAATTGATAGCCGTAGCCGTTGTGTAATGTTGATCTTGTTTTGGTAACGTAGTGGAGCATTGAGTTAAATGAGCCTGACTCTTAATTTTAGCTGGTCGCTGCTGCTGCTGCCTGCTGCTGCTGCTGCCTGCTGCTTGCTGCTGCCTGCTGGTCTTGTCCGCAAGACGACTTTTTAGTGTGTAGTTGTGAGTGGTCGCGTCTCGCGTCTGAATGGTGTATTGGTATTTCAAGTGTGCGTTTTTTGTTTGTGCAGTTTTCCTCGGAGAGAAGGTCATGGCCGATTCGAGCGATCCTGATCACGCAGTATTTGTTCAGCATTGAAAGAAATGGGTGCGCATTGTCACTCCTAACAAAAAACAAAAAAAAACACAAATAAAATCAACACACCAAACTTTAATAAGCCCGCAACTCTCGTTAGTCTAATGCAATCGTCTTCCTTTGCGAATTAACTGTTTATTATTTGAATAAAAATGGAATCCTGCGTTTTAATACCCAAAGAGTTCGCGCTTACAAAGTTATCCTTGCCCACGAGTAAGAGCGAGTCCGTTTTAACCGTGTGCGCAACAACGAATATCAAAAAAGGATCTCTATTCTACCCATTTCAAGGTACTATCCGTACCGACAAAATCGATAACCTAAAATATCCGGATGAAAATGATGTAAGTTATTTGATGAATAAGATTTTATTGCTTATAATTTTTATGACCATCTCTTATTCTTTAAATTCTAGTATTGATTTAGGAAACTTTAATAAACATTGATATCGTATTTAATAGTTTGTTATGAAAATTATGCAATTCAATAGATGTTCTTAACTATCTTTTTAACTAACTTAAGACCGTAAATGATTCCTAAGTAAATTTACTTTTGCAAAACCGGTTCATTGAATATTTTATTTTAAATTGTTAATAAATATCCCTTTTTTAACGTATTCTCAGCATCAAAGTAGCTGGGATTAAAATTTTGATTATAAAAATGATTAAGACATGGATAATAATATCAAATTTTTGCTGTTATAAAGAACTTATAATCTTATAAAATACATATATTTATTTCGACTTAGACCTTAACCTGTCGATCTTATAAATACATTTTATTCACAAATAATCACATAGCACTGTTACCTGTCAATCTTAAAGGAACCTTATAAGAACAAATTTAATATGAGTCAAATCTGTCAATCTGTTCCTCCCCACCCTCTTCCGATATGGATTGCCAATGATGATGATTTTTGAAGCATGCAAATTATAAAGTTTATCTGAATATAAGACCCAAAACTTTGGTTGATAGATTCTTCTACTTCCTAATTTTTACGTAAATTCCTTTTGTTGTATATCTTAATATCCATAATTGACAGATTCGTGATTAAAATTATAAAATATTGCATATAATATTATTAAATCTAAAGCCTCAAAAAAATCCTCATATACATAAGTATTTACCATATGTCTACCAGAAACGAATTTGGTTTCCGATTCCGGCTCTGGCACACAAAGTGTGAAGATTCCGATGAAGATTATGTTTTTTTTTTTCTAAGACACCCTGGTAAATAGTCTTATTAAATATGTCATCAAAGTTCCAAAAATAATTATTAGATTCAGAAACTCTATAAAATCTAAAAGCTATAGAATATTTACAGAAGGAAGCAATTGATTATACGCAATGGGGGATTGACGTTAGAAAAAAACTGGTTCCGTGAGAAACTTCCCATGACCATCTCTTAATGGAAGACACAAAATCTTAGTCCAAGATATCTCTGATACACCCACAGGTATTCTCTGGAACCATAACTTCTGCTTCACTTTATGTGTGTGTGCGTTTTTCATGCATCGTTGGTGCAGAATTATTTTGGACGAACATGCCTATAAATAAGTATGTAAGATTCCCGCCCCTCCCAAGTTTTCTCAGGCTAACGTTGAATAATTGCTGAAGCATTAAAGAAAACTGTGAGAACTTCTTATGTCCGTCTTGAAGAGTTCCCAACGTCATGGGAGAGTGAACACCCCATAGACTTTTATACACCAATTTTCGTAACACATTTCTTATGTGTCTTTATAATGTATAAAGTATAATGTATCTGTAGGTGTGCACTATTTGCTCACACATTGTTAAAATCTTATAACACAAGTCCAAAGTCGATTAAAACAAAATTTCTATACGATATAAAACAGACTTATTTTTCTTAGTGCATTTTATTTTGCCTGTTGATTTTTTTTTTACAATATTAGTTGATTTTTAAATGAATTCAAAATTGCAATATATGGTTTAAGTTTTTACAACAGTTTTATATGATTTATAATTTTAAAAAAACATTTTCTCTCAATGCATCTTTGTTTACTTGTTATTTATGATTACATTAATACTTGATTTGTGAATGAAGTGAACATTTTAATATTTTTAGTATCTTTTTACAACATTTTTGTAGGATTGCTAAAAAATAACATTTTTCTCAGTACACATTTGTTGTTTCTTTTTTTAATATTTAATTTTCATCGATTCATAATTATTCATCAACACCACTTTTTTATGTAAATTATTATTATTATGCTGATCAGCTTTAACCAATTTTTATACGGTTTATATAGAAAAAATACATTATTCCTCAGTGCATACTTTTTTTTAACGATGATTGTCTTGTGATCCTACTTACATATTTAATTTACACCGATTCATAAATATTTACGAAGCTAATGCAGTTATAATGTTTTTTTAAAGTATATTATTAATTAATATGTTGATCAGCTTCTCGGGATCTGCCATAATATTTATTACAATCGCAAGTCTGAGTTAATAAGTTAATAGAATGAAGTCTAAATTAATTAAAAATGAATTAATTGCTTTCAGTTAAGCCGTTGCGACTCAAATATTTTTTGCTTACATTCCAGCCAATGTATAAAAATAAGGTAGCGCTTTAAGAGCTACATACATACATACATCCATACACATAAATACAGCATATTCACATATACATACACATACACACATATATTGCACGTTACCTGTCTTCATCTTGAAAATTTAAAAGCGATCGAATCATAAACAAAGCAGTCATTCAAGAATATTTTTGTGTGCGTATGTGCAGCATACATACATACATATGGATACATTGATATGTATGTATGCATGTATGTGCGTATGTATGTTGCCGGGAGCCAGAGTAAGGTGCTACCGGAAACGAGCAGTGCGAACCTGGAATTATTTGTGTGTGCACCACTTACACACATACATCTGAATGTATATATGTATGTAAGCATGAGTGTATGTATGAGAGAGTAATTTATGTATGTGTGTGTGCGTGTGTGTGAGAGAGTGTGTGTATTTGTATGCATATAAGGACATAGTCTTTTCTCTTCTCGGAGTCAGAGTGATGTATGGCATTTGGCATGTACATCATTGATTACAGGTTTCGAAATATATATGTAAAATGTGTGCAAGTATGTGTGTGTCTGTATATATAGTTTATAAATATTAACAAACAGTTTTGGCACACCCTTCAATTATAACATGAATAAAACAGGATTAAAACGATTATGCAGCGGGCAACTTTTCAAATACATACAATTTTATATCATAAACTAAGCACATTTAATTCATTGGGTTATATAAGCCTTACATCGACTAACAATAAGAAAATTACAAATATATCAACGCATATATATTGAACTAAAATTATTTTAGCAACAAATTCTATATGATCTAATTGTCAATTAATATTAATATGTGCAAACTACAAAAATGTAAATTTTCTACTTGGGAGTGACCGACTAGCAGATACCCTGCACTTGGTTTTACATTTTCTTAGTGTATTAGGTGCTTCGAATTTCCGTATATTTCAATTGTTTCCATTTAAAAACAACACATCGTTTTGCTGTCTAGCCGTGATCTCCTTTTCGCATACACGCATGTCTATCGAATGTTTATCGAATATTTAAAGACCCTAAAGGCTATGTAGCCCTCTCCAGGTTTTATGATCGCTTCGTGTTCTCGTAGTAGTTGCCTCCTCGACTTGTTAAACTGGTACATCCAGTTTAGCAATCACGGCAAAGGAATTGCAAATTGCATCTGCTTTTAGCATATGCACATGCACAAGTAGGAGGTTTTCAAAATAAAAAATAAAATAAAAAAACCGCATAATTGCGAAGCAAATAATTCCAGCTAAAAATAATAATAATATGTAATCACGTTTTAATTGGTTTTTAATATCTTGTTTATATTTATTTTAGTTGAGATACCGTCATGGTTTATATCATGAAGTTTCATACAATTATGGATCGCGAGCAATCCATTGCAATTGGATTAGATTTCTTCGAACTAGCGGTTCTTTTGATTCGAATGTAAATCTCATTTGTACGATGGTTAAGGGGGATCCATTGTACGAGGTCATCAAGCCAATCAAGACTTATCAAGAGTTAGTTGCCTATTATCTGCCCGAACGTCCCGAAGAGAGTATATTCATGACACTGCGTTCAACGCTCTATCGCCAAGCAATGGACTCCATTCTACAAGGTATTTACCAACTGCCCCTCCCAAAAGCAATGTAAAGTGTTTTATTATTCGTTTTATATTCCAGATACTCCCCTCGATTTGTCGTTAGCGTTAATGTACAAGATACCAAATTTACCGCTATCTCCACCAACAAGCGAGGACGAACAAAAGTCAATGTTGAGTGACTCCTCCGGTTCCTTATTATCACTTAATGATAGCACCAATGACAACTCAACAACATCATCCGTATCCATGGATGACATAAAGAAGTCTGCCTTCGAGAGCATCACAGCTAATCCCCATAAGAGTACGATCAATATTCCAAATTATCAATATGAAGCAACAAAAAAACGCATCGGCAGAAATGAACGATCATTGCTACCCTGTGAAGTTTGCCGAAAAGCCTTCGATCGTCCAAGTCTACTCAAAAGGCATATGAGAACTCATACGGGTAAATTAATTTTTATTCTTTCTGTTATCCCATTCGCTTATACTCGATTTGATTATTTTTCCTATATATTTATTATTTATGTATTTAACTTACAAGTTTTCTTTTCTCTGCAGGTGAAAAACCACATATTTGTATGGTTTGTGGCAAAGGATTTAGCACATCCAGCTCATTGAATACTCATAGGTAAGTATCTATTATAAAATACTTAAAAGAAAACCATAATTGAAAAGTATCGTTTTTGAAACTATAGGCGAATTCATTCTGGGGAAAAGCCGCACGAATGCCAAGTGTGTGGAAAAAGGTTTACCGCAAGCAGTAATCTTTATTATCATAGGATGACTCATATTAAGGTAATAATCGTTGTGATGCCAAATATGCCATAGATATATTTTATAGCAAAATATCATTAAATACATTTTTTTTGTTTTTAAAGGAAAAGCCACATAAGTGCAATTTGTGCGCCAAGTCGTTTCCAACTCCCGGCGATTTGAAATCCCACAAGTACGTTCACAGCGGATCGTGGCCCTTCAAATGCTCCATTTGTTTCCGGGGTTTCTCAAAGCAAACAAATCTTAAGAATCATTTGTTTCTGCACAGTGGTTAGTTTTGCTTAAAATATAATAAGAATAAATAATTTATTTATGCGATTGTTTTACTACTCTTTTTAGGTGACAAGCCACATGGCTGTGACCTGTGTAAAAAGAGATTTGCACTGGCATGCAACCTGCGAGCACATATGAAAACACACGAGGGTAAGCAGAGTTTTTAATACCCTGTATTATTTATTTAACTAACGCCTTTCTTCATGTTTATAGGTGAGCCACAAGATGAATGCATTAGATGTGGCAAGGTTTTTGTGGCCACAAACAGTGTCGCGCAACGTAGGAAAATTTGCATGAAATGCACGGATTGTAACGATTCAACTGACGATGGGGAAAAGTCTGGCTGTCAATCCGAAAGAAGTATTTTAACCGAAGAGGAATATGAATCTTCCAATGGTGCAACAGAATATAGTGACAAATGAAAAAATATGGAGGGTGTGGAACCACTAACGATTTGAAGGCCATTCTGTGGGGAGCATTTGGTCGAACGTGTCTGATCACTAAACTTAAATAAATTATTCACACTTAGCATCAGTAATTTTAGAATATCGACCAAAAATTTTAAATTTTTAAAAACAATTTATGGATTTGTGTGATTTTAAATAGCAAACAACGCTTACAAACACAATGCAAGAAATTGAAATTAATTTATTAATATACATAATAAATATTGTAAAATAAATACGTATAAGTTAAATATTTAATCTGAGATCAGATGAAATTAAAAACATCTAGTTCCGTCCAGTGATTAAAATTTGACTTGTTTCATTTATCTTGTTTGGGGATATTTATTTTTAATGAAGTCCCAATGGAGATCAGAGCTCTTACTCAACAGGCAATTGAAAATGGTGGTGACATAATGATCGTACCAGTCTTGACAGTCAATAAGCAGCTGCTGTGGAGGTTTATCTATAACATGGTGTAACAGCAATTCACGCCATGCAAAAACCCACCGCTATTCGATTGGCATGCTATCTGTTTTCCACTAGCATTTTAATATTGTTGGTACCTAAAAATAGCGCATGTCATCACTATGTATACAATAAAACAGAGATGTCGTACTTAACTCATAATAGCATAGAGAAAGTTAAAAAGAAACGTATTCGTGCTTTAAACTAAGACGCTCAGCAAAGAGCAGTTTACGCAGACGTTCGGCAATATCCTCTAGTATAATCGATTTCACAGAAGAAAAAATATCGCAATGAATCGTCTCATATTCTTGTGGGCCCTTCACAAAAATATCGCTAGTAGATATTGATTTGCAATATTATATTTGTTTACAATAAGTTTTGGGTCTCACTAATTTTTTATTCAAGTTCATCTTAATTTTTCTGTAGTTTACATGAAATATGAATACACAAACAGGGGAATTAAAAAAAAAAAAACATTTTTTTTGACATATATGCATTTGATATTTATTGTACATTTTTAATTCCTCCAAAACCTCGAAATTTATGGCAAAAATATCAGATAATCAATTATTGATTAACCATTCCCATATCTTTTTTGCTAATGTTAGTTGGTGACGTGTTTCAAACGCAAACTCCGTTGCGGAGCTAACTTGACATAAATATTAATTTCAACACAATAGTTACCTCTGCCTCAAAGACAAAAGCTGCATGATATCAAACTGTCAATATGCATAACAACCAGCGTTTGTACGTGTGTGTCAGCCATATTGGCTTAGCACTCGCCATTTGCAGGGAATTAATAAATAAAATAAAAGAATTAAACGCGAGCAAGCCCAATTAGAGATTGTGTGAAAAATGAGATTACCAAGCACATAAAGGTTACTAATAATAAACAACGAAATGTGTCCAATTATGCACTCGTACAGTGCAGCAAAATACAGTTAATATTTATGGTGACTTACAAACAATGTGCAGAAAACTGTAAATATGTTTTGTTTTAATGAACCACAATTATTGCTGAGCATTTATTGCGTCAGTGCAGAAACTCCAAGAAACTAAGATCTACTTAAAGCGAACAATAATTTATTTGGATAGTGCATAAATATAAGTGCGTATGAGTGTATATATTTATATTTTCATATATGTGTGTGTATGTATGTACATAAGATTCGTGCTTACATGTCCTATGTGCGTATGTATGTAAATCAAGCTGTGTCTTTGGAGTTCCTTAAATGAAATACAATCAATAATGTATGCAAGCATTTAATTAGCGCATTTTCTTCACAGGATTGTACAGATCTAATCTACCAGCTCATACAACCAGCTATATATATATATATGTATGTATATATATATATGTGTGTGTACATGTGTATTATAAATGCCAGCAGTTTGAAGACTCACAAATATTGTCTTTCACTTAATAATGGGGGACCGTGACATCCCAAGTGTACCCGTCACAACACTAGCTGGCCTCACCAGTACCTCCGATTGTAAGTATTCCATATATTCTACATGTTTTAGATATATATTTACCCATCTTGATTTCTTAGTGCTCAGCGAGCTTCCCGTCTCGGATTGCCTTCAGAGCGCGGCATCCTTTAACAAATCGCTGCTCTTTCACTCACTGGTCGCCAACGAATCCAACAATCTACTCTCTGTGCGCGATGAGAATCTCGTCAGACAGCTGGTGAATGCGATCGAGCAAACGAACTCGGACAATATGTAAGCTACAAATAGTCCCCTTGCTCCAGCACCATAATTATTAATCGTTAATCATATCCTTTTAGAGAACTAAAGCCGCAATATACCATTCAGCAGCATGGCGCCAATATTAGCACATATCCTGAATTACTACAGGGTATCTACAACTATCGCCCAACTGTATTTAATACACCACGTCGAACTGGTAAGTTCTTATGAATATCAAATATTGATTACATACTAAGAATAATATTATTTTTAGTTATAAACGATCGCACGTCGCAGCAACACTTCGCGGAGCATTCACCAAGCGAGCAGCATCCTTTGCATTCGCAACAAATTGGTCTCTCTAATGATATATGTCAAGCGCCCTTCAATTTAAATGTTCAACAACAACAGCAGCAGAAGCATCATCATTCGAACACAAAAGACTATATAGACCAATCAATCGGGTTAGCAAAACTGTTCTTAGTTGATTAAATTTACTTGTTTATTTTTTTGTGCTAATACTATTCCGATTTCGGTTTTAGCATGGATGTAACGAGTCTCTTACCACCTGATCAGCGTGAGACTCGACAAAGACTGCAGGTCGGCTCGATAGACAATGTTATTCAGAACGTGCAGGGAATGGAAATCACTAACCAGCCATCGTTAGTAATGCCGGCGGAACATCATCAACAGCAGTCGTCTGTGATTCAAGCTGTGAATCAACACGGGCATCAATCCCAAACGTATTATCAGTACCCCAACCAGCAGCAACAACAACAACATAAGGATCCGATTGATACAACCAAACAGCAAAGCACAAAGGACACAAAACCCACATCAGCCATCAGTAGCAATCAACAGTTTAATAAGATGTCAACTGATGCATTACAGCCGATTGCATTTCAATGTCAGGCGGCAACAACAACAACATCGACCATACAGGGCAATTTTCAAAATGTTTTAAATTTACAAAGACAACAGATTGCCGATGGAGCAACACAGCAGCAGCAACAACAACAGCTGCAACTGCAGCAACAACAACTACAACAGCAACACCAACAACAGTACGCCAAACCTCAATCGCCAGCCCAGCAATTTTACAACGCATCGACCTCATTGGCGTCTTGCAACAACAACAATGGTAGCAGTAGTGGTGCAACATTTGGGCATGATTTCAATCAATCGACGAATGCGACATCAACTGCCACATCCACATCGACATCGTCGAGCGGCAAATCCCAGGTTCGGGTATGTATAAATCGCCTTAACGTCGAGGATGCTCGCCTTATGCAACAGAGTATTAAAAAGTTTGTACAAAAGTCACCAGAATTGGCAAGAAATATTGGGTTACTTCGCGATGCAAGTAACAAATCCAATGATAGTGAATATCTATCGTTAGCTGCTGAATTTAATTCCACAACGACGGATGCTGCACACTCCTCGGCGGCTTCTGTTGATATGTTTACGGTTATCAAAGCGGATGAGAAACGTTCGACAACTAAACGGAAACTGGCAATATCACTGGGCGATATTCCACCAGAGCAAATATGTGAGTAAAATATATATTACCTAATAGTTAGTTCACGAAACAATGAATACATTCATTGAATATACTTTCGCTATATTTCAGTCTCCAAACCCAAACTGCGTCGAGTCGAGCGCATAATGGCCTTATCAACAACAAAGTGCACTAAAGAAGAAGTCACGCGTTCGCAGACATACCAACAATTTATGCGCAATATGGAGCAAATAATCGAACTGCTCGACGATACTGAATCGCCAAATTTCGATTCAGGTAATTTAAACTGAAGAAATTAAATGGACTTTGTTAATTATTATTGGTTTATATGGATTTGCAGAAGACGTCGATGATAATATTGAGTGCATTTCACCAAAACTTCTCAACACAATGAGCGACGATGTCGCCAAGTTGAAGGCCAAGCAAGCATTGGACTCTATACCGAAAAACAAATTAACCCTCCTCATCAACTATGCCATGCGCAACGTTTATTTGGCCAGAAATTATTCAGCGGGACCGGTAAGAATTCGTTAATGAAGCAAATCTCTGTTGAAATAGCAAATTTTAATTGTTTATTTGTATGCATTATTCTTTGCAGGAAGACGAAGATGAAATCGTTGATGATGAAGTGATAGATAAGATATTAAACGCAATGGATGCGTGTTTGCTTATCTGCAACATTTATTCAACAGTGAGCGACTTGAAGTTCTTGCAAGAGGATAACATATCGCACATTATCAAATTCGCTCAGTTTCAATTGCGTGAAACAATATTTCCGTTACACGATCCCGTCTATACGGTGAAAAGTGTGAAAAAATCAACGCAACGTAAAAAAACAAAGTCGCATCAGAGTCATCATCGCAGCTTACAGATCTTCTACTCGAAAGTTGTTGAGCTACTGAAGGTATTTGTGGCGCTCTTCGACAAATGTATATTTGTCGATACCATCGTGCTACCATTGTCAACGCTCGCCATTGAGCCATTCTTCGTGGACAATATTGAGACGCTGCAGTTTGTTTGCCTGGAGCTGGTGACAACGGTAAGTGATATTATATATGATATATAATATAAATTATACTCATATACTTCCGTTGCATTTTAGATTTTTCGCAAGGAACGATATGATAAAATACGCAACAGTATTTTGGGCGATATACTATCCTCCATTGATCGCTTGCCATCATCCAAGAAGAATCTTCGACCCTATAAGCTAACTAATAATGGTGGAAATATTCAAATGGTTACTGCACTCGTCTTGCAATTGATTCAATGCGCTACAATATTGACAGACTCACTAAGTGATAAGATCAGTACGAAATCCATACATGATTTCGATGATGATCTGCCGAGCGGTGCTTCTCAAATAGTTAAGCCAAATCAGGACCTGTTGGTGCTGAACAAGTACGATGTCGCTGTTAGTATTGGTGGTAACTTCTTGACGACATTTCTAAACAAATGCAAGTCGCGCAGCAACGAAACCGACTTCCGTCCGCTCTTTGAGAATTTCATTCATGATCTGTTGGCAACGGTCAACAAACCGGAATGGCCAGCCTCAGAGCTGTTGCTTTCGTTGTTGGGCACAATGCTGGTTCGTTACGTGTCGAATAAGACTATAGAGCAAAGCATTCGCTTGGTATCCTTGGATTATCTTGGCATTGTCGCTGCTCGTTTGCGTAAGGATACCGTCGAGTCGCGATGCAAAGTGAATATCATTGATTCAATGATTAAATCCATAAAAGCAGAACAGGAAAAGGAGGGAGATTTGCCAATTACAAATGTAAGTAATGCACACTGATTGATTTTAATAAACATTAAAACATTACAAAAATTGTAGACAAAAATCGAGCTGCATCCGGAAGAGCAACGAACCGAATTTCTCCAAAAGATTCTACTCGATTTTCTGGCCGTGAATGCACAGGAGGAGAACTTGATCTGGGACTATGCTCGACATTTTTATTTGGCTCAATGGTATCGGGATGTTATCTATCAGCGACGTCGAATAAAGGAGGGTGAACAAGGATTTGCCCTGAAAAAACCCAAATCTCATTTAAAACATCGATCTGGTAAGTCATCATCCTCATCATAATAAAATAAAATTATATATATAATCAGTATTATTTTCATATTAAAATTTAAGGCGACTATTCCGACTCATCGGACTCTGGTTCGTGCGATGAAAATGATCCCGAGGACTCTAATAAAAATCGCAATCGTTCCGTTGACGTTGTTGACTATGAACTCAATCTGGAAATTTTTAACGTTCTAGAGGAACGCAAGCAATACTTCATCAGCAAAATAAAACCATACTCGGTTGTGGGCGATCACAGTCATACATCACATCAGCACATTAAGACTTATATCGATTATAATAATGCACAGCTGATAGCACAATATTTAGCTACCAAACGGCCATTTAGTCAATCGTTTGATGGTTGTCTCAAGAAAATCATTTTAGTCGTAAAGTAAGTACTTCGTTTTTTTTATGCATTTACAGTAGCACTAAATTTGTATCTCTATTCTTAAAGTGAGCCCTCGATAGCTGTGAGGACGCGTGCAATGAAATGTCTAGCAAATATTGTTGAGGTGGATCCACTTGTTCTGAAGCGAAAGGACATGCAAATGGGTGTTAATCAGAAATTTCTAGATACGGCAATATCAGTACGCGAAGCTGCTGTCGATTTAGTTGGTAAATTTGTGCTCAGCAATCAAGAACTAATTGATCAATACTACGATATGCTCTCAACTCGAATATTGGTAAGCTAAACTGACCCTTCTAATTTGATTAAATTATTTAATAGCATATGTATTTCAGGACACTGGTGTCTCAGTACGAAAACGTGTTATAAAAATTCTGCGTGATATTTGTATTGAATATCCGGATTTTGAAAAGATACCCGAAATCTGTGTGAAAATGATACGTCGCGTCAACGATGAGGAGGGCATTCAGAAGCTTGTCACGGAAGTCTTTATGAAAATGTGGTTTACGCCTTGTATAAAAAATGACAAGGTAAGTTCGCTCTATTTGCTTCATCTATAACAATATCTATAAATCACATTTCTTTTTATTCAGCACGGAATACAGCGTAAAATTAATCAAATCATTGATGTGGTAAACACGGCTCACGACACAGGCACAACCTGGTTGGAGGGTCTCTTGATGAGCGTAAGTAGCAAAGTCATTTCTGTAAACTTTGGACCCTTTTTAATTGACTGTTCGGCTTTATATAGATTTTCAAACCAAAAGAGAATATGCTAAAGCTGGATGGAAGTGCGCAGGAGCCGGTTAAAAAGAATACCGAACCACCGCAGGAGATTGTCTTGGCATGCCAGCAATTAGCCGATGGTCTTGTGGATCGCCTAATTGAATTGGAGGACACTGACAATGCCCGCATGCTTGGCTGCATAACAACACTTCACCTGCTGGCCAAAGTACGACCCCAACTGTTGATACGGCACGCGATGACCATCGAGCCATATTTGAATATCAAATGTCATTCAGCGTCAGCAGCGAAATTCATTTGTGCTGTCGCCGATATACTCGAGAAGGTTGTGCCGCTCGTTAACAACGCCAGTGAATCGTTTTTGGCATCTTTGGAGGAACATCTGATGCTGCTCGTCGTTTCGCGCAATCAAGCTGAAGTCACCAGTTGTGTTTCGTGTTTGGGCGCACTTGTGAATAAGATCACAAAGAACTATAAATTAATTCGTGACTGTTTTCAAAAGTGTGTATCGAATCGTTTCGCTTGCAAACCAAAATCAACTTCTGAACAAACTTGTATTTATTGTACTTTGCAGATTCTACCGTGTTCTGGATCTATCTAGGAATCAAGTTGTACAAAATGGATTTAACATAGACAATATTTATACGCCTAGCTTTCGGAGAAGTCTATTCACAATCGGTATTCTGATGCGGTATTTTGATTTCAAATCCCCCCTCGCTTTAGGTAATTTGATTTGAAAACTTGTACGTAACTCAATATTAATTAAATATGAATTCTAGGTGAATCCAATAATGGACTTCCAGCTTCAATTTGCGATAACGTGTTTGAGTGTTTGATGTTCTTTTGTGTTTGCTCAAATCAAGAAATTCGCAAACAAGCACTTGTATCACTTGGATCTTTTTGTGTTATGAACGACGATTATCTGACACGATCAGAGCTAAAGCAATTTTACTGTGATTTATTAAGCTCATCCTCCAATGATGCCGGCATAAAAATAATCTGTATGCGAAATATCTGGGTTTACCTAACTGAATCCGAAATGTTCATGCACAACAAAGAAAAAGAGTGTAAGTATATTTATTGAATGAGTTAAACATTTGAAGCTGAAGCTAAACTAATAATTATATTTGTTTTAGGGGAAAAACAATCGAAGCACGAAGACCTCAAGGAAATGAACGATGTCTCCTCTGGCATGGCAAGTCGCATCATTCAGCTGTATTTGGAAGAGATTCTTGACTGCTTCCTCAATCGGGACGATTCAGTGCGTCTTTGGGCAGTGAAAGTCGTTCAAATCGTGCTACGTCAGGGATTAGTACATCCAGTTCGAATGGTGCCCTATTTGATATGCTTGAGCACTGATTGTAAGGTTGAGGTAAGTAATGACAATAACAACAAATATGTATATATCAACTATATATTTATATTTACTATTTACAGTCAGCGCATAGGGCAGATGCATTGCTGAAAGATATTGATAAAACATATTCGGGCTTTGTAAATATGAAAGTGCAATTTGGTCTTCAGCTTTGTTTCAAGTTACAGGAAATACTGCAAGTGAATAGCAAGGCGAAAATTGAAATAATTCGGGGATATGCGTGAGTTACCTAATTCAAATGAATATTACTCTTTAATTAATTAAATTTTTATTCGCTTGCAGTAAACGCGGACCAGATCAAGTGACAACAGCTTTAAATGACTTTTTGTATTCGTTGCTCCGAACAACAAAACCGCAAAGACGCGCTTTGGTTCAAACTGTGACAAAACAGTTCGATGATCAGAAAACGTCGCTACAGCAAATGTTATATATTGCCGACAATCTCGCATATTTTCCATATGCGGTTCAGGACGAACCCTTGTATCTGATACATCAAATCGATTTGCTTATCTCAATGGCTGGCACACATCTCTTAACCACTTTCAAGGAGCATCTGCGACCAAGTGAAAAGGGCGGCGATGTTCTGGAGGACGATGACGATGAGGAGGATCCGCATGTCCTTTTCAATCGATTACCGGAAGATATGACCGAAATTAAGAAATGTATAACTTCCGCACAAGCGTGCATGCTACTTCTAGTACTAAAGGAACACTTAAAAGATATGTATGGACTAACCGATGGTAAAATATCACGATATTCGCCATCCGAGCAAAAAATATACGAGAAGGCAATAACACGGCGGACCGTTGCCGACTTCAATCCAAGATCGACAATTGATGTGATTAAGAAACAACATACACAAAACTATACGAGCACCGAATCTGAATGTATTTCCAGAACACTCACCAATGAGGAAAAAATGGATCTTGTCGCCAAATACTTGGACGTACGTAATTTGAATTACCAAAATTGTTTGATTGTACTTATAATATCCATTTAAAAATTATAGTTCAAGCAGCTTATGCTAAAATTGGATCCGGAAGACGCCGATTCGGATGCGGATGAATCTCGAGAAAAGTCCAAATTAAATAGTTCTGGGCTCCTGGATGATTCAATCCCATTAAATTCGTCAAGGCCAAGTCAAATGCAAAATGACAAACCAAATTCAGTGACTACGCCAAACGTTATCAACAGCAATATTCAAGCATCGACGGCAGTAAGTTATTTATATATATATAAATATATATTATGTATAAATATTTAATCAATTCTGATTGGCAGTTTGTTATGCAGGATATCCCGGGTGCTGATACCACGCCGACTACGCGTCCTGCGAAATCAGCCCTCTCCCCAGCGAAGTTACTTGCGCGTAAGCCAAGCCAGCAGCGTAGTAAAAAGAAGCGCCGGAAAATTGTGTCGTCGGATGACGATGATGACTACAGTGGCGATGACTATGCGTGAGATAAACTGTTTTAGTCTTATTGGTTAAACCATAATTTAGAATAAGGAAACGGAAACGGAAAAAGAAACAGAAACAACAAATCTAAATATGAATAATAATAATACTGAAGCTTAGGTTTTAAAAAGTATAAAGATCTTAAGTAGAGCATATAATATATGTACGTATGTATAATTTATTTTCTAATCTAGTACTGTATAATAGCAATAAAACACTAATTTAACATTTAACTATGCTTAAGGTAAGCAAAATATCATCTTAATTGGTTATTTCGAAAGAGAAAGAAAGAAAACAATATAATACAAAATACAGTGCGTGTATATTTTTTTAATATCGTATCGTATCGTAATATTATATATAAATCTATATATATATATATATATATATATATAAATATTATTTAGAAGCTACATAGATTTAATGATCGTCTAGATTTAACTGAGTACAAGGATTGGGCACACCGAAGAGTAATACCTTCCAATGCCTTAGTCCATCATTATATCGTGCTTCAACTTTGATCAAAGTAGACTATTGTAAAAAGGTGTAAAAACAAAATGAAAAAAAACTAATAATGTCAAAGGTTGATGTAAATGTAAGCAAAAAAAAACAAGCAAAACTTTGGATCGGGTGTTCGTCTTATCTAGTTATGTAATTGCCCGATAATTGGCCCACTAATTAATATAGTTATTACTTAAATATTACACACATATTTCAATAATTTCAACATTTCTGGAAACAATAACTTTTGACTTTTCATTCCTATGACTATGTAAAAAAAAAAAAAAAAAAAAAAAACGGCAAACGACACAAGGCTATTTAAAGGAATTTATTTTACTCATGTTTACAACCACAAAAAAATGGCACACTCGAGAGCACACACACAAAAATAAACAACCAAGAAACGCCGCTAACGGGAACTATGTAAATGGCGAAGCTTTAATGGGTCCCCTATTTTGGATCAAATTCAGCCATATCGAATAATGTACATTATTATATTTCATAGTTGCAAAAGTTCAAGCTCTAGTTTTATTTTAGGTCACACACACACACACACGTATATGTACATAAATTAATATTTCTTTAATTTTATAATGATGCAGATATAATGAATATTTATTTATATATGTATGTAGCTAAATTAATGTTGAATAAAAATCTAATAATAAGTCATCCAAATGGACAAGCAAATCTAAAATATTCAAATTTCTTTTATTTAAATTACATAAAACTTAATACATTTTTTTCTTAGTATTTTATTATTTTAATCTTATGAATTTTAACCAACTCAATACTAAATCGTATGGAACAGCGAAATAACGGTTTTTTGGCACAGCGCCATTTTCAAATTATCGAGCAGGAAATGCTCACTGACCCCGGGTAAGCAACTTTTTGTTACTTCTGAACCAGGCGAGTTAAAACAACGGGAAAACTAACAAGAGAGTCTTACCCTCTCTGGCACAAAAAACTCTTAAAATAAAATCATCCCTCATCTATGTGCATCTCTGGAAGTGGCTCTATGTTTGTGTGTGCGTACTGCAACAAACAGTTTCTCTTAAATACGTACAGATGTATGTATGTATGTGTGTATCTGTGGAATACACCCATGTTTGTTCGTGTGTAGGCAAAGCAATGAATACACACACATAGTATTTTCATTGCAGCCGTGCTTAATGCGAGCAGCGAATTGCGATTGCGTGAGTTACAAAGAGTAAACTTGTTGTCAACTCTAATTTAGTCTCCGTATGGCGCTTCGGTAAAGAGGTCCTTCTTCAAGTGGGAGCAGAGCAGTTCACGTCGCGGCTTCAAATTAGTATACATACATATGCATGTGAATTTCAAATTGTGCACTGTGTTTTCCACAAATAAAAATAAAACATAAATGTAGCACACATGTGTAAATAACAAAATATTAAAAAAAACTTGTGTAAGAATAATTGATTTGTTAATGCAGAGTGCTCAAACCTGAACAAAAATCGGATGCAATATCCTGAAAATACGATATTTATTTCAAGCGTGAAAAATATATATGTATGTGTGTATGTATGTACATGTACATAATATTTTCAAAATCTGCATGTGAAAATTAAGCTGAGCAATGTAAGAAAATAAATGTACATATGTGAATGTACATGTGCATATGCTTGCATATAAATGTATTTACATATTTATAATAATGCTGAAAGCATTCGTCTGAATACCTATGTACATACATACATATGTATGTAGGTTGATGATAGATTGCGCCTTGATTTGTGTTGCACCCATGTGATACACAAGTCTCTTTAAGTCTTCAATTCGTGCAAATTTGCGAATTACGTACATATGTATGCTTGTACATGTATGTGTATGTGTGTACGTATCTATGCGTACCCAGCTCAAATAAAAATGCATAAAACGTATCAGCGACAGAGAAAAATATGTTATACAAACATACATACATATATATTTATATATATATATATATACGTACAAGATGTATGAATGTATTTGATAAATCCAATAAAACGTTTTTTTCCCAACGGAAAATAAATTTCGTGCATAAACCAAAAAAATGAAACGTACATATGTATATGTATATGTATGTAAGATGTACTACAAATGTGTGCGTTACTCTTACGTTATGAACATGCATACGTAAATACCTCAACAAATAAAAGTTGTACTAAAACGTAATGACTATATTTTTTTTATTATGTACACTTATCTGCATACTTGTGTGTTCATATTGTATATGAATTAGTGCTGTTTATTCTTCTTAATTATACTCATATTTATTTATGTGCGTTAAACGATATTTACTTACCCGTCACTCATGAAAAAAAAAACGTTAACGTACATTTTAAATGATGTTTCAGGGAATTGAAAATGTTGGAAAGCCAGTGAGGATGATGATGATGATGATGAATATAAAACAAGTCAACACATAAAAAATTATATTTGTGAAGAAAATAAATGTGAAAATAATGGAACCGGAAAAATGGCACATGCGAATATATTTCTTTTTACTATTAATCACTTCAACGTATTCAAGTAAGTGTTAAAACAAGATTTGTGTTTCATTTATGATTTATAATATAACAAGAATTAATTGTTCATAATTTAATTTACTTCGATTACATATCGAGTTTATTATTAATGTATAATGTAATATTTCATCATATTTTTTAAGATGTTGGAAAGATGACTTCATCTCAAAATCACTTTGGAAATTCTGTACAAAGTCAATTCAATACCAAAAATAACACGCGTGTCATCGCCCAGAAAGGCGGTCTTGCGATACTGCCATGTGTCGTCAAAGTCAATTCCCCGGCAACGGTAAGCAATAATTTTAGCCCCAATAAATGCTATTTGTGAACCCAAACCTTGACAAAAGCGAAATGCCTTTTAGGCACAATTAATCGAGCAGTCTCCTCGATTGGAGCATATTTACTGCTGAACTTGAATAAAAAATCAATTTTGTCGTTTTATTTTGTAGGTTTCTTGGATACGAAGAAAAGATTTTCAGTTGCTCACCGTTGGATTATCGACGCACAGCAGCGACAAAAGATTTTTAGTTGAGCACACACGTCACATGGGCCATTGGTCACTGCGAATTAAAGCTGTGCGGGAGGAGGACAGGGGATTTTATGAGTGTCAATTGTCAATTTATCCAACTCAATCAATTTTCATAGAATTAAAAATCGTCGGTAAGTATACAAGCATACATCCATCATTTGACATGTATCTAAATATGTATTGCTTTCATTGTGGCCATCATTAGAAGCGGTTGCTGAAATATCAAATGCATCCGATATTCTTATCGACGAAACTTCCACACTTCAATTACAATGCAAACTTAAAGGTGCCACGGAAAATCCTTCCTTTGTCTTTTGGTAACTTGATAAGCACAAATTCTATGCATTTATATTAATCAATTGTGTATTTGTTAGGTATCATGAAAACAAAATGGTTAACTATGATGCTCAAGGCGGTTTTGTGGTAGAGAATGCACTTCCCAATCTGGAAAACGCGTCGAAAGTCGGTGCTGGCAAAAATAAAACATTTCGTGGCACAATGGAATTGAATGTTGGCAGTAGTCCTCTTAGTCCATCGGGCCCGTCTCCGCAGACATCGCCAATGACTCCGTTTTCGACATTACAGTCGCAGCAGCAACAACAACAGCAGCAGCAGCAGCAGCAACAACACAAATCGCCATATCTTCCAAATTCCTCGATGAGTGTCCTTACCATTAAAACGGTAACATTTCATCATGCTGGCAATTATACATGTGCACCATCGAATGCGAGGCCAGCCAGCATAACGGTACATGTCCTTCGAGGTGAGTTTTGAAAAACACACGCTTTCGAAAACGAATGGATGATAACTAAACTATTTGTCGTATTTAGGTGAGAAGCCAGCCGCTATGCAGCATGCAAATCGAAGTATTTTGGATGGTGAAAATAGTTCGAATACAACACTGGGCTATAACAATATCAAAGGATTAAATGGTACAAATAGTCTGCTGATGCCAGTGCCATCTTTATTAATATCCGTTTTATGTCTGCTAGCTAATCTGCCTTCCGCGTCCCAGTTGCACAAACAGACTCCAATGATATTCTTCGTATTCATATTATGTATTTTTAATAGCTGAAATTTTAAATCATAAATTGCGTAGTTTCAATTCAATTGACATTGGCAATTGTATTTTTAGGAATTGTATATACATACATATATACTCATGCGTAACGTACATAAGAATACATTAGTATCACGATATAAAATATTATTAAGAAATTAAGTTTAAAAAAAAAAAAAAAAAAAAAAAAAAAAAAACACAAAAACAACAATTGTAAAAAGGACTTGACTATGTTATAAATGAATGAGCCGCTTTTGTTGGCACTCTAAAACTGATATACCGATGTAGACTTATTATTAAGTACTATTCCAACGGTAGCTATGTGGTCGTTATGCCTCGATCAAAATCTATCCAAACATTTCACTTCCAATATAGCGTCTATCGGAGTTCAGTTAAGGTCTCAGTATAAAACTGTGATATAATTTAACATGCAATAAATGAAAACGTTTTTTCGAACATCCAAAACAACAAAGGGCAGTTAATTTATAACTGTACGTTGAAAAAAAAAAAAACAACAACAAAAAAACGCTCTAAGTCTGTTAATAAAACAAACATTTGTTCCGATTGTTCTCATAAATATATATGTGCAGTAAAATACTTAGACATCAACTACTTTCAATTGTGGTTTAGTTTAGTTTTTGCTTCTGGGACTGACTTTCTTCAACATTTTTAGCCCTAATAATTCAATGATGACGATCATTCGATGGTGGTTTATATTTCCAACTAGAATCGAATAGGGTCGCTGGTCGTATAGCTGACGATCGAGAGAGCAGCCGAGAATCTCTGCTGAATATAAAGAAGGAAAAACACAGAAAAATGGTTTAAACCTAGCTCCGAATTGTGGAAACAAATATAAGAACATATTTGGTGATACTTCTGGGCAGCTTCCAAGTGAATAAGTTACTTTTACGGCGGACGAACTTGAAATGTGGATCGAAAAAACTGCCAACAAAATGTGAAGCTGATTAATCCAAAGCAAGTTGTTCATATTATTCTGCAGAAAAGATTCGTGTGGAGGTTATCTCAAAGGAGAACCGATAAACTGCGAAGTAAGGCTGCTTGAGTCTTCCGGCAGGAATAAGGATACCAATAATTGCTATTAAAATTTATTAAAATATTCTCGCCAGCAGAACCAATAAACAATAGATAATTATTGATTATTTTTGACAGCCAACTTTTGAATTGAGTAACTAAATATCATGCAGCTGCCATTGGAATTAATGGTTGCATACTAAACAAAAAAGAAAAGTATTAGAAATGATATGCACCAAAGTTTGCAACTGTAGGTTGGAATTTTAATCAAGATATTGAAACTAAGTATATATTTTACTAGGTAGAGATGGAATTCTTCTTCCATAGCAAACAATTTAAAAGATATCCTGATCTTTAATCTTGTTAAGCTCACAAATACTTTCCTCTCTTGTGAGTATTGGCATACAAGTTAAGTAAGTTTGGTATTTTATTGATTATGCAATCAAATTTTGTAAATAAATAAGTATAAGTAAACAGAGAGCAAGAGTCATGGAATGGACAGGTTAATTACAGAATGCTTCGATTGAGACAAGCTTTCATTAGTTTTAAAATGTGTAAATAAAAAACAAAAAAAAAATATAAATATATATACCTTCTTCTATTTCTACGTATGTACGCATTTACTATTGTGATTATGTTAAGTTTATTGGGAAACAAACAAAAGCATTCTTAATGAACAATTATTACTTTTAAATTAATTATAAGCTGTTATTTAACGTTGAATAAACTCAAGCAATATTGAACGTGCTAAAGAATATCAATCAATCATTTTACCATTCTTTGTGTGTACTTTACTTGATTGTCTTTGAATTTTGACCACATTCATTGTCTAGGTTTCAAAAAGCGCAGATCCTTTGTGGAGATCTTCTAGTGTGTTCTTCTAGGCAGAGTCTAGGAACTGCGTCTGCACAATTTTTAGATTTCTTAGAAGAAAATCCATCAACTGACTTAAAAAATCTTTACATTAGATCGATTATAGATCCAGGTAACGTAATAAAAATTGGTAAGAACATCTGCTGACGGTTTCAGGGTTAAAGTTGCTTTTGGTCCTAAAGATCAGTCACGCAGGTGAATCCGTTAATTTTCAATATCAGCAGAGTCAGATAAATTCTTCAAACTGTTATTTTTGCCGTTTGGATTAAAGCATAAACACATCTTAATAATTTTGTAGACGATTAGAGGTTAATTTTTTTATAGTTTGTTTTAATTAGATCGAATTTTAAAATATAGAAATACAAATAATGAACTATGATCTAAAATATATGTTATTTAAGTTAAAATATGTAATTATATTAGTCCTTTGATCTTCTTGGTCTTCCAACTTTTCCTTTTCGCTGTGCTAATGTTCCATTCGAATTCGATGGATTCTTAAGCAATTTATGCCAATCTTGTTCACAAACCGGGTTAGCTCCCAACATTGTGTACCTAAAACAATAAATCAGAATGAGTTACTATCAAATATATAGTTAATGAGTAAAATAAGCTTACCTATCACCAGGACGCAAATTCGAACCGCACTTTGCACAACTGAAGCATCTAAGATGATATACACAATTTATAATATGTTTTTGTTGATTTTGTAAATCGATATTATTATTTATTCCAGTAAGAGCTTTTGCAACCATTTCACTTGGGGGAATAGTTTCCCCACATCCAGTACAAACCCCAGAGCTACCAAACATACTAGAAAAAAAGCGAAAAAGAAGTTAAGCAATTATTTCTTTACCAATTCTCATTGATATTTCGGGTAATGAGAAGTTGAACAGTCATAGTTGGCATATCCATGTTAAATGTCAAACATCTTACCTGGAGTAGTCCTTTTTACAGAGTATTAAACCTCGTCTGGTAAAACAACTGGAGCCGACATCGGCTAACATCGCTCCACAGCAATGACATTTTAGGCAACCGTTATGCCAATATCTGTCTAAAGCATATAAAAGATATCTATCACTTATTTTATCTAGGAAAATACAGAAAAGAAAGAAAATTGTTAGCGCATTCAATTTTACAATAGTTTTGTAATTATACATATATATTTAAATTTATTATGTAGGTTATATACATAAAACATAAGGTTTGCAAATCCGTCCAGCTCTAATTATCCTTATTTTCAGAAAAACTTTGTGATGATCAGTTTTTCCGACCAGTAACTTAAAATTCAATTAAGAATTGAGACATTATATATGATTAGACTTATCTGGCATACATTAATTTTATTTTTAATAAAATCAATTCTGCGATCGGAAGCTATTTGTTGTTGAAAATTGTATTTTATTTCTGATCTCTCTTTAAATATAGAAGCATTAGAAGCAAGACTCTTTATGCATCCTCTGATCACTTGATCAACATGATAATACAATATTCCAAAATTTTCCCTTCAATTATACACCTTGAGTCGATTAAAGATTATATATAATTTGTCTCCCTTATTTCATTCCTGGTCAAATTAAACAATATCCAGTTAAAAGCCTTTTATAAGATAAATATCTCTATTTGCAACCTTTTTCAAAAAGAGAGTGGCGTGGAATGGATGTGTTGTAACTTACCTCCACAACCACCACACACTTTGATTAATGTGCTTGGGTGTATTAACTGTTGATTATTAAAGTCATTCGAAGATTCATCCATAAACGACAGTTGAGACGATGAAATATTTGAGTTACTTTCAGCAATATCCTTGGTGTGACTGGTCCGATAACCAATGACTACGGAAGGGAAACTTTCCGGACTAGAGGAATCTTGCTGATGTGCCGCCAGTATATCAGTATATGAATGAAACGATGCATTCATTGCAAAAAGTTGCGTTTTATTATATTTAGAAAGGCATATAGGTGCTGTTTATTGCACGGACAATTCTGAAATGGAAATCGAAGCAGATATTTAATTTAATTATAAATAAATTATACACGTTGAATAATAAAATACAATTTATATGATGTCGATGCTTACGAAAGGTGTATTTGAACCCCATCAACGAAACTTTCGCCCAATTAGTCAGACAGACTATCGTCTCACAATTTAGTCCCAAAAATGATTTAAATACTTGGTTAATGTTCCAATTTAGCGGCTTTTGCTGAACAAACTGTAAAGAAATAAATAAATAAAAAATTAATTAAAAATTGCTTGGTTTCGCTGGAGGGGTATATAAAATGAGAAGGGGCAAGCTGCATTTTGAAAGTGACTAGTAATAGCAATAATAGATTTTACCGGCACGAAGATTTCACCTGCCCCTTCTTATTTATACCCTTCCCCGAACGAAATTGACCCATTTATTTTATTAGACTTTTTCCCAATTTACAAAAGCAAAAGCCGCCAAACTTTTTCTTTACCAAATATTTCAACATGAATACAGACATATAAGTGTGTGCGTGTGTGTGTTTATATGCGGAGAGTATATGTTAAAATGTGTGTGAATAATGCAAATTCACTTATTTATGATTGCAAACTGACTTTCGAAGTACATTTTTTGCCGATAGTTTTTTTTTGTGCATTATAATACTTGTTGATGAAACATACATGCATACATATGTACATATAAGTTGTACATATTCATTCCAACAAATGGAGACTGCATATACATATGAACATACACACATTTGTATGTATGTATGTTAAGTGACACGGTAGTTACACGTTATGTACACTTCTTTAAGTTTGCATGAATGTACATCATTATTGTTCAGTTACATATACACATAAGAAAATGTGCAAAATACACATGCATACACAGATATTTACACGAGAAACATAAATACCGATGAAGATTATTTCTGCAATGCAGCAAATCGTGTATAGCAATGCTGTATCAGCGATTGTAACTTACACGTCAAATGGATTACACTCAAAACGACATACGCGATATTATTTCGCTTTTTATATAAAATAACAAATGTGTTTTGATAATAAATAGCGTTCCTAATGTTAAATACAAATTTACAGAGATGGAAGTTGCGAATAATCGATAACTTTTAACAATGTATTTCAGATGGTATTCCGTGAAAATAGTTCGATTACAATCGCCAAGGTGGTTGATTTTCTGTACTTAGCTTTTGCATTATGAACTACTTTTCGTTCAATTTGCCAAACACAGCGGCATTTGGGTGACTGCCCAAAAAATCAGAAAGTAGCCAAAAATATGATAGATAAGCGTCTATTGCTTAAAAAAAGGAGATAATTTAATTGTACATCTTTCCAAAACTTGGTTCATTTCGGTGGTAGGAGATCAATAGTTGAAAATCAATAGATCTGTTATAATATTTTGTGTGCAGGTAGCAAGAACTAGGGCTGCACAATAATAGTTATCGAATTAACCTAATCGGGTTTTTGAGCGGTAAATCTACAAGCTGAAGTGGTAGCCAAATTCGTAGTCTTCACATTTTACTATGAAAAGTTCCGACAAAAATTCATCTTTTCACTGAAAGTTTCAACGACAGTTATATGTGTTATATAGTGATCAGATCCGGCTGACTAGGTACCACCCGCTGCCTGAAGATCAGTTCCAATTTTTACGATAGCTTCTGCGTACATTTTTGATAATTAAATATGGTATTGTTTTATTTATGTATAAGAAAAATTTTTCACTTATGGATATAGGTTGTATATAAATAGGCATCTGGTAAATGCAGCTTAAGATCCGCATGACAAGCATGCATCCTTATTTTCGAGGGAACAAACCACATCGGCCATTTTGCGCTCCCTTTCCAAATCCGATTCGCTGACGTTGCCGTTTTCCATCGAATCATTATGTTCGACAAATGAGGTATTATGAAGTCCGTTCGTTTGCTTTACGGGCGAACCTTTGGCGACGGTGAACTGTATGGCATTTGCAGCCGGCTTCGTGCGAAGATAATACATTCCCGTCTTAAGACCGGCTTTCCACGAGTAAAAATGGATCGATGTCAGTTTGCCATAGTTGGGCTCAGCCACATGTATGTTGAACGACTGACTTTGATCAATGAATGCCCCGCGATCGGCTGCCATTTTGATCGTTGTTTTCACGGATATTTCCCACACGGTCTTATACAGATCCCTCACATTTTTTGGTATGGATTCGATGTTTTGTATTGATCCTCGACTGGCGATTATTTGATTCTTCATATCATCATCCCACAAGTCCAGCTCCGTTAAATCACGCAACAAATGATGATTCACCACCTGGAACTCACCGGACAGCACGCGTCGGGTGTAGATGTTTGAGGTATACGGCTCAAACGATTCATTATTGCCCATTATTTGAGCCGTAGATGCGGTTGGCATGGGCGCAACAAGCAGAGAATTGCGCACACCATGCTCCTTGATCGACAGCTTAAGCGAGTTCCAGTCCCAGAGATCGGTTGGTGTCTTGCCCCACATATCGTACTGTAAGATACCCTTGCTAACTGGACTTCCTGGATAGGTTTCATAGGGTCCTTCCTTTTGGGCCAATTCGCAGCTGGCTTCCAGTGCGCCAAAATAGATGGTTTCAAAGATTTGTTGATTTAAAAGTGCGGCCTCTTCGCTCTCATAAGGATGACGCATTAGAATCAATGCATCCGCGAATCCTTGCACACCAATACCAATGGGTCGATGGCGAAAATTGGATTTCTTTGCCTCCGGAAGCGGATAGTAGTTGATGTCAATTATTTTATTCAAATTCTTGGTTACTGTTTTGGTGACTTCTTTCAGTTTCTTGAAGTCGTACGTTTTGTCGGACGTCACAAACATGTTCAATGCAATCGATGCTAAATTGCACACGGCAATTTCATCGGGTGCCGAATACTCGACAATTTCAGTGCATAGATTACTGCATTTGATGGTGCCCACATTTTGCTGATTGCTCTTGCGGTTGCATGAGTCCTTGAACAGCATGTAAGGTGTGCCAGTCTCCACCTGTGCTTCAATGATGGCAAACCAAAGTGTTTGAGCTTTAATTACTCGATTCGCTTTGCCCTCTTTCTCGTATTGAACGTACAGTTTCTCAAAATCGTCGCCCCAAACATCTTGGAGGCCGGGACACTTATGTGGGCACATCAGGGACCAATCCTCATTGGCTTCGACGCGTTTCATAAACAGATCAGGTATCCATAAGGCATAAAACAGCTCACGTGCCCGATGCTCCTCTTTGCCCGTGTTTTTCTTCAAATCCATAAATTCTAATATATCCGAATGCCACGGCTCCAAATAGATGGCAAATGCACCCGGTCGCTTACCGCCACCCTGATCCACATAGCGTGCCACATTATTGAATACACGCAGCATTGGCACCAGCCCATTCGAAGTGCCATTCGTGCCACAAATCGAGGTGCCTTTGGCACGAATACAATGAACGTTCAGCCCGATGCCACCAGCGGCTTTGGAGATCATGGCGCATTGTTCGACGGATTTGAAAATGCCCTCAATCGAATCGGAGACCATGGTTAAAAGGAAACACGACGACATTTGCGGACGATTTGTGGCAGCGGCAAAAAGTGTTGGCGATGCATGCGTGAAGTACCTTTCAGACAGCAGATTATAGGTCTCCACAGCAGCATCAATATCATCGCCATGTATCCCAATCGAGACGCGCATCAGCATGTGCTGTGGACGCTCTGCTATTTTGTGATTTATCTTCAGCAAATACGATCGCTCGAGCGTCTTAAATCCAAAATAATTATAGCCAAAGTCACGATCGTAGATGATCGCAGAATTTAAGCGATCGGCATGTTTCTTAACAATATTGTAATGAAATTCAGACACCATTGGGGAGGGTTCGTTTGTCTCCTTGTTGATATGCTTATAAAGATCCTCAAAGACATCTGCAAGAATTGTTACAATTGAGAATTAAGTCAACTATGAAATTTTACAGAGGAAAACCTTAACCTTAACCTTAACACTTACCTGAAAACACTTTTCTTGTCTCCTTGTGAAGATTGGAGACAGCAATTCGAGCGGCCAGAAGCGCATAGTCGGCATGTTGGGTCGTTAAGCTGGCTGCGATTTCCGCAGCCAGATTATCCAACTCCTGTGTTGTGACGCCACAATACAATCCGTTGATCACTTTCAGGGTGATCGAAACCTAACAAAGATTAAATAAATAAACGAAAATAGCCTTAGCATAAGTGCAAAATATTGCCAACATTTTAGAGTCTAAAAATACAAGTTCTTTATAAAATAAGTAAAAATAAAAAAAAAAAAAACAAGCGAATATATCAATGCACACACACAGAAAACCTCACCCTGAAATTTCGCAATTTTTCTAAATTTTGGAAAAATTCAACCTGATTTTAGAAATTCACCTTATTTTTAGGAAGACAACCATAAATTCTAGAAATATACTTTCCGAATAATATTGCCAAAAGTTTATCGATTTACTTTTAAAAAAATGTATGAATGTACGCGTTGTCAACATTTTAGAGTTCAAGTGATTATTGATCTTTCATCTTAATACGCAGGAATCCACGTACACACATACCCGTATGTATATGTACACATCTGTATAGTTTATTCAAGATACGCAATTGTAAAACTAATACTGATCAAGAATATTTGTACAAATCCACACACACACATGTCAAATGTTGCCCATTTTGTGGTGAAATGACAAGGTTATTGAACTAGATATATTTTAAGGTGTAGTAATATGAATATAGGAATACTTACAGGATCAACAAAGTCCATGTTTAAATTATAGCATAGTTTCTGTATTCTGGATGTAATTTTATCAAAATGTATTTCCTCCTGCCTTCCATCTGCAAGTTGGAATTAATATATTTGTAGCTACAAAGCATATGCTAATTTCTCTATTATTTACCTCTTTTGATAACATAGAGCTTGGATGGCTTAAGGGATTTGGACTTATTCATTATAATTTTAGACACAATCGACGGGACTCTATTAACAATTAACAATTGCGATCGGTTTGCCAATTAGACAAGAAATGGCGCCAAAATGCTTTGCAACTTGTCACATACCGACCCGATAAGCGCGAAAATACATGCTTGTATTATATGCGGCGATAACAATTGCGATAGTCAACATAGCGGCGTCGCACGTACATTAGAATGAATTCCATTTCAATTTGGGTTATACATTACAGTAAAACGAATTTCATTTATATTTGATTTATATGTGCAAAACGAAAATCTAAATACAAAAACACTTTTAATAAACCACAAACAAATAACGAGTGTTCTGAAATTTATTGAGCTTTTCTAAAAGAATATATATGTAGAATAATGTCGAGGAGGATCGGGAATCCCGTTTTCATTCGGGTATTGGATGGATATGATCCAATAATAGACTCCATCTAGATTTTAGATTAGATACACTTTCGGGGGAACAACTGGGATTTTTTGAGGATGGAAAGTCCAGTGCAAATTTGTCTATAGGCTGTATAATATATATGTGAGTACTTTGTAATTTGCTTTTATAAATAAAATTATTTTAATGTGAATATGATGAACGAAAAAGTACCGGGCCAAATATTTTTCTTTATATTCTACCTAAATTAAACTATGTTAGACAGTTTTAAAAAATGCCATATGTACATTGAAAATATGATCCGTTCACAATAAAATAAATATGTTTTTCAAACCTCGAACATTCTATTGAAAATTTATATCGAGCGCTCACTGTAATACCATATTTTATGTATGCTCATGAAAAAGTAATAGCAAAAAAGTCACGTATTGTATTTACACATTTATATTGAATATAAGATCTGTATTTGTATTCCCTGTAATTATTAAAAATGTTTGTGAAGGTTACAATAAGCTGAGATAATGAAAAAAAAAACAAAAAGTGTATAATTAAAGAAGTTTTAAGATAAATATAGTCTGTTGCGTGTAGTCTAGGTAAAAAAAATATATCAAGTATAAGTATAGTCTATACATGTATAGGGTATCTTCTAGTTGGGTATTCTTTCTTTCTCTCTCTTTACATACACAAAGTCGGACATGATGATCGACCCGTAGTTGATGCTGATCCAGATTATACTTGTGTACATAGACATGTATGTACTCCTAAATAAATACATATGTACAGTACTCAACTTACTAGGAACGGGGATGCCTATTTCTGCCTGTTACATACACACATTTTCAAAAACTTGAAAGTAGTCTAATTTCCCATTTTGATACCCTTACAAAGGTTATGGTGTATTTTGCTTATATGCAACGTAATCTTTCTCTTTTAAATCTCAAATATTAAGTTGCTATAATGGCACCAGTTAAAAGAGAAAAATTTCTTATATTAGCTACTCAGCTGTTGAATTCCAATTGGAATAATTTCGAAATTTAAGTTCTTATTTGAAAAACGTAATAGCTATCAAGTGTATGCAATTTTCGACGCTTTGCAGATAGTTTCTTATTGTGCTTCATCTTTGCATTTTGGTAAACTTTACGTGGTATATACATACATACGTACATATATGTATATTTATGTGTGAAATTTTACTAACATACATACGCATATACCACCTACATACATACATACATGCAAATGTATATGTATATGGAGTAAAATACTTGCAAAAGTGCTGACTCTTTATTTGCTATAGTCTCTCAAGTCTACCACTGCATTTACCGTAAGTATATTTGTATGATCATATTTACAGTAGAACTTCGCTAATTCGAAAAAAATTGCTTATTTCGTGAATTGAATTTTTAAAGTTAAAATTTTAAATTACATAGTTTTAGCACATTTCCAAAGATAGTTCCTAGGTTTATAAAGCCTTAAAACTGATCAAGAAGACACTATGCTTACCCTTACTTAAAGTTACGTTAAGAAAGTTTGACTGTATGTATGTAGCTTGTGGTATATGTGTTCATATATGTATGTATGTGTAACATCGTCTAGGTATATATACATACATATATATTTAAATCGATGTATGTTTGTATTAAATGCATTCAAATACAGCTTCAATCAAGTGTATTTGTATTGGAAAATTTCATATATAAATGCACAAATACTTTAATGTGCATTTTGAGACCAATAAGGTAATGATTTACATACATAAGTAAGCAAGTACATAATTATGTATGTGTGTGTTATAATTTGTATGTATGTATTTCGTACCAGAAGCTTATTAATGCGATTGCGATTGCACATTTCATTTGCGATTAGCATTTCAGGGCGTTCCGTCGGTTATTCAAGACTATTACTTTTTTTTTTGTTGTTGTTGCTGTAACAATTTGAAGCGACTCTTTCTGAATGTATGATTATCGCATACATACATATGTACGTATGAATATGTATTAACTAGGGAAAACTTCAAACACACACACACATATATGAACCATATATTTTGATCTAGTTTAATTACAGTTACACTAAAAGTGACTTGTGTGTTTTGATCTAGTAAGTATTGCCTATATATATATATATATATATATATATATATATATATATATATATATATATATATATATATATGTGTATATATATATATATGTATATTTATATATATGTATGTGCTCTTTTTGTCTACATTATATAAATATTGTTAATGCAAAGGATTTCTATTTAGCTACGTCGCTTTTCATTAAATTCTTTATGTATTTTAAAATTCCCCAAGTATATTTTAACTTAAATTTGACACAAGGTGGGAAAATTTCTAAGCGGCGGTAATAATTTAAATGACTATAAATAAAATGTGCGTAGCCAGACTGAAGAAATTACCAACAAGAATCAGTTTAATTTTACTGACAATAAAAGTTTAAAAAATGTGGTTTCCTAGCTTTAAAAAAAAATCAACCGTTTTCCCCGTAAAATTAAAGCACGAAATAAATTTTAAAGTCAAATATTTTTGTCACTATAATATTGACATTTGTAACTCTTCGGATTATTTAGACAAATAACTCGAATGCTAGCTTAATTCATACACAGATAAATTATTTAACATTTCGAATACAATCTTAACATAATTGGCATTTTTGGGAATACAAAATAGAAAGACGAACTTTAAAAATGTTTATTTAACAAAAAGCAGAAAAAACTATTTGGTAAATCTAAATACATTTATTCCATTTATATTTACAGGCCAAAATATGCACACTTCTATTTTAACAAACGCATCCAATGAGATTTGTATTGATGAAAAATCATATATGGAGAAGGAAAAGTAAATATATATTTAATAATACACTGAAACCATTGAAAATGCGAAAAGTGAATTATAAACTGGAGCAAAATAGCAGAAGGACTTATCTTTCGACATGTTCATCTATATGTACGAACTTTCAATCAGAGGGACATAGAGCTAAATTTCGTTTGTTATTGATAACTATCATCATTATGCGAATATCGATACAAATCGATATTCGATAGCAATACAAAGCACAATATTAATGTTATATCTTTATAATCGATTATATATAGCCTAACGTATTATTTAGCATATGTATAAATTTCAAATCGTATCTAAATATATTTACCGATTATATTTTTGTTCTGTATACAACTACACACACATAAATACGCACAAAAATGCTATAGGAGTTCTCGCATTTTTGAGTGTGTTTTAAATATCTGTCCTAGTGGAGATCTCTCGTCTAGAGTATTGCTACTTGTTTTCTTACTGAACAGTGGATTGATTTACAGATTTGCGGAAGATGCTTCAAACACATCCTCGGTTAAGCCACCTTATAGCTATGTGGCTCTAATAGCAATGGCTATACAAGTAAGTAATACACACATACACACTTCTTAACATAAATTAAAATAATATATATAATATATTTTATTTATTATCATTTTAGAATTCAACATTGAAAAGAGCAACGTTAAATGAAATTTATAATTTTATAACATTTAAATTTCCGTATTTCGAACAAAACAAGAAGGGATGGCAAAATTCGATTCGTCATAATTTGAGCTTAAACGAATGTTTCATTAAAGTGCCCAGAGAAGGGGCTGGGGAAAGAAAGGGAAATTTTTGGACATTGGATGCGCACTACGAGGATATGTTTGAGAACGGAAATTATCGAAGGAGACGTCGAATGAAACGACCGTATCGAAATATTAGCAAGTTTTCGGGGCTGCACGCATTGAGTGACACATTTAATTCGAAAACGATGGTTCCTCAAGTACCGGAACAATCTTACTACCAATATAGTTACAAGTGAATATAAATATATCTCATGATTATATGGATTATATCGTTTTTTTTATTATTCCACTATAGCTCTCAATGGATGGCAATACAACCATCTTATACTGGGACGTGCACGACAAGAATGAATTACACAAAAAATTGCATGGTAAAATAAAATTTAAACTAGGAAAATGCTCTATTCTTATAAGTTGTAATCTTGCAATCTTTTTCAGATGTATTCACCACAAGCAAACTTAGTTGTTGGAAATAATTATGACAATAAACTTAAAAAAGGTTACTAAGATTATTTCTTTATTATTATTATATCTAGTTATTGTTTGTAATAATAACAGACAGTTTGAACTTACGTTTGGTTATATCGTATTATACTTTTTGCCCATTTGTATTTTTCAGATCCTGTACCTGAGCATAAACTATTTGAAGCTAATCCTGTGGCTGGTTGGGAAACTGAAAGTAAGTTAAATAATTATCCAAAATACAATTTAGTGTTGAACATGCTGGCTTTAAAATATAACTATAATCGTCGCACTGAATCGAGAAAACCATGTCAAATAAATAAAACCACAATAGTTATGTTCAATACAAATATATATTTAATTAAAAAATACGATTATTTTTATGGTTTTTCAGCATTCTGTCGATCAGTTAAAAAAGAGGGTCCTCTCGAGCTGTCATCAAATTTAACCAATTATCATAACTCCTATTTATCACAACAATAATGCATACTATATTCTGTGTCATCACCTACCTTAAGAGATATCTTTAAAGTTTTTATATACATCATACATATATAAATATATATACGTAAATAAAATAAATCATATTATTGAAGTTCGTGTGTCATTCGAGGAGGTGCAACCGAAATTTTTTAAAGCAAATTTCGATTCTCTTGATAGAAAATATTTTATTGTTGTCATTAAAAGTGGGAACTTTGTTCAATAGAAGGTGTTATAGATTAAAAACACTAAATGATTTTCGATTTGTTATATTCGATTTTTTCTATATGCATGTATTGTAATAAGTATTTAATAAGTAGTACAGGTAAACAAATCTATTATATTCAGACATTATTTAAACAAATTGACGGTTTTTCAAGAACTCCAGCATACCCTGAACATTGGCGTTGACCTGTGTCTGAGATGACGACTGTCCATTCATCAAATTGTTAGGCATATTCATACCAGGAAGCACTTGTTGGGATTGATTACTGAACCCTATTTGTTGACAAAACATCAAATACTATAATTAATTTAATCAAAATATATAGATAGTAGTTCACACATCTAATCGAAAATCGTACCTTGTCCGTTTTGTTGTTGATTTTGAGCCAAGTGTTGCAGAAATAGATCTTGTTGTTGTTGATGAAGTGGCATTTGACCTTGATGTGGGAAGGATGAATATTGCCGATAAGACAGAATAGCTGGATCCATAGATGTCCAATCACTGTTACTATATCCTATTTGTAAAATATATAAATATATAAACTTTGGCAACATTTTAAATATGTGTGTGTGTTGCTTCTGCACACCTTTATTGTGGGCGCCAGCAGCTTGAGCCATTTGTTGCAAGTGAGTGTCATTTAACGGCTGTCCAGGATGTTGGTGCAATGTGGCCAAGTGGGGATTCCAGTTGGCTGCCAGTTGGAGTTGATGCTGCTGTTCCAGTTGCGCACTATTGTTGCCAACTCCTGGATTGCCGCCGCCTGGCATATTGATAAATGGTAGAATCTTGCTCGAGTGTACCCGAGCTGCACCGTCAAATCCTAGGGTATTCATATGATTGAATCCGGGAGGAGGCATACGGGCACGCTGCATATTATCAAGTAGTTGCTGATGAGTAGCTGGTGTTGGCTGCTGCAATTTAGCTCCAGCATTTCCAATATTTACATTCTGTTGTACTACCTCATTTTCCATAAGTTCGGCCAGACCCTTTTGAGTTTCAATAAACGGATCAAAACCTAAAACATACAAATATTCAATTAAACATAATATTCATAAGATAAAAGTAATTTAATACATTACCTAGGTCATCATCTGCTAACGAGCTTTGTGTAAATCGATTTTGTGGTGAATGCGAATTTTGTGGTTGGTTAGAAGACTACAAATAGAAATAATGTTATATATAATTATATTTTAATTATATATATTTATAGCAAACTTACTGTTTTATCAAAGGCTCCCATTAACCTCTGTTTCTGCAATTGCGACTGTTGCGATAAAATGCCTGCAAATAGCCAAAACAAAATCATATTGTATTGAAAATGAATGAAAATAATGTTCAAAACCACTTTACCATTATCAAAAGCACGGCCATTCTCGAGAAATAGGGCCAAACGATGAGAATCACTAAGCTGATGTCCATTCATGTACTGTTGGTGTATCTGCTGCTGGCTTTTATGAAAGTCAAAGAACTTTGACATGTTGCCAAATATGTTATTAAGTGGGTTTTCATCAGGTTGCGGTGCGAGATGCGGTGGATGCACTGCTGGTGGATGTGGTTGACTCCTATTCGCGTCAACTGCATTGCCATGATAATGGTTAGGAAATTCTTAAAAAAAAAAAATATATATATATATATATACAAGTGAGTGCCAATTCCATATTAACGAATCAATTAAAAACTTACCAGGGTGTGTGTTTTGAGGGATTCCAATATTGTTAACTAGATTGTTCCGTTTTTGTAATTCGTGAATCCGCAGAAACTCTTCCTGCTGCTTCAGTACTTGTTGATGGTGATGTTGCTGTTGCAGTTGCAGGTGCTGCTGATGCAGCACTTGCTCCTCCACGTGCCGATTGTTGCGTAGCATTACATTCTGAAAGGCTTCCTCCCACTCTGCAAAGGGGATATATTTTAAAGTGAGTTACGAATTTCAATTATATAGAATCTATATATACCATTTGTATTCGCCGGATGCTGGTATCCATCAATGCCTGTCGTACAACAAAGAAATAGTATTTAAATCAATGCAATACAAATAAGAGAGAGAGAGAGCTGAAAGAAATTTACCATTAAGCAAGTCCGGCAAATGCGAATTTGTTACGCTATTTATTTGAGACTGTCGCATATCGCCATCAGTTTTGTTCCTCAGCAGCAGTGATTGCTGGAATGCGGGTGACGATGAGAAGAAGCTATTGCTGTCATCGAATATATTCATCTTGAAGAGAGCATCTGAAACAAATATTAACATATAAAATAATATTTGCAATAAGGAATCTCTTTAATTAATTAATCTCTCACAACATACCCGATACTTCCTTTGTGCAGTCAATATCACCAGTATTTTGGATTTCAACTTTATCTTGGGTCGTTTGAATTGCATCATCCTTTGTTTTAATAATGGGATCGGTAACTTTGTGAATGCTAACATCATCCATTGTGTTTACAACAAATGGACCGTTTTCTACTGCGTTTTTATTATTATTATTATTATTGAGGACAATATCCTTATGACCTTCGCCGTCGCCGTCGCCGTCGCTGGGACTATCACAACGCGTCTTTGTTAAATTACCCGGTGAGCTCTCCTCGCTGGCACTGCTCTCGGATACGTGATCATCGCTGTTCTCGCTGCTTGAACTGAGTGATCGTTGCACATTATTGGATGCTGCCGATCGTTTTGGTAATGAAAACATGTTTGTACTTTCACTGGCCAAGTCAGTGCTTGGATTTGCACCATCTTCCGGTTGTGTTTCCGTTGGTGCGCCATGAGTTGCATCATTGCTTTCCTTTTGCTCTTTTGCAAGTGCCGCACGACCGGACGAGGCCTTCTCCTTGTTATTCCGTTCCGTTTTTGATCGATTGCTGCTGGCAACACTCGATTCGGTTTTCGTTGCAGCAGCAGCAGCAACAATTGTGTCTTCTGTTGAAACCGGTGTTATGGTTACTGTCCTCGATTCTGGAATAAAATTCTCCTTGTTTGATGTATTTGCATTGCCTGGGAATATATTGTTTTTGCTTTTAGATTTGTTTTTCTCGTTGCGGCCTTTTTCGTTTCGTGACTTCTCCTTTCTGCTTTTCCCATTCCCATTGGCGGCGCCACCATTTCCAATAGTTTCCTTGCTATTAACCGGGGATACTGATAAACTGGGCCACGCCTCTTTTTGCTGCGCATTTGCCGAACTCGCTGCATTTGCAATTGATACGGACGATGATGCTGACGATGACGACGATGATGACATAGCAACCGCAGCTGCTTTTGCTGATCCGCTGCCGCTACTAGCAGCAGCAGGAGCAACAGTTGTAGCATTTGTAGATACACCGATTCCAGTCACATTATTCGCCCCAGAAGTTGCAATCAGAACATCATGTAATCGTTTCTCATACTCCTGATGTTTTCCTTGATGCATTTCCTACAGATCGATAAAGAGTTTAAGAGTTTAAATTTAAGATAATTACTGTATTAATACCTCCTTGGTAAAGCTCGCTTCCGGATCGCCCAATTCATGCAAGTACATACAGTCGCCCTTGGGACATTGTTGATTCTTCATGAAATGGCTGCAGTACTTTGTTGTTCCGAGACTGGTCTTAATCAGCCGCCCATCAATCATGATATTGTTCACACTCTGTATAGCCCTCAGTGCATCCGTGTTGTGCACATAGGTGACATATGCCGACGCCGAGGGACCCTAATTAATTGCATTTATTTATTTATTTATGGTTTATTATTTATGTCTGTCTGACTTACCTGCACGCCAGCGTAAGTTGTACTGGGATTGATGACCACCTTATGGATTTTTCCATACTTGCCAAAGTATTCGTGCTTTTTGAGTATCTGCAACATAAATTGTGTCCCTTAAGAGTGTCCCAATTACAGTGGCATACCTTTACTACTTACATCTGCGTCGGCCAGTCGAGGCGGCAGCCCCACAACAAACACCAAATTCTTTTGCACAACACGAACATTCGCCAAATGTTTCCGATTCTCAGTTATTTTTTGCTTTCGTTGTTGGTCTCTCTGCCGCTTCTGGGACTTGAAAGCGATCATCTAACATGAAATAAAATAAAATGCATATTAATCATAAATATGTCGAGAAAGAACAGCTTAAATACTGACTGCACTACTTCAATGACTTTAAAATAATTTAAGCTACCGTTTTAATATTCAATCTGAACAATCAGTGCTCGAATAGAAGATTCTCAGTATTTATCACTAAACTTGGGACAGAACTCTATATTTATACAATTTAATTCAAAACTTTTATAATGGTGTAGCGTATACAAAAAGGGTAGATGACTTAATAAAATAATATGAGAAAGATTAAAGGGCAAATATCTGTTGGGTGCTTAATTTTCTGAATATGAGCAAAAACTCTCTTCGAATAATAACAGGCTTTCTGAAGAGACAAAAATCCTCCAAAACAGTAACATTTCTTGCATTCCTATACAAGATAGGTGGTTAGGTTAAAACCTAGAGCTCTTTGATCAGAGAAAGTCAGAATACATACTCTATTAACGAGATTCAAAGAGAGTATTTTTCAAAACTTACTTCTTCCTGCGTCAGAGGCTTGAAGTCAGCTGGATTCTCCGGATATTCCTTTCGACATGCTGGGCACAGTTTGTTCTCGTCTGTACGAATTCTGTGCCAGCAGAATCTACAAATCTGCAAAACAAAAACCAACCCGACACATTTAATTTATATATGTGCATAAAATTATGTAAAAGACTTACTTGGTATCCGCAAGTGCATGGAAAAAAGGTCAGATCATCCACTTCAAGCGGCTCCATACACAATGGGCACTCCACAGAGTCATCGTTACTGTTAGCCAGACCGTTCATTATTTTATTCAAAATAATTCTTCACTTTTACTTGGTATCTTTAACGATTAACGATGGATAGTGATTTATCTCTCTGCACAAAAAAGAAAAACAATTTTTATAAAATTTAGTTTTTGAAAAAGAAAATTGTTAAGAGTTCTTAGCTTGGCTTGATCTATCTGAAGAATAATATATATTTTTCCGAAAATAAGCACACTTTGTGATTGCAATGTGAGTGACATGTATGCGAACATGCCAAATTTAATTGAAGCACTTCTTATCTTATCAACGTGATTTACAAATGGAGACGAAGACGGAGACTAGTTCGACTTAGCTGGTCGTTTTTTATCCTCATTGTACAGCTAAAAGCGTGTTAAAATAACCAATAGTGCATATTGAAAATCTCTTCGATCCCCTAAATATCTCTAGCCAATTTTCTCCATTTGCAACCGACTTATAGTTTCGGTAGGCTTTCTTTTGTCCACACATAACTCCAGTCTTCACTTTAACCCATTACATTATATTAATCAACATTCTTCTTGCTTACCTATCCAATATGGGCTAAGAATTTCAGCCTTGAAAATTTTTATTTACATTTGTCACTAAAATAATCGAATGTGTAAAGCAGAGCAATACATGTGCCAGTAAAGCTTTTCCAATTGTTAGGATTTCTAAATCTCAAATCATCTGTATGTTTGTTAACTTGAAAAATAAAGACTCCGATTTGTGTTTAAAGTAACGTTGTGTTGTAAATCTATTTAAAATGACGTAGATCAATTTCAAGACGAAGAACTTCTTGCTGGCGTAAACCAACCCATAAAGAAATCCGATCGAATTATCGAAAATCGAACAGGTGCACAACCGATAAAGGAAGTGCAGCTAAGGATCTTCGGTGACAACACCTGCATCGATAGCAAGGCACAGGCTCAACAAAATTGAGACGTTGATTTTTATGAGTTTATCGAGAATATTATCAACAATGCATTAAAAATATCACAACAAAGAGAAAAGTTACCCAAGAAAGCAGTGTATTATTTATCTATATAATGCATGTAAACAGAAATGAACATTTTTACACATTGAGAAATTGGATATTTGTACATATGTATGTGTATATATATATATATATATATATATATATATATATATGCATCACATTATTACAACAGTGCGCCTTTGTTACAAGATAAAATGACATTTAATATTGTTGGTGTAAATAAAGTTCTCGAAATGATTTTAAATTGTTTTGCTTGTAATAATAATGAAATAAAAATGGATATGTTGTTATGTATTAACGTTTAAATTTACACACACGCACGCACACACATACAATAACACACACGCATATGGTATGTCTGTGTGTGTGTAACAATTATCGAAAAAATAAACACTTGCCAATAATCCCAAAAAACACAAATTAATTGACGTATTTTAATGTAAATAAATATACATATGTGAATATTTAACACGTTATTTATGCACACAAATTTCTATTTACTTTTGAGAACGCGAAAAAGAAATATAATAAAAACTGTCACGAAAAAAGACACGATGAAAAATAAAATTGGCAATATGCTGTTTATGACATACGCATACATATACATAGGTAAATGGTAAATACATGTACGTTTACATATGTATGGATGTCTTAATGTGAATAGAAATGAGGAAAACGAAGTTAGTTTTGTACATACATAATTATTAAAGTATTTAGTACACGTATGTTGGTGTTAGTGTGTGTGTGCGTGTGTGTGTGTTGCAATCAGAGCATTTTTAGCCAAGGCATCAATTTGTATACTTATTATTATATATTAGATATTCAATAACCAATTCCTTATGGGACGAAATCTTACACCGACTTGGCTTTTTTAGAAAATAGTCCAATTTTCAAGTTTTGCGACCAACAATTATTGCGAACGAATCGAAGAACGAAGCAGACAGACTGATAATGAGCGAAAAGGAAACGGAGAAAATATGTGGAAAAATATCGCAAATATATCGATAAAAATACAAATTTGACTCATAATAATTTTGTTTTGATAACTATGGTATTCCATTTTCTTATTTTATTAATAATTTTTAATTGAGTTGAAAGTTTTATACAATTAAATGTTAATAACAAACGCTGAAAATACCAATTTTTGTATTAAAATGAGTAATGCCGCGAGGGAATTGCATTTTGTTGTGCTCAAGGTGCATATCCAATTTTACGTAGACATATAAATTTGTTATGTTTACAAATGCGTATATCGCATTCACACACAGTAATTAAATATATTCTTTAAATAAATGCGTCTCTTTACTACCAAAAACCGATATATTTTTTATTTGGCTATCACAAGTGCTGCCCATTTCTTTACAAGTGCTGCCATTTTAAATGTGGTAACAATTTGACCTGGCGGGATAAAAGCTAAATGAAAATAAATGCTTATAAAACAGAAATCCCCAATTGAAATCAAGTTTCAAATAACATTAAAAACAGTAATGCAAATATTTAAATAAAGATTGGTTTATTTCGTTCGTAAAGACATATTTTACTTATTTTACTTGCACTTATAAGTTATAATAATATTATACACACGACATTGAAATTACAAATTGCTATTTAACAATTAATCTGTTTAAGCCAGGATCGATCACCTTGAAGCAGCTGTCACTGCGACTGGTAATACATTTTGGAGGCCAGTTGGTGGCGAGGTAGGCAGCAGCGACATAAATGTCTTATCACTTTTCGTAACTTTCTCGTCCGCATTTTCGGTGAAATACCATTTCTTCTTATTGGCCAGAAACAGCAACATTAGCGCAGGCAGATGTATCAGCGAAAATCGAAATAATTTACGAGAGCTCCCACTGTCGGATTTGTGATGAAATTTATATGCTGTAAATGCAAATAAAAATAGAGCAAATATTATATTAATAATTGGGGAAAAATCTAATAGCATCACTCTCTCAAGAAAGGGTTTCAAATGAGTTTGTTTAACTTATGAATAGGTTTTTAGAAGTGGAGGAAGATTCTTCTTTAGTTTTCAACATATTTTAACAATTTTATAGAAAAGGAAGGAAATGAACGGAAAAAATAATAACATATTTCTCACAAGAAATTTTTACAATCTTACAAATCTGCAAGTTAAGAAACTTATGAATACATTTTCAAAAGTGGAAAAGCGTTTTCGACTTATTTAAATTAAAAAAATAAAATATTATGAAAAAGGCAGAATATGAACGTCAAAAATAGCAAAAGTATGCGTTTAATGTTAATATATATATTAATTAATACACTTACCTAAATAGCAAAAGTAGGCGTTTAGGGGCAACGTTTCCAGTACAAACCAATAGTTGGTCACATCGAGTAGTGGCGCCATCATCGAGAGTCCGCCAATGGCGAACGCATAACGCAAAGCAGTTCGCCGGCAAAGGTCCGGATTGGTCACAGCCATCATGCGATATCCGGCACGCGAATAGTCCGGTCGCAGATTCCACGAGAGCGCATTGAAGTGAGGAAATTGCCAGGCGTATAAAACGCCAGCCAGAATCATTGCGCCCGCATCCAGAGAGCCGGCGCAGCCCGCCCAGCCCATCAGTGGCGGAATGGCGCCCACCACTGAACCCACCCAAGTGTTGGCAATGCTCATCCGCTTCATCGGCGTGTAGACGCTGGTGTAGAGGAACAAATTGCCCGCACCCAGTGCCGCCGTCAATCCATTGACACCAAAGTACAACATGCATAATCCGGTTGTAGCTGAGACAGCAGCGAAGCCCACGGCTTGCAGTGGCGTCATTTGGCCCGTGACTAGGACACGATTCTTCGTCCTCGACATTTGTGAATCAAAGGGAACCTCGTGATATTGGTTAATGGAATTCGCCGCTGCGGAAACCAATCCTGTGCCCACCGAGCACATTACGAATGTGGTCAAATCAAAGGCAGCCGGCGCCATTGCATATCCGCCCATTGTTGTAATAACAACTAATGCTAAAGTGCAATAAAAAGAATATGTATTAACGAGTTTAATTCTTTAGTGTTTTAGCTTACATGTGAGGCGAAACTTTGATAGTTTCTTGTATTGATTGAATTTCTTGCCCAAATGTGCATAGGGGCTCGGTATCCATGGCAAATATTCAACGCTCACTTTTTGGTTACGAGGCAGATCGGGTGGCATATGCAGCATAGCAGCTGCTGGCGCATTTTGTGTTGCATTCCCAGTTGGTCTGGCGGCAGCAGAAAGCTAATAATAATTACATATATTTGTTACTATTTGAATTTACTAAAATTTAGATTGCATAACATTTTATGGTGTCTCACCCTTATCGGATTGATTTGACCGGGAAATATCTGGGCTGATATGTAATCGCATGCACATATTTTGTGCAAATTGCGAAACATATTTGTATTTATATTTGTATTTGTACTAAAAGCCTCTTGGATATTTATAACATTTTGGGAATATAATATTTTTATTTTAAGGTTCTGTTAGAGATGTGCGTGAGATCACGTGTATAGATAGCTATATCGATATATCAGAAGTTTTACCCCAGGCAAGCCTTTCGTCAAGTTATCGATAAGAGAATAGTGGTTTTTTGCGTTCACTTCCACGACAAACTACCAGAAATTAAATTCGATGTAATTTATGTTGTTTTGCTGGCTTTGCTTTAAAAAGTAAGCGTTAAGTACTAATTTAATAATGGCATAACTCAAGACAATGATTTTAATTAAAAATTCAGAGGATGGTTGTGTTATCGATATTCGCTTCTTAATTCATATTATAATTTAAATATCGATGACTTGATTATAATTGATTAAATAAAACAATTTCCCCACACAGAAATGAAGTCAGCCAAATTGAAAAGAAATTTTTGGCTAACTGCCGAAATAGAATGTATGCTAAACTTAATAAAGGAAGTGAAAATGGCCCAAGGATCTGCACATGCAACAACTACGCATCACACTTTCACCACAATCGCTAGCAAAATGAAGAAACATGGCTTCCCAAACAAATCGCCAACGCAAGTTCGTCGGAAATGGTTTCAGATGAAATCGGCATATCTCTGCTACAAGAAAGGCAATGTCGATCGTTTATTTCTAATACCAGAGAAATTCCGCAGTGTTATCGCCCAATTCGTTGAAAGTGGCAATAAAATACGACGCGTTCCCCTGTCCTCATCGCCTGCATCGCCAATAACAACAACAACAAATGCACAAAGCAAACCCAAACCAGAAAGTAAATATTTACAATTTGTTTACGCTATGTTTCTCATAATCTTTATTTATTTATTGCAGTCGTAGTGCCAACGTCAGCGGTGGATACGTTTATAGCCCAACTAATGCAGAATAACAAATTGCTGAATGCTGAATTCACTAAATTGGAATCATCGCTTTTGGACTATGAACAGAGGTGTCAATCAATGCGTGATTATAACACCATTAAATACCTGACTAACTAACATATGCTCATTAATGTCTATCATAAGAATGCGTGTAAATATTAAATTGTATTAAATGTACTATGTACGAGTGTTAAAACTTACGGCTTATGTATTCTTAAATCAGTAAATCTACATTCAAAATGTAGTTGAGCTATAGAATTACCAAAATTGCCAATTTAAATTATAAACAAACTATGGATAAATAGGGATCAAGGCAAAAGCTAACATTATCCTTTTAGTTTGCCACCGAGGAATAAGAAACAATCGAATTTTGGTTAGACAGAGAACGTCAAAATTTGTTTCAAGTTCTGAATTTTATTATTTGACCTGTTTTCAATTCCCGGTTGATTAAAAAATAGCTGTGAAAATTGATTGAAAACATATTCCACACATTTTTTGATATTATATACACACATATATACACATATATTTAAAATTTGTTCAAAAATAAAAAAGCATTGTGATTTTTAAGAAAAAAATGATATATTTATACTTAAATTACATATTAGATATTACAAATTTTTGATGAAGCAGACGAGGAGTCCGATTGATCAAAATCTATTTTTGCATATGAACTGGTGGTGTTTTCAAAGCAAACAACATTCGCTGGCGGAGATTCACATGCGACTTTCTTCAGACACTTTGTTGTCGTCTGTCCGCTGCTCTGTGGAAGGTCTAGACTGGCATAATAGAGTGCATGATCGCCCGAGCCCGACGATGACGATGCATTGTCATCCTTATTTGTTGATGAGGCATCCTTGTTCGACACTGAATCCTCATTCAATAGTTTTGATTCCGGTTTATTTAACAACAACGACGACGACGGCGACGACAAGTTGTTGCATGCTGTGTTCGTTGTTGTTGTGGTTGCTGTTGGTGTCGTGTTTGTTATTAACAGTTTTTTCTCCATTTTATGGGCACCATCGATCGAAAATTGTCGCCCGTATTGTGGCTTATGGATTGGCCGTTGATTTTTCTTTTTTGAAATTAGGGAACTATCACTTTTAATTTGAAGAATTTGGTAGCCAATTCCTTTAGTGTCCGGCCCGGCATTCGATTTATTTATATGCTTCGTATAGTCTTCATTACTTATCGAATGTATTAACTTTCGGCCCGCTGTCGGCGTGCTGTTGCTTATATCTAAGGCAAAGTTGAATAATGTTTTCTCCAATTGATTGTTCTCCAATTTGGTGTGCATACCCCTTCTGTTCATGTGACTTTTGATAAGATGATAATTCTTATCAGCATTATTTTGATTTAAATTATTTGTTAATATAGTATTGGTGTCGGACAAATCGGCATTAGTTTCGCTCACGGCATAGCAATTGCTATTATCATTATTCATTTGTAATTTATCCGGCTGCAGCATTCGTGTATGCTGCAGCGGCGGGGACACCAGCTGTTGCTGCTGTGTGCTATTCAGCAGCTTTAACTTTTCCAACTGATCCTCAATGCATATGGGCGGTCTGTGACTCATATGCACGATGCCAACGCCAACGGGTTTCATTTCCAAATAACCGACATCCGAGCTGTCTACAGATTTTGGTATTGTCTCCGGTTTGAGCATTTCCGTAATTTGCCGAATATTACCATTTGAACTCGAGTTGGGCAATATAGCAACGGGATTCTTTTTCGTTTGAATTGCACTAGGCTGCTGTTGATGATAATTTCGTAACACGGCACGTGGTTGTTGCGTTGTGGAAGATGCTGTCGTCACATTGGAGAAATCGATTTCCATTAAATCACTCATACGGAGTGGATTCACATAGCTGCGTAGATTCAAGAGTGGAGCACTTGTCGACTTCATTTCCCTGGACGTATTATAACCGATATGTTCACTGCATGCCTGAACATCGACATTGCAAACGCTACCCTTATGCGTGTGTCCCCAATTCTTTCCCTTGTTGGAGAAGAGCACGCAACGCTGAATATCGCACCGAGGTATCTTTGACTTCGATCCCACGGAATAGGCGCGCACTCGTGGCGATGAATTATCCACTTCATTCAAGTTTCCTAGCGGTTTGCTCATTTTAATGTGCTCGACTTTACTGCCAATTGAATATGCACGACTTGGACGTTCATACCTAAAAGCGAATAACATAATTAGTGCAACATATAGACACATAGACTTATTAGAATAGACTCACTGGTTATCGATTTCGGCATCTTTAGCGAGTTTCTCGGATGAGTGCTCGGGAAAATCGATAAAGTCTTCCTCGACAACATTACAAAATGTGTTTAATTCTGTGCATTGATTCAATTGATGATTTGCATTCACATTCAGATTTTCGCACATTGATTTGTTTGGGGTCATAGAAATATAGTGTGCAAAGTTTTCTAAGAATGAAATGAAATGAAATTAAAAGGCATATCTTGCAATATTACCTCGAATGGGGATAGTACCATTTATTCCAGACAATTTGTTGCTATCGGACACATTTAAATCATCAACATTCTCTTCGGGTATCATGCATTTCGAGGTCCTTGAGCTAAACACAAAGAGCACAAATCAAAACAAAACAAATCAATTTGTTAGTTTTCATTGAAAATCGGCCAACTTACTTTATTCGATAAGCGTCATAGATGCTTTTATCATTCGCCTCATCAATACTAATTGATGACTCTTCGCTCTCCGAGCATTTCATTGCTGAATTAATTGGTGGGCTATCACTGTGTCTCTGACTCGAGTATGGGCGTGTTCCCGATATCGTGTTACATCGATGCCCATGCTTATATGCAATGTATGTTTGATTGCTGCACTCGCTCAGTGTCCGATTCCTGCTTGGTAAACTGTCGCATCGCTCTCGTCCGTAACCTAAGAAATTACAGAGAGATCATAATTAATATGCAAGTTCATTTTAAGTATTTGATATATTTGACTTACTGTTGTACTGCGGCGAAAAACTATTTCGTATTTCAATAGGATTTTGTCGTTTTTGTAGAACGTTAATTGGCTTGGAAGCCTCCGTTGCTGATGACGAACGTTTCCTCATCGGTTCACTTCCTAAATCAGGTTTTCCTTTGTACACATTCAACAAGTTCATATTCGACTCGGATTTGACGGACATTGCGCTGGGAAATAAATAATATTATTATATAAAGTGCCAAATTGAAATGCGGAATTAATCTTACAATTTTTTCTTATTTGGTTTTTTTTTTATAAATATTTTTTACTTTCTGTATTTTCTGAGTTATTCGACATTAAATAAATAATCTAGGCACAGCATTTAAAAATCGATTTAGTGTTGATTTTAATATGAATTTTAAATGAATTTGTTGCAACAATCTCATCCATAAAAATTCATTAATTAGTGGTCAAACAAGGTATCTTTAGTTCAAATCGTTTATTACAGAAAATTAATTTTAATGTGAATTTGTAGCAAAAAAAAAAAAACTATAATCAAATTTCATGACGTGTGATGCTGACTTTTTAATCACTTCATTATTTGCAGGTGTCTTACCTTAATATCATATCGTGCATATGTTTGGCAGCTGAATCTTCCGTTTCCATCCACAGTTCACCGGCACCCAGAACACTCTGGCGGCCCAGTTCCATATAAAAAATGCTTTGTGGCGCCGCGTGTCCACATCTGAAATACAAGAGAATTTTAATAGTATATAGTATTTATTGTACATATGCCAACGATCAAAAGTTTATAAACATTTACTATTTTTTTTAAAAGTTAAATATAATATTAAATGTTACTTTTAATATAATGTCCTCGTTTTTACTTTTTGAAATTTCTTGTGTCGACTGATTTCAGGTCATTAAATAAATGAATAAATTATTAAATAAATATTTCTTTTGTTTTTTAAATTAAAATGTAATACAAAATTTTATTTTTAATTTAGTCTATTTTATTTTTATGGTACACTAGGTAAACAAATAAATAACAAATACTTATCAGAGAGCTAACCAAAAATGCAGTCTTGATTCCGTGATCAAAATTGTTACTTTTACTCAAGCGATATTAAATTTATGCTCACCGTCTTATTGTTGGTAAATTTATCTCAACTTTCAAGAGGCGACCATCGCCATTTGGTTGTTTTTCCGGTCCTATACAGATGAATGTAAGCGATTTTGAGGTCAGGCAGCAGTGGTAACCGCCCGTAATTCCGACAGTCTCCGACATTCCCTTCTTTTGGACAACAACTTGCCAAACATATTCTGCAATGCACAATAAAAATATAAATTCATTTTTATTTATAGATTACTCAATTTTTTGTCAAAGTACTTACCGTAGGGTGTATTATCTCGTTGTAGGATTAACAGATTATCTAACCATTTGCGTAAATCATTCTCTGAGTTCAAAACGATGCCAAAACCGCCATCTCTCGATGCGAGAGCCAATACAAATTTATGTTTCGTATCGAAACGACGATTGATGTTGAAGCAGCTCTTCAGATCTATGACGCGTTTTGGCGCAGTTTTCTGCAGAAATTTCTTTTCCGTATCATAATATTCCAAACGGGCAGCGCCATTGTTCGTTTCCTTATAGAGCACAAAGAATTTCTTTTTCATCGTTTTCAATTTCTTCTGAAATCCACTTAGTACGATTCCGTTGTCTGACTTGGAAGCCATCATGAATCCTCCCGCCTAAGATGACTGCAATAAGAACGATATTAAATATAGTTAATTAAAATGAATATATTTAATATTTGATATAGCTTATTGGGAATATTGTAATTATTTAAGTGTTAAACCAGACCACAACATTGTGTTAACTAATTGAGAATTCTAGAGAATTGAACAACACACAGATATAAAAAATTAAGGAATTTTAAGCAGCAGCAGCTGCTCAACAACATTCTCGGGAGCAACTTTTTGCTTAATGACTCAGCAACAAAAAATCATAATAGTTTTTTTTATTTGCGATTTTCTAGGCATTTTGCTTGTGTGTATGTGTAATGTGCAATTGTATGCGGCCTTAAGGATAGATAGTGAATGCCGAAATCAGCCTACACACACATATATATATATATATATATATTTATATATATATAAATATATAAATGCCATTTACAAATTTACAATTTTAATTTCTAATTTGTATCCTGCTTTCAGCAGTATGTAAAAAAAACACTTATTTATAAGTGAAATGAATTATTTTTAAAAGTTAAATTGATTAAAATAAGATTTAAAATATTTATTCATAATACATAAATAAATTTCGCATATTTGTGTATTTATGTATTATTGAAATTATTGCATAGAATGTCAGATACTACGCATATAGTACACACACACACACCACACTTACACACACACACAAACATATGTATTTAAGTAAATACATGTCTAATATAAATGCTCAGCTCGAAATATATATACATGTATGCACATATGTTTGTGTAACACTATTTCTTTTCCTTTTTTTTTATGAGACAAAATATTTGACTCTTGTTGTGTTTTTTTTTTGCCCGTCGAAATCTTTGTTATCAACTGCGAAATTCCTGACACATGAGAAACTGCCAGAATCGTCGAGTGTTTTAGAGGGACTCACTAAACATGTTGCTGCATTGCTGAATTTATTTAGTAAATCAACACATTTACACGTATGTGCTTAATAATACGCACATCTGTATGAAAACTTATAGATATTTATGTACATATGTATACGCAGTATGGGTAAACATATGTACATATTTCATATATGGATAAATATAGTTGGGAATATCTGAGCTTTGTTATATTTCTACCGCACAAAAAAAAATGTGTTCGTTGCGAAGTGGAAATTATTTTCTATGTATTTTCACTATATATAATTTGCAGAATACATACTCCGAATTCAATAGGCATATATTTATGTGTTAATTTATAATCTAATGATTTTTTTTTAATATAGTGGTGGCAATTTGAAACTAATCGAACTTATCGTTGTATGCCAAAGAATTCCAATCGTGTCACTGCTAGAGCTGTAAGCGAAACCTACATGGAATTGTAAATATCTATCGGTTAGATTTTTATTTGTTATCGATTGAAGGAAAATTAACCAATATGTAAGTCAAAATTATCTTCATTTACAAGAACGATAAAGAAATTCCTGGATGGATCACGAAATCCAAATAAGACCGGAAACTTATCATAGAGATTGTAATAAATTAAAATAGGTCTCAGATGTCTGCTGGCACCTTATCGTCATTATAAAATGGAATCTTACGATACATCCTAAAAAGTCGAAAGAGGCACAAGATCTTTATTTAATTATAGTGTCTTCAAGGGTTGTACTTTGGTTCTTTAGGGATTACTTCTAGCGTCTCCAATATATATTTGAAGGAGGTCTCATTTGAAATATTTTCGTCCTAGTGCATAACATCCTTATCATCCTCATCGTCTACACCCGAAAAGACATTTGATAACCTCTAGTCAGAAATCCCCTTAAGCAATGCTACTTAACAACGTATCTTTTAATATCTATCCATTTATCCGCTTGGGGTCGCGATCTCTCCGGAGTTCGAACGTTGAAGGAGGTATTTAGAAAATTTTGTTAATTTTGGCAACTGAAACTCTTAAAGTGAGCGAGAGATTGACGACTTATTTCTAACTTTTGGCTGAATGCTATTTGTAATGGAGGTTTCCAGTAATCAAATGTTAAGATTTAAGAAATAAATGTATAAATATTAGGTGTTCTCGATCTTTATCGATTTGTCCGCTCAGGTGTGGTAAAACCCTATTCCACTTTTACCTTTAAGATCAAGATTAGTTAAACGAAAACAACTAAAACAAAATAAGTATTTATTTATTATGACATTGAATAAAATTTCCAAAAAAAAAGCTAGTTTTCTAGTCAACATTGATAAAAGGTTAAATGTTGTTATGCAGCCCTGACATTTATGTATAAAAGAACTAGTAGTTCACGATATAATCATGATTTATAAGAACTATGGCAATGAGTTATTTTCGGTGAGCTGAATGTGGATTGTAAAACAATGAAAAAGTGACAAATAGTGTTTACATTTGTTTTCTAATTTGTTTTAAAGTTATAATTTTCAAAAATATAACACAAGTGCAAAGCGTTGTGCGCTGTTCCAACCAAAAGTGTCAACAAGCGAAACAAAAAAAATTACAACTAATTATGTATAATAATGTACCACATAAGTATCGTCAAGTTTGTCGATTGTGCCTCACATTGGTTAGCGACTGCGATATCGCAGATCTACAAATTTATAAGCCAAGCAGCAGTAGCAGTCCCCCAAATGATAAAATTCAACAGCAACAACAACAACACAACGTGAAATCGTGCAATATTATTCATCGAAATGTATCCAAATGCGACCCAAATAATACATGTTGCTGCGATAATAATCATGATGATAATAATCATGATAATGATAATGATGATAACTCGTTATCAGTTGTCGCGCAATGCAATAATAATAATATGGAGAGGGGAACGGGAACGGGTATCGCAGCCTCATTCAATTCACATATGCATAAAAACAATTACAACACACCAAGTGTGCCTTCCTCTGCTGCTGCTGCTGCCTCTGCTTCTGCCTCTGCCAACCCGCCATACACCAATATTTTTGCTCGAGTGTTTTCAAATAATAGTAAGCAAGTTGAAACAACAGCAGCCGAATTATCACAATTCAATCAATCAACATCATCCACAACAACATCCACACAAGATTTAGAGTCGCAACCAAAATTAGTTAAATGCGAAACGGAATCATTTTCACAATCGTGCCAATCGAATGTGGCCTACGATAATAATACAGCTAATACAACAACAACAGCAGCAGCAGCAATATCAACTCCCACTAAAAATATATTTCTTCAAAACGTGGAGTACAACAATCAAGAGCATAAAGATGATTCATCAACGCCGCACATTACAATTCAGATATTCAACTGTCTCTCTATTAAGGTAAGGCAAAGTTGTTTTTAATTCAATACACACACACACAGACACACAAAATTACCCATACATATGCATATGCTTATATTTATATATGTACATGTGTGCATGTGTTGCTTGTTTGTGTGTGTGTGTGTGTGTTCACTCACTCACGTTGTTTGTCTGTCATTCATATATGTGTGTGCTTGTGTGTATAAGTGTGCATTTGTATGTGTGTTTGTATGTGTAATTACGCTACCATTACACATTAAAACAAGAGAAATGCCTGAATTGCCTTTCCATGCAACTTATAAACCCAGATGTATACAAACACACTCATACACATGAATATATAAATACATGCCTATGCATGTGTGTGTGTCTACATTAAACATGTGTGCAGGTAAAAGAAAATGATAAGAAAAATAAATAAATATTTGACTTAATATCAATTTTCTCTTTGTTGTGTGTAAACCGAGTAAATTTATACATATGTTTGATAAGAATTGTATAATTTAATATTGCTCTAATCAGATATTAGATATGTTGTTCATGTGCTCCAATAAGAGATAAAATATCGATAACAGTTTTATACTCTCTTGACAAGGGTGCCGTAATTTTTTCATTCAACATGTTACGTATTGAGTGGGTGCTATTTTCGATTTTAAAAATAATGCGACTATGTGGAGTATGTGTATTTGTTATGTAGTGTATATATATATATATATATACATTATATACATATATATTCTTGATCAGATCGAGTATTTTTATTTACGTTATTATTTTTCTTCTGATATTACTGTAAGATATCGATTAGAAATCATTTTTTTTTCATTTAAGGCAAACTTGTTTTATATTTTAACTTTATCACAAGTGTATCTGATGCATTTCTTTTATCTATTTTTCAGCCATTGCCGAACGATAGTTACCCTTCCGTTGTGTGCCGTGACTGCCGAATTAAGCTCGAATCATTTTGGAAATTTCGCAATATGGCACTGAATTCACATTATGCTTTGAGGGAATTTTTGACATTATCAGAATCGTCTAAACTTGTAAGTTATTCCGAAAGTGATTTATTCCAACCAGTAACCAGGGTGTCAAACCGTATTTGTTAACCGAAATTAATTAATTGAAGTTCAGAACCGGAACCGAAATGAATCAATTTTTAAGAACCGCTAACCGGAACTGATAATATTATTATTAACCAAAAGATCGCATCGGTGTAGCAAAACGGTCATTATCACTTATATTTTAAACTTTACGAGCGTATAGCGTATAGCGATACGGTTAAGTTCCGTAAGTTAAAAATGCATAATCTTTACCGGAAACTAAATTTGTTACGGTTTGACACCCTGCATGTAAAAAATATCAAATGAAATTACAGATAAGTTCCAGGTTCGTATCCATTATTTTGATAATAGTAATATTAATAATCGTATTTTCGACTTATGTAGAATTCAAACGATTTGGAAATGAAACTGGATGCAATTTTAAAGTCTTCATCGGAAGCAATAGCTGCTAAGGCACTGACTGAGCTGAGCAAATCCTCAAAAACAAGATACAGCCAACGGCAACCGACACTTGATGGTATTTTGAAATCGAATAAGGAGAAGGAGCACCATCAAATTAAAATCGAAAATCAGATCAAGGAGTTTCAAACGCCTTTAATCTATTCTAATTTGTACGAAATGCCAACTCAACCAACTGTCAACACAATTGAGCGTGATGCAATAATGAATCAGAAACCAGATACCAGCAGTATAGCATCCAAACTGAAATTATCGGATGGATATATGGAATTAGATAACGGTGTGGTGTGTGAATCAGTAAATACTAAAGTGTCCGATGTTGAACAATATAAGAAGCAATTAGAGACTGCCGCAGTGCTTATGGATATAAGTAAAAAAATTGTCATCTCGCCACCATGCTCGAATCCCCAATCTCCTTGTCTTTCTGCATTTGTAGATACAAATATGAAAAGTTCTGTGATAAAATCAAAACGTCCATCAAATGATAATGATATGCAAGATGGCATGGAAATCGACTTATCGATCAAAAAGCTGAAAACTGATCCTTGCAGTCAACAGAATTTAGTCGCCCCAATCACACGTAATCTTTGCCAAGCCCCAATACTTGACATCCGTGCAAGTCCTTTAAGGACCGATGCTGATTTTAAGAATTATAGTATTACGATTAATGAAGTCGTTGGCCCCTCTAGCTACCAATTGAACACAAAAACAAAACAGAATACCGACAGTATTGCATCGTGTCTATCGGACTCCGAAGACAGTTCCGATTCAAATAAATTAGAAATGGACATTGCATCGGCGATCTACGATCGTAAGACACCGGAGAGCGTTAGTTCAGATCATGCAACAGATGCGGCAACCACTCAACTATGGCAGGCATTAGCTCGATCTGCAGGTGAGTTCAAATGAACTTTTGAAATTGAAAGTTGTTTCTAAATTATTGATTGGTTTTAGCTAAAAATAAAGATGAGAGTCGAGCAACGCAACTTTTGCGAAATATGATGAGTCAATCATTTGTATTTCCGACGCCGTCAACTATAGCATTGACAAAAGTACCTGTAGAGCCAATACCACTTTTAAAGGTAAGCAACCATCAATAGTCACTTCATGAATTCTCAATTTTAAATTGTCAAAACTATTTTAATGAATAGGACATGTCCGAATCGCAATCGAATGTTGTTAAAATATGTCGAAGAAAGCAAAGTTTTCCAACAAAATCTGATTGCGTCGATGCTCCAGATGTTAAGGTGGCCGACACCTTTGTTCGTTCAGAAACAGCAATTACCGAAGGGATCAAAGATAAAAAGGTATATAAATAGTATATACGCATTACTTGAGTCCGTTTTCTCAAAGTCCAGCTAAGGTGGCAATTAACTGAACTTTATTTTAGAGCTTTTTCCTAAAATGTCCGTTTAAAAATCAGCAGTATTTTGTTGATAATCCAATATATAGATATAGATTGCTAGAAGATAATTTTACTGGGACTGCAGATACAACTGACTCGAGCCACACTTTATGGACTTTGAGAAAGCGGACCTTATATGCACATTTGTGTAGATGATGATTGATTAATGTTTATAATAATATTTGCAGAGCCTAAAGTGTATAAGCAGCAGCACAGCTTTATCCAGTTCTCAAAAGGATATGTCCTGCTCGAATTGTGGTACGCTAACAACAACAATTTGGAGACGCAGCGCCCGTGGCGAAATGGTTTGCAACGCCTGCGGATTATACTACAAGCTGCATGGCGTCAATCGACCCCATTCGATGAGACGCGATACGATCCATACTCGGCGCAGGCGTCCAAAAGAGTGCGAGAAATCCAAGAAAAGTAAGAAAAATACCCATATATATATATATTAAAACTATTTATTATGTACCATCAATAGGAACCAGGCACTTAGCATGCAGCTCGGCGGTGGAATATGAGTCGGATATCATAAATATCTCCATAAAATGCAAGAAGCCAGACTTGTCAGTATGTCAAGAGACGCCCACTCTCTCAGATTCACCATTTAACGTAAGTATTATTATAACGCTCTTTTGAGTTTTTATTAAAAAAATGGAAAGTATTTTGAAAAATTAACCTCTAACTAAGTTGAATTTTTGAAATATCATTTTATGTGAAAATTACTTCTGACAACAAAAAGCCAATTAAAGAGCCCGGCCATGCAAAAATAAATGATTCAAATTAAAGCCCTGTTTTCATATTGAAAAAAAATATTTCGGTCACAAAATTGCAATATAATTCGCTTGTGGAACATAAAAACCAAAATGTCTGCTGAGAGCCAATAAATTAATGAATTAATTTTGTCGCCTCTGTACACTTTTCGTAACAATTAAAATACGTTTTTTTTGGCACAATTTAGTTTTTCCATTTCAATGCCGCCTTCGATAGGTTTTGGGGTGATTTACCGATAACGGCCATCAAAATATTTCAAATTTCTTTATTATTTTTTAATATTATTAATTATTTTACCATCGTCGAACAGCTGTTCACAAAATCCACACATGTTAACAGTTTCATTATCGATAAGTTTTGTTTTCGATCTGAAAGCAGGGCTTAAGTGGCGTTGATGGCGTCATATTCATAAGAATGCGAAGAAATATTTCTCGGCATATGCATTATGCATTAAATATAGATATCCGCTCTGACTAGCTGGTGATTGGTGATTGGGTGACTAATGATCAAAACCCAAACCGGGAAGGTCAAACAACTTTATACAACTTTGTTTTCCTTGACTTTGTTTATTTCAGAAATATAAAACGGAAATAGCTGAGACAACAGGAACGGCCGAAACACTCAAAGATGTTATTTTAAAACAAACAAAATCACAATCTTTGCCTGAGTTCAATGAAACCCACGCAGGCGAGGAACTATCTGTACCTCTTAACCTTGTTTCCAGTGAAAATAATGCAAAGTTAACATACAACGCCAAATAAAATTCAAGTAATCAAGCCATCAAGCGCACACAATTTTATTTATGAACTCAACAACAAATTCAATATTTACATATATGCAGTGACATATATAGAACAAAAAAAAAAAACAAGAAATCAGAACCGATCATATATATATATATATTTATATATATGTATTGTATACTTATACTCATAATTATTTGTATTCTTAGAAACTAATACCAAAATACTAAAAAAAAAACTGGGTTCAAAGTTTTAATTTTATGGTGTGAAATAAATTAACTTAATCACGGACAGAATTACTTAATCCTTTTTATACATAAAGTAAAAATGTAAGCAATTAAAGAGATATTGATATTTATTGAAATACATGCTTCAGTATTTTTAACATTTAATGACACTTTTAAGTAGCTTGGCATTATAAACAAAAAAAAAAAAAAAAACTCAGCATCTATAACAACAAAAAAAAGAAAGAAAATCAAAAAAAAAACAAATTAAATCACAAACCAAATGCACACATTTCAGCTAACTAATCTAACGAAAATCTAAGATGTAATTTAAAAATGCACTCAACTATGAGATACCCTAGTTAGGTTTTCAATAATGACATAAATCATTTACAATTACTTCACACCAATCACTCAATAATCACAGATTGTAATTTAATAAACAATTAGGCTCGAAACAAAATTTATAAAAATAATTGACTTAAAGCGATACTTAACAATTAGTTGTAAATTATAACTAGGCTGTCAAAACAAAACGAATTTGACTCTATTCTTTTTTCAAACCGGAGTCAACCTTCATTTTGGTTTGACACCCTGATTATATTTTTTTTCGATTTCAACTAAATGAAAGACAATGCTTCAATATAACAACATTATTGAATATTTTGGGTATCTCTTAGTCAGATATTTTAGAGCATTCGTTTTGTCAAAAAACTCATCTAAATTTAATAGTTTAGCTATTTATACAATATGTGCGCGTTTTTCTCTTGAATTTTATATACAAATTTGAATTTCAAAAGTCCTGACAATAAGTGATAAAAAGTTTAGTTTATATTGTCGTTGCAGGATATATTTTGAGCTATATGTAAAGTATTTATACCCACTGTAGGATGCTAAAATGTATTTTTTTTTCGTGTGTGTAATCAAATTGCTTAAAAAACAAACATTTTTTAACAATCAAAAAAATGATTAGCTTTTGTAGCTTCAAACTCAAATTATTTTCCGAATTATTGAATCTAAGTTGGCAATAGTGGCTGTCAAATAAAAATAAAACAGATATTTTACCTTTGAACATTTTCGAATAAAATATAACAAGTTAATTTGTTTGCTATTATGAATAATAACTGGGCGCGTTCAACAGCACAACTTACTTCCTGATCAACTCAATGATACCCATCATTATTCTGATGGTGAATGCCAGCGATACCCTAAAGTATTTGGAGTTGAAAAACAACCAACAACCGTATTAGAGAAAGTTCACCACATCATTTCAAACGTATTATTATTTTATTTATATATTTTTGATCAGGGAGAAAGTTGTACTGTCGAATTAAGAAAAAAAAAAGAAACGAAAAAATCAAGCTCGTAGGGCAGCATTTTGATAAGTAATTAACAATGCGTGTAAAGTATATATAAAATAAAATGCAGTATGTTTGGCAATAAATCAATAATATATTTTGATCCAGACAATGATTTAAAGAACTTATTGTTTAATCAGCCGATTTCTATAGCTAGAAAACATTTGTAAAATCTCTTGCCTGTAAATGAAAATCATGTGATAATAAAATAATCTCCACAATTTTTAAATAGTAAAACTATACAATTAAAAGCAATATTCATAATACCATGCAAAAAAAAGCAAAAAAAAAAAACAAAAAAAGAAAAAAAAAATTCAAGCAAATATTGAACAAATATTTATATTTCTAAATAAGAGATTCTTAAATAAAGCAAAAGCAGTTTTCGATCTTAATAAACTATGTAATATTAAATAAATATTTTTAAGCTAAGAAAAAAGTTACACATTTATTTTTTCGAATTTAATAATCTCAAAATCTTTTAACAGTTACAATAAACTTATAACTTAAATTAAATATTGCCTCTGGGTGTGTTTTTTGTTCTCTTGCATACATTATTGAAAGGGGATTTTTTTTGAAGACCTCAATGAAAAGATAACGAGCAGCTCGAGTTGTTTTATCGGAGATCAGCCAGCGGCCATTGGGTTACGTAATCAATGAAATAAGCTTTGCCGCCTGCCAGTTTTGTATGGTGCAATCTGCTAATCTCTAAATATGCTGTATGCGCTTACATTATACAAAAAAGTAAGCGTTTTTGCAGAGTTTTGTAAGCGCAACAATAACCGGTTTTGCAGTAAGTTTTAAGAGTGGAATTACACTGGTCAAGTACAAAATTCACGCTGGGCTAGGAAATATTGTATACACTTTCGGAAAGCGCTTTCCTTTAAATGGGAAATAGTTGTAAAGTTCAAGAAAATAAAACATTTTGTATACACAGTTAATTATAAACTTTATTGTATAAAATAACAATTATATTTCGATTACTAAATTAGAATTAGTGGTTATGCCTATGTTGTTAAATCAATTGAAATGATTCTACTTGAGGAATTATAGGGCTGTACAACTAATGTATTCTCGAAGGTGCCATTGCTCAGGCTAATTCCATTATCGGCTGCCTGATTAATGTCCGTCTTTTCTGTGTTCGCTGGGTGGGCGGCACACCAGTCGGTGACAGCCACCAATCTCTTTGACAAATTGCAATTTTCTTGATTGTATGCGTGGGCAAATGTGTTTGAGGGTGCCATCATCAGTGCTTTATCTGAACCATTTGCCTTTGATTCGAGGCCAAATCGATTCAGCACCGAGTTAGTCTTGTAATTGGAAAATATATAAACGGACTGCTGCAGTGGCTTCGGCGAATTATCGTCGCTTATTGTTGCCTGCGAATAGCCCGGTGGGGAAGACGCCCATTCTGTTTCATCGGCAATGTGATTCTCCTGTCTTCTGGCTACGACGTCTGTTTTATGAGATACTGATATTATTGCAAACCGATTATCGGAACTATTCAGTACCGTCTGCGACGAATTAGATTGATCGTCATCATCCGACGAACACAAATCGATTGTGTCGA